AACAGTAAGAAATCTTATGATGAGCGATCGTGGATCAGGGCATCACAAAGAAGAGCTGTAGAGATTGCCAAATCGTCGAGAGAAGTCGAAAGAAGCATTGAACAGGAAGTGCATTTGACCAGAAGACTGCACTAACATTCGCTCTAAATCAAGATTGCTGAAAGGCCACGTGAGATAAGGGAAGAGCATCTTCATAAAATGCTGATATTTCATCTGGTACATAATTAATATCGTGCAGCATTGGACGTATATACAGAGCGTCCCAAATAACGTCACCGCGTGAGGAAAGTGAGAATTAAACAACTTTTTATGGAAATACAGCGGATATTACAGATGAAATAAGAAGTAAACAATGCTGGCTATAGCATTTCGTTCCAATTTAGCTGCTATCCACTTATATGAATGACGGTGTAATAAACTTTTAACAATTGGAAACGGTCAAATCTCAAGTGTATTAAAACGAAATGACTGTAAAGTCAGTTCTCTGTGGCAAACTTTCGTTCGATATTACTGAAATGTGGATTTGAATTTATGCTTTATCATGGTTGCTGGGCAGTTCGCAGCTGAACAATTTAGCCTCGTGGTGGTGGAGTCCTAGAAGATAAGAATTAAGTCCACTGTGGCTTGTCGAACGTTGTCAAAACAGTTGCTATACTTGACACAAGCTACTAGCTTAAATCGGAATGCTGGACTTTTTGTATGAGAGCAAGCATCGTAAAAAAAACATCACCAAAGTACGACAATCCTTTCAACAAAATCCAAGAGTCAGTGCTCTGGCGTAATCCAACAAAAATGTCAAAGTCCCACGTGATCCAGCACGACGTGTAGCATTTTGCACATGGGCAGTTGTGCAAGGAGATGCTCACTTCTGGGCTAACCTTGTCATCGGCGATAAAGCATCAATAAAGCCTGATTCTCATATGTCACCGACGGTCGGCAATGTATTGTTTGTGGTCTTTAACGAAGAAGATTCAGTATACAAAATAACAAAGATTCAATATGAGAATCAGGCTTAACGAATGAACGTGTGTTATCGCAACATCGCGTGGAAATCCGAATCAACTGATGGTAAAAGTAAGTTATATAATTGCTTTACTAACAGGTAATCAGATATTTATGAAAGCGGGGACTCATGTCCCATGTCCCATAAGAATTTCAGCCCGGGTGAATTTTATCCATGAATGTACAGCTGTTCGATATGTCATTAACAGTAGAGGAATATGTTCGTCCTAGTCTCGTCGATGTTCTTTTACGAACAATGATAGTTGATATTTCAATGTACGATTGTACTTTTCCACCATTCTATCTGATTCAGGGTGTAATGGAGTTGTCCTAGTTTTTACGATCTCCAATACTTACACATTTCTTTAAACAGAGCGGATTCAAAATTAGTTTCCTGGTCGGAATTTAGGTATAGCATTTGCTAGCTATATTAAATCTACAGAAGAAGTTGTCGCGTTCAGCCGCGAACTATCTCTTTTCAAAAAGAAACACAATAAACTCCCCCCCCCCCCAAAAATTTGCTTCGAACATGCGCAGATATTAATTTACGCCTACATGTGCCTAACATACATTCACAACAGGGCCGGATTAACCTTTCACGGGGCCCGTGGCATTTTTTCAGCGCGGGCTCCTCAATTGCGTAAAGCATGCATCAAAGCGTTTTCTCAGGGTCGCCCAGAGAATTTTGAGGGCCTGGGGCAAAATTCTCGTTCGGGGACCAAAATGCCGCTTTTCTGCCGTTCACTTCTTCACTAGAAGTGGAGAGTGTTTCGCATTGATATTCTTTTTGCCTGCACCACTTTTCTCTGAGCCGTTGCATTCCAATAGGTTGAGTAACACAAGTGAGAATTAGATTTTTATTAATTAATAAGATATATATTCTACCGTAGTTGTAAGTGCACGTGCTTTGAACAAGATTAATCTTGAGAATGTGTACAGCCTGACTACATTCTATCGTATAGTGATAAGTTTCTAAAAGTTTAAAGTATATTGGGTAGTGAGTGAATGATTAAAATATAATATATATATTGAATAGTAATGCATGTTCAAATGATGAAGAAAGACTATCATAGTTCATTGCAGTCAAAACAACTCTAAGAGTGTATATAGGTTTTAATCTAATATAAATACATGCATGCATATAATGATATCTAAATATGATATATATGAGGGATACACTGTGTGCAAACATTTAGAACACTTTGCTAATATATAAACATAGTTTCTCGTAACTCAAGTGCAGATGATATAAAAGTCTTGACACATATCCAGAGCAGCCTGGCAATTCTCAAATGGACATTTCACACGATCTAGCTTTGTGTACCGCAATATGCACAATCATGTAGCCCCGACAAACATCCAGAGGAAGAAACGTTAAATCCAGCTCGTTCCACGATCGATCCAGGCAAAATAACCCTGTCATAAGTTGTTGCGTTATATTTCCAAGAACACGCATCCAATTTCGTAGAAATTTGTCTTGACGCGTAAGGTTGGCGTGAATAACTTTTGCAGAACATTTTGTATTCTTGACACCAATTTTCAGTTTTTGATTGTTTGTGTAAAGGGATTTTGACTTGAGCGACCAAGAATGACGCCTCAAGCCAGACATTCCGTACCTGTTGGGTTTCAAAATTCGTCTTCACTTCTTCATCCAATGAGACACATATTGCGTAGAATACTCTGCGCTGATTGGTTGAACACGATTCACAATGTGGCGTCTTGAAAACTCTGCTACAATCCTGAGAGCTGCATGCTCGTAGAGAATAAATATCATTTGTTGTCGCGTTCTGAAAACCAGCAAGATGGACAAGATTTAGCAAGGAGAGAGCGCTTGATCTCTCTGGATCATAAATACTGAAGTACTCTATACTGCATTCACGATGTGATTGGTCAGTTAAAGGCCTCAGGTTATGCGCATGGCATAACCGTTCGTAGTCACGACACCAGCTCTCAAATCTCGATAAACGGTGCTCTGGAATGCGGACTTTCACGACTGCATACATTGTGTCATTTGAAATCACTGTGTTGTTTTCAAGGACATAGAAGTTTGAAGTGGGAGTGTTCTCAACACACAATCCGTGAATCTTCTGAGATTCGCTGTTGAGGCAATGCAATGAATCACTGCAGTTGTATGAAAACGGGCTACTTTGACAGCTTTCCTGCGAGCAATCTTTGAATGCAAATGTATTTCCATATGCAGCCTCGTTGTAGCCAGCCTGCTGAGCAATGTGATGTATCACATCAAATTCAGATTTCTGTATAACAGCATCGTGCTCATCACGACATTGAAGGAGAGATTCGGTTACCACACCAGAGTGAAGAGCAACAGGACTTTGCCCAATAGCATGACAGAGCTCCGTATAATCCCGACACCACGTCGACGATTTACGCTCGGGTTGTAACGCTGATACGACTGTGTAGACATCGCCAGAGATGGAGATTTTCTGTGAATCCATTATTTTGAAATTTAACGTTTCGTCTGTGCAAATTGCGTAGACATAATCAGTAGGGTTTGAATTAACACAGGATAATGATGCATCACACCCAGATGATGCCAGCTCTTTTGAACAACTCCCACAATTGTTTAAGATGAACGTGTTGCTTTGGTCTGCCTTAGAGTATCCGGCCTGTAAGGCGATATTTGAGATGGTTTTAGTATCACACGAAAACTTGAAGTCTTCAGCAGCATATTTTCTGGTGCATTCTTGATAGTTGTTTTGACAGGCTAAAGGTCTTTTATTGTAGCTTTTACATAAGTCTTTATACTCTTGACACCAGGAAACCGACTTTGCGCGGCCGTCATTAGGCAGTTTGGCTTCGATGATTAAATAGTTAGTGGAGTTAAGAAGAGTAACTTTAGTACTGCGGACGTTGAACGCCGTCGTTGGTTTAACACACACTGTGTATACTTGTCGTCGCCATGCTATTTTGGTCAGGCAGTTCAAAGCACCATTGCATTCGCTGGTTAGATCCTTTGTACACTGATGGCAGTTCTGGAAAACAAAGGTGTTTCTTGATATCGCATCTTTAAATCCTGCCTTGTTTGCGATGCCGATGACGACCGTCGTATCTCCACAACGAAGAATATCGTTTTCTGGCATATAAGAGCTGTATTGTGTACTACAGGATGAATAATTTGAGTGCTCGACATTAGATCCTCCACAACCGGTCGGCAGCATATTATAGCTTACACAAAGTTCTCTGTAATCGTGACACCAGTCGCTCTTGTATGATTTCCCATCTTCTGGAATTTCAGCGTGAATGACAAGATACTCCATGTTGTTGAAGTTTACTGGTTTTGTTGCCAATACTTTAAAGTTACTTTCTGTTGGCTTTCTCACACAAACTGTATAGACTATAGGATTGTCGGGACTCCAGGTCAAGCATGGTAAACTTCTATGACAGGTTGATGAGAGCTGAGACACAGACGAGCCATTGCAATAGGAGAATCCAAACGAGTTACTGGGGCGGGCGTTGACAAACCCAGCATCCCGTGCAAGCTTAGATATGACGTCATTCGGATTACAACCAAGCTCACTCCCTCGTAGTAAATGTGAACTATATTTGGACTTGCAATCATCGACTCCAGGTCGGCTCTCACCGGGTGTTACTCCACAACCAGTCGGCAACTCATCATAGAAACCACACAGGTTCTTATAATCCACTCCCCAGTCGGATCTCGCGGCTAAACGTTTGATGACTTTCGCTTGAATGACACGAAGTCTTAGACTGTCATAGCGAATTTCTTTTGTGACCAACGGTTTGAAGCTTGATTGAGTCTTAGTTCCTCCGCAAATTGTGTAAACCTCGCGTAAATGATGAGCAGTGGTGAGACAATGCAGACTTTGATCGCACTTCGAGCTGAGTGAACTACCAGAACACATACTGCATTTATAAAATGCGAATGAGTTTTTAGAACCAGCCTCAGAAAAACCAGCGTGTCTTGCCATGTTCATAACCCCTGTTGGACATCCATATCCGTAGCTTAAAACCGAGTTATATTTTAGTTTACAAGTAAGATATTCATTTGCTGATAGTCCGTTGATTGCAGTATACTGGTCTAAGATTGAATGATTCACACAAGCGTTGATAATCCTTGCACCAGGTTTGAAACAATGGCGCTCCGTTCGCTGGACGTCTCGCTCGGATCACTGTGTAATCATAACCACTTAAAGTTTTCTCAATTGTTTCAATAACATTGAAGTTGCTGTCAGAGTTTGCGACCACACACGCGGTGTACACGTGATCGTGAAGTACTTCTTGACTCAAGCAGTGAACTGCATCGCTGCATCCAGTGGCTGGCAACACTTTCTTGCATTTCACATCGTCACAGTCGACCAGAGAGAAAGAATTAGCAAGACTGCTATCATCATAACCAGCCGCACGAGCTAGCTCTGAGACGAATCCATTTGAAGGACACTGGTAGTTCACTTCACTCATCATAATGCCGCCATAACTGGTTATACATTTATCGTAGTTTTTATGAAATCCGAACCTCCTTGGACAAGCCAAAGGTGAAGTTTGAAATGCTTTACACAATTTGGAATATTCCTTACACCAGTTTGATGACTTCGATTCAGGCGAGAGTACTTTGGCTTGGATGATGAGATACTCCCGACCAGCTTTCGACACCTTTCGAGAACTCTTAACTCTGAAACTGGTATCACTCGCTGGTCTGATGCATACGGTGTTAGCCTCACCGGACATTCGCGCTAAGGAGCTCGAGGAATCTAACCAACAGTTAGTCTCTACACGAGGTGTTCTGTGCTCAAATGTTTGATTTACCGTCAAATTGAAGTAGCTCAGAGTCACTCCGGGTTTTGTTAGGTCAAAATTCCATACACACGTGTTACTTTTAAAAATATCCGTTAATTTTTCACCGTCAATTTTGTAAACGGGCTGACCACTCGGGGGTGATGGAATGATAAAACAGTGCATATCTTCTGGAACAATGATGGTTTGTGTTTTATTTAATGCGACATTCAGTATTGTCTTTGAAACGTTCAAAATATAATCCGCTCTTGTCATTCTCACTTGTGTTTTCTTCGTTTCGTAGGACACGTCATAATGTGTGGTGTCCTTGCATTTGATATTTGGCATCTTGTTAACGCATGATTTAGATCGGTCACATCCTTCCATGGCAAAGGAGTTAGTATTGGTAACATTATCAAACCCAACCTGCTTCGCGATTGATGCCACTCCAGTTTTTGCAGGACAAGCGAGATCAGCGTTGGTCAATGATATGGCGCCAAAGTTATAGATACATTCTCTTTGTGTGTGTGAGTTTATTTTACATGTCAGCGGCTTCATTCCGTAGGCCTCGCAAAGTTTCTCATAGTCCTCACACCAAGTAACGTGTTTTGATAATCCTTCAACCGGTATCCTAGTGCGGATAACAAGATAATCCTGTTTTTCCACAGTTATTGGTCTCGTGGCTATCACCTCATAGGCGCTATCGGACGAGCCACAGAGAGTGTAAAATACTCCGTCGGATAAATTCGCCTCAAATTTTGTAAAGGGATGTTCTGCGGAGGGCAAGAACTTCGTACATTGTTGCGGTAGACAGGACTTGAATATGAAAGAGTTTTGTTTCGTGGCCTCTGTAAACCCAGCAGATTTGGCAATTTCGTGGATTTTTAATTCATCTTGACAGTGTATATTATCCTTAGAATACATCAACGCATTGTACCCATCTCGACACTGCGCATGCTCCTCGATATTGTCCGCTGAGCTGCCGCATCCGATTGGACGTGAGCCGTACGACTGGCACAACTGCGTGTAGTCAATGCACCAATTCTCGTTCAACGACTCTCCGTGATGAGGGATTGTGGTCATAAGAACAGACACAGGAGACCCAGCGTGGTCAACTTTTCGTTCCTCGAGTACATTGAAGTTGCTTTCTGACTGAGAGCACAAGAGATAGACAGTGAATGGTGTATTTCCTATATAAAATGTTTCATTTGTTCCCTCAGGAGAAAACGGAATGTTCCAAACTTCACTTAGATTCTTTGAAGAGGCCTCGATATTCCAATTTTCGCCAAGATTTTTAGAGCATGTTTCGCAGTTCCACAATCCCAGAGTCTCGTTAACATTTGCAGAAAACCCAGCATGCCTCGCGATGGCGGTTATTTCGTCGGAGCCTGGACACGACATCTCTTGCATCATGATGGCGTTGTAATGAACGCGACAATCACGTGATCGCTTCAATGTATCAAAATTTCTACCACACGCGACTGGTCGTTTACCAACCGCTTGACAAAGCATTTTATAGTCCTCGCACCAGGTCTCAGACCGAGACTGACCATGGGGCGGGATCTGAGCCTTCACAACAGTGTACTGCTGGTCAGCGTACAGCACCTCCCGTGCGTCTTCAACATCAAAATTCGTAGGAGAAAAGTCTGAACAAACGGCGTATATATCTTCGCTGGCGTTGAAACTCGTGCAAGTTTTCCCGTGTGGGCATTTCGACAAGTGAATTTGGAAGACAGGATCAACTTTCTTACACAAACAACAATCGGTGCTGTTAGCGGACGAATTTGGACATTTGCAGCATTTCGTTGGACTTGGTTCAGTTAAATCCCCTGAGATATATTGAGAAACAAGTTCATTGCTTGTTGTTTGTGAACTTTCGAAGAATAGAATATTTTTAGCTTGTGAAAAACCAGCTTGAACCGCCAGTGACTGAAGCTTTTCCATATCAGAACAGTTCTTCAATTCCGACAAGAATATATTGTATTGTTTACGGTTTTTATACTGGATCACATTTCCCAGTTCATGGCAGGAGAAAGGTCTTTTGCCAAGGAGTGAACACATCTTTTTGTAATCATACCCCCAATCCTGGTAAAATGAAGTGTTTGATGTTATCTTTGCCTTGACAATGCTCAAACGCACGTTTTCGTAATTTATCTGTTTTGATTCAAAGATTCTAAAGTTGTGTCGTAACTTGGTACAGGGAACAAGTGTGGTTTTGGCATCTTTAGAGCAAATAGATTGGTCTGTACATGTTTTCTCAAGAGTTTTTTCGCATTTATCACAGCCCTTAAGCATAAAACCACTGGAATTTTTCACAAACTGTTCATCAACCAATCCTTTCAGAACAGTAATGTTTCCCAATTGGCACGAACTATTGGCAAAATCAAAATCCTCGGCACAACCTTCCTGCTTCTCACAGATAACAGGCTGCATACCGAACGAGTTACAAAGATTTTTATAGTCGGAACACCAGGTTTGATGCCTCGCGACGCCGTCCTCGGGAACACGAGACCTGACCAGGAGGTATGGCAGCCCTTTATACTTGATATGTCTTGTATCTTCGGTTAGAAAGTTGCTGTTGGAGTCAGTACAAACTGTATATAGTTCACGAGCGTCGATGTTGAGGCAATCTATACTCGAGGCACATTTTGAACCAAGTCTCCAAGAGCATGATCCCGGATTATGTTCACTGAATGCAAACGAGTTATCCCGCGATGCTTCGCGGTATCCAGCAAGGTTGGCAACTATCGAAATATATTCTCGGGTGATCAGTTTCAAACTCTCGTTCTTGGGAAAAACTACAACAGATATAAAGTGAGGTATATACGTGTCCATGTCATGTGATCCTATTTGACTCTCACGTGATAAAAAGCTAACAGGTCGCATTTCGTATTCGCCACAAAGCCGTTGATAATCCAAACACCAACTTTTGTATTTTGAAACACCGTGTGATGGAATTCTTGTTTTCAGAACCAGATATGACCGGTTTTCATAATTCGTTCTGCGGTTGTCCAAAACGTGAAAGTTTGTGTCGCTATTTACGCACACTGCGTATATGACGTTATTTTTTTGAGACATGAGACTGCTGTTCAGGTTGATCGCAGGTTCAGCAACCTGAGAAGAATCAGAAATTGACGCAAAACACGAGTTTTTACAGCTTTTGCCAAACCCAAAGATATTTCCAACAATTGCGTTTTCGAAGCCAGCTAATTTAACAAGATGTTCAAGCTTTTCATTTGTTGATAATTCATGTCTCTGTGGTGTGATAGCCTCGTATGAACGCTGACAGCTGCCGTCAGCATCTTTCGACGTAACAACGGCTCTCCATCCATAGGAATTGCAAAGAGTTTGATAATCATGACACCATGTGTCTTGTTTTGATGTTTGATGCAGAGGAATGCGAGCTTTGATAATCTTGTATGTACTTCCTTGATAAGAAACGTTCATACTTGATTGGACAGCGAAACTAGTGTTGGAAGCAAGGCAGAGTGCGTAAACTGTGTTGGTTGTTTTCATGCTAGCATCTAATGCCATAGCATTATTCTTGCTGCAGGTCGATTCATTGCAAAAAGCGAAAGTAAAGTATGTAGTCCGGTTTGCCAAAGTAGCGTTCTCCGTGTTGGAGGGACAAATTAATTGGCTGTTTCTAGGAAACAATGCGTCGTAGTTGTCCCGACATGCAGTGTGCGATGAAATCCCTGTTTCTGTCTTGCAACAAACAGGCCGCTGACCATATGACAGGCACAATTGTTTATAATCCTCGCACCAGTTCTCGTAGCGTGCCACGCCATTTGAAGGTAACCTGGCCTCAATTATCAGGTATTCTTGTCCACCTAAACTCACTGGCTTCGTGGAAATGACGTCAAAGTTTGAATCTGGTCCCTCGCAGAGCATGTATGCAACGTCAGAAGTTGGCGTGTGAACACCAGGAATGTAGATGTTTGAAGTTGTCGCGTTGGTGAGGCTCGTGTGCTTAGAAAATATTATCAAAACTTCAGATTTGTTACAGGCGACTTCACTTGCGTTTTTCATGCACACGACATTTCTTCTGCCATATTGCGAACAAGTTTTATTATAGTTTTCAGCCCATTTTTTTATTCCTGTCACTTTTGCTTTAACAGCAAGATAAGCTGTATTCTTATAGACCGTCTTTTCTCTCTCCAAGATATCAAACTCCGAGGCATGTTTCTTCATACACACAGTATAAACATCATTGTGATGCGATGGATTCATACATCCCAGGCCTGCGCACTTCGATTTTGTTAAAACCGAGGAACACAGCGTACATTTATCCAAGCCAAACGAATTATCTTCATTCGCTGCTGAGAATCCCGCCTGTTGAGCTATGCTTGCTATCTTAGACTGCGGTTTCGATCCAAAGAAAACACCATCCGTCATGATGGATCCATATTTATCCCTACAAGATGTGTATTCGTAGTCTTGTATTACGTCACGTCCGGTCGGTCGCAGTCCGTATGATTTACATAGTGTGGAATAATCTTGGCACCAGTTCTCTTGAGTTGACATCCTATCGCGCGCCAGTTTTGCTTTGATCACCAAGAAGCTAATGTTATCAGACAAAGTCCATCGTTCTTCAAGAACAGAGAAACCAGTCAAAGGTTCGGTGCATAATACATTATAATTATTGAATTCCAAACATGTTTCAGCCCAGCAAGCTGGAAAATCTTTCTTGCACTTATTTTCCCCGCAAATATGAAAGTTCAAAGTCTCCGTGTTCGATGGCATCCCAGCAGTTTGAGAAATACGCGCTACAACTTTCGTATTATTTTCGCAATCCAGCTCGTTTTCCTTCGGCGTAATTGAGAAATATTTATCTCTGCATTCGGTACTTGCATTGCCACAGCCTGTAGGTCGTTTACCGTATGACTCACAAAGCCTCTGGTAATCTCGACACCAGTTTTCATGTCTTGAACTCGTGTTAAGTGGCTTCACGTACAATGATAGGTAACTCACGCCTTTATTTGTAGCATACCCTTTGCTCTTTACCATGAAATTACTGTCAGGATCAGCACACACTGTATACACCTCGCTATTGGCTTGGCTTATGCAACTCAGAGCTCCATGGCAACCTGACGTAGGTAAAGCATCTGTGCATTCGCTAGAACCACATTTTGAAAACGCGAAAGAGTTTTCAGGGCTTGCATTTGAATAGCCGGCCATTTTTGCAAGACTGGAGACTTTCACATTCGGAGGACAGTCCAGGGTATTGTTATGTGACATTACTGAGTCGTATAGGGTCTGACATTGATGCATCTCCGTGATATGATTGGATGAACGACCGCATCCGGTCGGTCGAGTCTTGTTCAGTGAATAACAGAGTTCAGTGTAGTCATGGCACCATGTTTGATGGCGTGAACGACCGCCAGGCGGGAGTCTCGCGTGTACCACAGTGTATCGCGATGATTCGTACAACACACTTTGAGTGCTCAGGACTTCAAATCCACTTACAGCTGCATGGACTAAAAAGGAATGAGGATACCATCAATTAATTTGAATCAGTGTAGTATACTGAGCTATACTCTGCTTGTGCTTGACAAAGATTAAGAGGAGCTACAGCTAATCATCAGCAATATACAATATGGGATCATAGGTGATAACTTACCAGTTTCACAGTTGATCCCAGAATATCCCTGACGACAGTAACATGTATAACTGTTCACCTCATCGACACATCGTCCATCATGTTGGCAAGGCAAACTGGCGCATTCATCGATTTCTAAAGTTATGAATGATATATGTCGATGAAATATATCATATCGCCGCCGACGTACAAGCAAAGTTCCATCAATACTAGAAATTGAGCTCTGAAAAACTCACCCAATTGACAAAATTCCCCAGCGAAACCAGACGGACACTGGCAGGTGAAGTTTCCTAAACCATCGATACACACAGCCCCAGCGGAACAAGACGAAAGAGCGCAGTCATCAATGTCTGGAAACACACATTTTAATGAATTTTATCCGATAAAAACGTTAATGAGACAACAGTGAACTCCTTCATCGTTGTCGAGTTGTGTATCTCTCATAAATACCTACTTTTTTCGCATTTTTCTCCAGTGTAAAACGAGTTACAGACACAATAGAACGTGTTGAAACCATCAATGCATTGCCCACCATTGAGACAAGAATCGTTCTTGCAATCATCAATTTCTGAAACAGAATGAAGAAGATTTGTAATTGTTTTAGCTTCTTCGAGCTTGGTTTGATCCTATACAGGGACTCACCTTGATCACAAACGTCCCCACTGAACCCCAAAGGACACGTGCAGTTAAAACTTCCATCAGAATTGGCGTGACAAACCCCAGAGTTATCACATGGACTACTCACGCAAATGTCCGGGTATTCTGGAATGGATGATACGCAAAAGATGAATATTATTGTATTACAACTAAACCAAAATGTTGAACTGAAAAGTCACCATCGTTCAATGACGCTCCGTCCTTGTTGACTTGTACTCATTTTTATTTAATTTTACGCACTACTCTTTTAATAAGTAAGCATTTCAAATAAAATAGGCCAACCTTTGCATAGCCATGTCGCGATCATAGTCCAGCTGCCACTGGAAGGTCGATGATAAACTCCAAGAGATGACGCTAAAAAAAAAGTAGTTTTAGTTCACGTTTTCTTTACAGAAACTTCATCTCTGTTTTTGACCCGAACTCACCAGAAAAACTATCTCCAGAGTTCGCTGTCATAGTGAGCAGAGCTTGCCGTTGATCTGTTTCAAGAAGACCAGTAACAGGAATGTTTGGTATCTCGACAACTTTATGCAAACTATCCTTCACTTTGTCCCATTCGCTTTCTCCCATTTCATTCCATGCTCCTCTTCCCATCCCATTTTTGTTCACTAATCGATGTCTTCTATCCATTGATACCCCGTACAGTTCCCCAGTAGTCTCACTAATCCCAAGTAGTCCAGCAACATTACTTAAATCTATAAGAACAAGAGTCTTTTAGAGTTTACTGGAGATAACCGCGTGAATACAAGCGAAATTTGAGGCAACAGGAAAGTGATAATAACACAAGAATTGAGCGAAGTTTGTGGGCGAACAAGCCAAGGACGAAATGACAATACAAAGAATTATCAGGTTTGTCCCTACCTTGCCAAGTTTTGCCATTATCGAAGGTTAAACGACAAACAGCATCTTCCCGATTGCTGTACAAAGAAAGAGGAGAAACGATCGTAAAACAAATCACTATAATTGTGTTTTGCACAAGATTAATGCGTAATTCTTACCTCTCATGAGAAAAATGACACATGTACAACGTGTTGTTTAAACGATTTAGGAAAAGCTTCTCTCAAAAACTGGAAGCGACTCTGTAAAATAGTAAGTGATGAATGATCAATTGACTTATCCTTAACCAAACAAGCTTTTAAGGCCCGGCACAGAGCAATATTTAGAGTAATTAATAGCACGACGACTTATTGTGGAACACACGCAGGCTTTTTCTTGGGTCATGCTGCGCAGAGATATTTTTCTGCTACACGTCACGACAGAGCCTGAGAGCCAGGTGGAAACTTTGAAGGCATATCAAATACAGACCTTTCGGAACATGACAACTGCTCTTCAATCCATCAAAACTGACAAAGGCATCGCTACCGCTGTCCACGAGACGTATCTGAGCCTTTTCCCCGAGCAGATCTCGGACATTCCAACTCATTTGAGCCATAGATTCATTCCCAGTCGCTGAAAACGAAGTTCGCTCTACACGGCCTTCTATCAGCAATTCAACTCGAGACTTTTCTTGGTCGGCCGAGCCAGCGAACAAAAAGTAGAGCTTCGACGCTGGAATTATAAATGGCGGGGATGTTAAAGTGCCGGTCGGAGAATTCCCCTGAATGTCACCAGGAATGTCACGTGGATTTTTGCGATTTTCCCTCGTTCCAATCCACCGCGCGCCTTCGTGATTCACAGTTAGACCAGTTCGCGCATGCAGGTTATCCAGAAAGGTCGGCTGGTTGTCGAAGGCCGTTCCTGTTTTCTTCCACTGCGTTAAACTATAGTCATCCTCGAAATCAAATATGGTGCAGTGATCTAAGATAAGAATGAAGCATATATTTTAACATAAATAAACTCTGCTGAGAGTCGCAAACTTTGCGATTATCGTGGCTGGATTTGAAAATATAATTTCCTTTCTGAAGCTACTGTGTAAATTATTTAACCTGATAGAAAATCCTCGCCTTCTTTAAAACCGTACAGTTCAAGCCGGAGACAAACTGTATTTGCTATTAGTTTGGGTTCAATATGAACATGACGTGCGAGAATTGGCTCCAGGAACTTGTGCCTAATAGTCGTATCTTCAATTGGGCTACCAAGGAAGCTCTGGAATATAAAACATATATCGCTAGGAAACGGGGCAGGTTGCATGAACGCACGACTGTAAATATTCTAGTGCTTTTATTCTAGTGCTACAAATCTTAACCTTATGGCTGTGGAAAACCTACTTTGACTCCGCCATTTTCTCTGATGTATTCTTTAGTTCCTCCATTTTTCTCGTATGAAACTTTGAACGCTTCATACAATCTGTCCGTGGTCTGATATTTGGACTGAACAGCGATCTATAATATAAGATGGCCATACATTCCTTTTTTCACATCTTATTCAGTTGAAGTTACAAACACAATATCCAGTTGCTCAAATACTAGTTCATCCATTACTGAGATATCAGTCGAGGAAGATTTGACTTCAGACAAACTTTTGCATAAAAATGAATAGATGCATAATGAAAAAAAACAGGACAATACTGCCTAGCCATATTTACCTCAGCAATTACATAATTATCCTGCAGGTCGATAGTCAATGTTTGCTTCCAATTTTTGGTCGTGCACCAGGCTTCCTTGAAGTCAAGCCGAGCATGGTAAGGTCTGTAAGTAAGTCCTTTCCACGGAGCGGCGGTTATTTTGTTGTCTTTGATAGCGCCTGAGGACATACCAAGAGGTTGGTAACCAGCTACAAAGAACATTAAGTCGTATCAGAAAGCGTTGAGACAGGCGTCTGTAGCTTGTTCCAGTGCAAAGAAATTGATCAAATATAAAATTGATGAAAATAAATCGAGGTTTTTGCTCAGAATGCAGGGTTGAAGAAAAAAAAAACGTAATTTTTAACTTCAATCCAATTCTCACCAGATAAAGAAGAAACAAGACACCCAAACAATTGCACTTTGAGAGCAATCTCATATTTCCATAGTTTTGGAACAATCCTTATGACTTTCGCTTCAATTGGAATTTTCAACACGTTTATTTTCACGGTCGTCGGATCATTGTTGGCTGTGAATTCCTGCAATATAATTGTTTTAGTTGAAGCAAAGCTGCAAGAATTATTAGTAAATCCACGCGGACAGGAATGTATCACATACGTGAGACTGAAAGGCGGCGTAGGCCTTCGCCCATTCTCTGCCATCTTTACTGTAATGCAGGACAAATTTTCTAACAAATCTCGGAGAACTCTGCTGGCCATTACCCTTCGTTCCAACCTAAGCATTGTATAGCTAAGTTTAGATCTGAGACAAAAATGATAGCCACTGGGAAAATTAAGATGAGAATAAGTTTATTATTGTGTTTAGCAACACCCTGGCTGGCAGTGAAGGGATAATCTTGGTGTAAAAATAGCTCAACTGATTCACCTTAGTAATTCGCATCAAATGGTTCAATTCAATTTGTAAATACTGATGAATGTCTTTTGTGTCCGAGGGTGTCCATACGAGGTCGTTGTCAAAATTTGCTCGATGGGGAGCGTTTCCAAGAGTGCTGTAGGATAGCTTCCTGAAGGATGACGCGGAAAAATAACTTTCATAAAGTTGTATCTCCATCTCACAAGCTAAAAACGAAACAAGAAATCACATGGTTTAAAAATGGACAAACATTCTTAAATATACCAGCTACCAAGACTATTTACCTGCTAAGCTTGTAAAAGAGAAACTAATGTCGACTGATGTTGATCTCGCATTCCATTTACTTCCGGGTCTGTGACACGAGTCCACCGCACCATAATACCATAGCGTCATTGTGCACATGGCTGTAACCTTCTCACGCGATCCCAACATCTTGTATGGATCCACGTGAGTTGTCATGGAAACTTTCACGCCAGTGCCGAGTGTTATGTTGGAAAACTGAATGAAAAACAAGCTCACTGTAAAAAACTAATCCTTGCTTAATAGAAGACTAAGGAAATATACCTGGGCATTCTGATGTTTAGTGATATTGTGAGATGACAAGGAACGAGTGTCATTGCTTCCAAACATGATATAAGGAGGACATGACACGGACAATTCAACATCAATAGCATCTGCAAATGACTTCATCGTGTGAGAAATGTCAACCAACATTGTAATGGCGTCTCTATAAGCAATATGAAATGGTTTAGTTAACATTTGGTGCTCTAATCTAAACGTTTTACATCGTTATGCAATGATAATGCAGTATATGTATATATGATTGAAATATGCTCAGAGAGGTTTTCTTTTCGTTTCTATTCATTGCTTCATGCCTTCATAAGACAGTCAAGTATGACATTATTTTTTATGCATATATATGTATGTGTTAGTAGATAAAGTAGATCTTAGCCCACAAACAATAAAACAATGTTTTGCTGGAGCGGTTTTTAATTATGCGCGCGGCAGTCACGTCCTTGACAACGTTATTTCGTTCAACGTCAGTCGTCATGTGAATTATATAAGAAGGCGAGGAAAAATCCACGACTGGTATTTTTTCTAGATGTATATATTTATATAAATAGCACGTTAATGTATCTTGTGGTTTTTCATAAATCGTTTCTGACGCGTTATTAAAACAAAGTTTTGACTGTTTTGTGGGGAAGGAAACTCAGATCCTTCAAGATGGAATTGTTTGCAGTGACGCAGGTGTTCAAAGTCATTACACCATTAATTTTATATGTGCTAAATAACTTCTTTTCTACATCCATTTACAGATATTTTGTTTATATTTTCTTTTCGGCACGCACAAAGGTTAAAAACAGTTAACACATTCCCCAAGAACTAAACAGATCTGCTTCAAATATAATTCTCCTGACGCCACAGTAACATGCCAAAAAAGCCCGACAATTTAGCATTCCTGGTGGACAGACATATCCTGTTCTGAATTTGATATGATTGTCATTCAGAATTGACGCCGTCATCTTCCCACATGCAATTAACCGATATTTTTATTTTTTCTGCGTTATTTTTCTTCGAAATCTCACTTCACCATTAACAAAACGAGGAAATTTCTTTTACGATACATATAAACTCTGTTAGAAATTCTTCAAAGAATGCGTTATACTGCCAGCTTTCAGGAATATAGCCTAGCTTTTGTAAAAATTCATTCAAAATATCACCTGCATATATTCACATTCAAACCTACCCGGCCGAGATCTCACTTGTTGGCGTAACGCCAGCTTTTTCAAGCCATAATTGTGGAGTTCTGGTAACGGTCGAGTTGGCCTTCGCATTTTGAAGCTGTGATGTATGAAAAAACAAACAAAAAACTTTCAACTGACAATGGACTCTTAATTTACGTTTGGTTATTGTGTGTCGTAACAACTAACTCTTGCTTTTCGGTTCCTACTCCAAGGGAAAGGTCTTCTTCAGGCAGAGAAAAGGCAAACACGAGTTGTTTGATAAAAATTTCGGTGGCACACGTCATGCTGAATGATAACTCTTAAACACAGCTCTCTCTGTTGCTATATTTCTCTACTGGAATTTTGACAAATAAACTGCTGTTATAAGGAGCTTAGACAAGACTGCATTATCACTGTATTACATGGAACTATAGTTTGAAATGAACGAATAGTTATCATAAATCAAATGTAAAATTGTACATTATCTGTGTCTTCGGTGGCACAAGTGTACCACTTTGTAACCCAGAAAGGCAAATATTGATCAAATAATCCTAAAACAATTTCTTGAAACACTGAAAGAATTGACTAAAGACTAAAGTAAAACACTGAAGAATAAATTCAGTTCCTCTACAAGTGCGACATAAAATGATAGGCAAACGAGAACAGCGGATAATAATACTTGCTTTGTCTTGGAGAAACTCATGACAAGTATTGTAACTTTGGCAATAACAAAAAGTATTAAACACAGTAACAATATATAATAATATGTTCACTTGATATCAGCTCACCTTCGAGTATGAGATAAGAAACCATAAGATTAATAACAATCCCTTCATCTTTCAAGAGGAAAGATTCCACTCACAAACAGATGTGTTTACCTGCACGTTTTGTACTTCATACCGCAAACGCAGTTGCAGCAAAAATGTCCAATGTTTGTGCGCGAACGGCAGTTAAAACAATCGGCTAAAAACTGGGCAGGTGACAGAACAGGTATTTCCACTAAGCGGTGGCCTTTAAATTAACTTGTGCCTCAAACTTTGACAGAGCTAAAAACATTCGTACGAAAGTAGTCAGGCGGCAGAATCGTGTCTAGGGCAATTGTGAAAGGCATTGAAATTTTTATTGGTTAGCTTTCCCCCATCTATGTTGCGTGTGGATTTTCTCTTTCATGCAATCAATTGGCATGTGTGGCGTAAATAATCGCGATAATTGCGATGTTTCATTCAGTATTAAAATACATGCATGTAGACTGAAAGTCCGATTTAATATTTTGAAAATTTGATTCATTGTGCTCATGCAGTTCGGGACTGAGTGCATGAAATGGCTTGAAGTGTTTTAAAAAACTGAGGTAATTTACAATGAAAAAGATGAAGAAATTTTAAAACGTGTGTGTCAAAACGTAGTAAACATTAAGAAACACCAGTTAATGCAAATTATATCCATAGTTATATATACTGCGTGTTTTTTACACAGTTATTTTGTCTTCAAATTCTTTGACTGAGTTTTAACTGATGTGTTTTACCACTTAGCCATGCTTAAACAAGCTCAGGATTATCCTGATGCGTCTTCCTAGCATATCTTAAAAAAGAATTTTGTTCTCAATGAATACTTTCGTATGCCGTATTGGCCGGAAAATGACGAATACGACCATGGTCGTATTGGCTGGAAAATGACGAATACGACCATGGTCGTATTGGCCGGAAAATGACGAATACGACCATGGTCGTATCATGGTCGTATTGGCCGGAAAATGACGAATACGACCATGGTCGTATTAGCCGGGAAAAGACGATTACGACCATAGTCGTATCATGGTCGTATTGGCCGGAAAATGACGAATACGACCATGGTCGTATTAGCCGGAAAAAGACGATTACGACCATAGTCGTATCATGGTCGTATTGGCCGGAAAATGACGAGTACGATCATGGTCGTATTGGCCAGAAAATGACGAATACGACCGTATCATGGTCGTATTAAAACCAACACGTCATATCATGGATAGTTAGTAAAAGAAAAAAAGAAGAAAGACGAACTTTAACATTCCCCGAAAATACAACAGAATCAACGAAGATAAAAAATAAAAACTTGTGAAATAAATACATACAATTTAGGCCCAAATTGTACCGGCGAATCAAGTGGCTATACTAAACACAAAATTAACGAAACATTTTAATAAACTAAGCCGTTCAGTCATTTATATCGAGTTTCCTTTCGAGAATGATGACTTTTGACGTTAAAAACCAACAAGGATTGTTTCGAAACACTAAAATTTCTAAAAGAATATCAAAACACTAAAATTTCTCGCTAAAAACACTTAGAAAACGTTTAGGTGTATAAATCTTGACATTTCCAAGCGTGTGCCTTATTAGTCGTTTTCTATGCATATATGTGTTAGGGACCGCCCCCCCGAGACCATGAGAAGCTTAAATACGTTAAATTTATCTTCGCTCTCAAGGCTTGCCACTGTAGCTGATTCGTCTATGACGCGCTAGGCATACAGCCCACTCTGTTTCTCACTGAGACGTAACGGTTAGGTGCACATACATCATGGTCTGGGGGCCGTAGTGCATCTCCCCCTTAGACGGCCGTTAAGATGTGAGTTATGGGGGGGAGTTCTTCCTATAGCAACTGTCCTTGCACCTTTCGCAGTTGTAATCTATGCTGGTATATCGCAGCTGGTTGTAATATCACCGGTTAGATTGTGGCATAGAGCTGGATGATCTCTTTTTTACGTTCTTTCCATATTTTTTTTCGGCGTTCTTTCCAAATTTTTGTTTTACATACAAAGAAACACTGTTATTTAAACATATATGGAATAGATATGGTTAAAAAAAAAATTTACCAGCTCGCAGCCACCTAACTTAAATCCATCTGAGTTTTCACCCCAGTCCCCCGCGGTCAAAATCAAAAATTTAAAAATTGCAAGAATTTTCCGGAAAATGACGAATACGACCATGGTCGTATTGGCCGGAAAATGACGAATACGACCATGGTCGTATCATGGTCGTATTGGCCGGAAAATGACGAATACGACCATGGTCGTATCATGGTCGTATTGGCCGGAAATTGAAGAATACGACCATGGTCGTATCATGGTCGTATTGGCCGGAAAATGACGAATACGACCATGGTCGTATCATGGTCGTATTGGCCGTAAAATGACGAATACGACCATGGTCGTATTCGCCGGAAAATGACGAATACGACCATGGTCGTATCATGGTCGTATTGGCCGTAAAATGACGAATACGACCATGGTCGTATCATGGTCGTATTGGCCGGAAAATGACGAATACGACCATGGTCGTATTGGCCGGAAAATGACGAATACGACGATAGTCGAATTGGCCGGAAAATGGCGAATTCGACCATGGTCGAGTCCGCCGGAAATTGGCGAATTCGAGGTAGACTTGTGATGGAAAAAAAAACTTGTTGTGAATTGATGTTAATGATATTGTTGAAAAATTTTATAAGTAAGAATTTTTCTTTAATATCAAAAAAAACGTGTATTGTGTTATATAGATCACACAGCTAAATAGACATACGCAGATGTCATGACGGTACTCATCTCTAACTAATCTCTCAGATATCAAATATTTTTTGATGTGACTGTACGTCACTAATTCTAGAAATGACAACACCATACAATGACAGTCACGTTCCCCAACGTACTAACTTATGAGAATCAGATTAGCTTCCAGTTTTCACTGCAGCACTTTCCTTGCGATAGTAACTTCTAGTACTAAGTATGTTTTATGCGGAATGACTCAAGGTTTATAAGCAATGCATGCGAGTGATGACGTGATGCTGAAGTGGAACTGGTTTGACAAAAAAATAGTACAAAAGTCTGAGTTTTTGGCAAAAGCTTCATGTTACAAATGTTAACAGCTGATTACTATGGCCTGGGTCGCTAAATGACAAAGTCACAACGGAATGTTCACATCGTTTGTGCACATTTTACATTTTTGGAATAACGTATCTATTTCGGTCCTAACATTTCTTCTGGTTTTACATAAGAGTCAAATTCCTCAGATGTCAAATACTGCAATGCGACAGCAGCTTGCTTAAGCGTGGTGCCATCCTTGTGTGCCTTCTTTGCAATCTTCGCTGCTTTATCATAACCAATGTATGGGTTTAACGCCGTTACTAACATGAGAGACTCATGAAGGAGTTGATCAATCTTCTCACGGTTGGCAACAATACCATTCACACAGTTGTCTGTGAAGGCTGAGCAGGCGTCGCCTAGGAGACGTGTCGACTGCAAGACGTTGCGTATGATGATTGGTTTAAAGACATTTAATTCGAAATGACCGTTGCTACCTCCAACGCTGACTGCTACTTGATTACCCATGACTTGAGCAGCAACCATTGTGATCGCCTCGCACTGTGTTGGATTTACTTTACCTAAACATAAGACTGTCGTGTAAACCATTGTTTGACTCATTACACACAGTAACCCGAGGCAAAACCTAGGCATAACCCTACCCCACACGTCCTAACCTGGTTAAGAAACTCATCAGTCTCCTGTATAAACTCTCACGAATAAACAGTTTGGTCACTTACCAGGCATGATGCTACTTCCCGGTTCATTCTCAGGTAAAGACAACTCGCCCAGACCACATCGCGGACCAGAGCCAAGAAAACGAATATCATTAGCAATCTTCATCAGACTACACGCGATCACGTTCAGAGCTCCGTGTAATTCAACCATTGCGTCGTGGGCAGCTAATGCTTCAAACTTATTTGGAGCACTAAGAAGTAAATGTAATGTGTGAGATGGCATTATGCGATGATGACAGTATACTCTGTGTGTGTGTATGTTCACACTTTTGTTCATTTCCAAGCTTTAAAAAATACAAATTCCGATTGCATTAAGTTAGGGAACAGTTCAGAAAAACTGTGACTTCAGAGATACGTCTCACCTGGTAAACGAGAGTGATGTTAACTCTGCAATTGTAGCTGACATTTTCTCAGCAAAACCAATTTTTGTATTAAGTCCAGTTCCAACGGCAGTTCCACCAATAGCAAGCTCAAAAACTCTTGGTAAAGTGTTGAGAACTCTTTGTTTTCCATACTTCAACTGAGTTGCATAACCAGAGAACTCTTGACCCAGTGTAAGTGGCGTTGCATCCTGTGTGAAAAAATATACTAAACTAAATCTTCGTTTGTGAATGAAGATTTTGTTTCGAAATCCAAGGAGATAAAACGTTATTTCGAGGTTTTTCCGCGATTAGAGAGATGCGTTATCCTAAATTTCTTAATCCCCGAAAGGAATGCGCAATAGTCGGAACTGAACTACTCAATAAACAGCAACATCCATCGTATGAAATCCTTGCCTGGGTATGCGTTCGTCCAATCTTCACAATATCTTTAAATTCTTCAGCTTTTTTTTCAAGAGCTTCATGTATTTTATCAAGTCCTGGTAAAAGTCTCTCATGAACTTCAATTGCTGCTGCAATATGCATGGCTGTTGGGAAGGTATCATTGGAGCTCTAGATCATGAGCAATAAAGATTAGCACAAAGTTTACTCTCAAATCTTCATTAATTTTTTTTATGTTTAGCATTACATAACTGTGTTGCTTACCTGACTTTTATTAACATGGTCATTAGGATGGACTGGAGTCTTGCTCCCCATCTCACCATTCATCATCTCTATTGCCCGATTACTGATTACTTCATTCACATTCATGTTTGATTGAGTTCCGGAACCAGTTTGCCAGACTACCAGAGGAAAATGATCATCCAGTTTACCTGAGATCACCTGTTAGACAAAGAAGTATTTCAAGTTGTTCTTTCATCCAAGGCATGAGCATATTCTGTGGCCTACCTCATCAGCTGCTTCCATAATATGTTCAGCAACACTGGCGTCCATACCATATTCCTTATTGACCAATGCTGCAGCTTTTTTGAGGTAACCAAATGCTCGGATAACTGGAATCTATAGGACATAATGTATGACTCCTTGACCATGCAAACATAGGCATACAAGGTAACAGGAGCCACAGTCAATTAATTTTGGCAGGATTGGTAATCAGTCTAGCAATTTGTACTTGAAAGTTGGGCAATTATGGTGTAAGCTAACATTCAAAATGATGCATTGGAAAAGAGATTTCCTTTCTTACAGGCATTCTCTCATACTGTGGATCTCCAATTGGAAAGTTCTTTATAGATCTTGCTGTTTGAGCTCCATAATATTTCTCAGATGGAACCTCAATCTCCCCAAATGTGTCTGTTTCAATTCGTACTGACTGTAATGGTGCAATAAAGAAATGAGAATAATGCAGTGGGTGAGGTCAAGGGTGTAAGGGGGCAGAGCTACCCAAAGGCCTGACTAGACCTTGAGGAAATTCTGCAACTGAGAATTCAAATTCTGAGGGATGGCAATTCCTATTTTCTAGGAAACAATATTTCTTCTTAGATCTTGGATCAAAGCATAAGTTGTACAGTATACCAGACTGATAATTTGGTTACACAATGCAGGTCATTATCATAATATCATTATTCATCCTTTAAAAATCCTGGAAACCAAATTTTCAGACTAACTAGCCACACAACTTGAAATAAAAAGTATAGATCTATCTACCATATGCACGTGTCTACATGCACGTATTCTCATAATTTTCCAGCACACCTACCATTGCTCGAACAGGACAGTTTCTTTCTCTCAACGAAAACCTTACCACCTCTCTAAAACTATTGAGAGAATATTTGTTGCTTTTTAGATGCCGCAATCGTAGTGCAAAAGCCATCAAGGCTGGATTCAAATGCAAATCACGAGGATTTTTTACCCTAAATAATAAATTAATATATTTTCTTCTATGAATAATACCAAAATTAGTAAGTACTTCGTGTTATATGGATGATAATAGGTCAACTATAAACATAAAATTGACATAGCTGAGCGCAACGCTCAACAGAATTATTGCTTTGTATTTATCAAGTTTTCTATCGGGTATCTTTGCTTTTTCGATATTATAGTCTTTTTCAAATCCCCTCACAACAAAATAAATAGCAAAAGCATTAAATTTAAAGGAGGAACATTGAACATTTTTCTCGCTGAAAACAGACACTTTGCGTCGAGAAATGTTTGCTGATACAACCAAATTGAAAGCAGGTACGGCGGGTGTAAAGAACCGCAGAAGGTTCCAGTTAAACTTATGGTGATACACAAAAATTCATCACCTCGCATAACTGAGATAAGGCAGTTTTAGTGATAGAGACCTGGCTGTCAATCAACGAACTCTTACGCATGCGTTGTCCAAATATATATTCAATAACCATCACAGCTGACTTTTTATGGTCTATGGACATGAAAGTATTATATTTACACAGATATTTAGTTTTGTCATTAACATCTTAACATTTGTAATGCATTTTTTTTACATATTTACATATATACCTGGTGAATTAAGTTACAAAAATTTAAAGCCTTTAAACAAGGTTTAAACATTAGATAGCAGAAAGCTCAGCTATTATCTCACTGAATACTTAATACTAAACAGTTCTTTATTCTTGTTTATATAACCTGCCCATTATAAATTATATAATTATATTAGAATATCATCTGGAAAAGAGTCTATTTCCTCAATAGAAAGAGGGAATGGGTCTCTCCAAACCCAATTTGATTTTTTGTTATTATATTTTCTAGCTGTTTTAGCCTGGACCAGAATGCAGACTGGGTATTCATCCTTGTCAGGGTATTCATCTTTCCAGGATTGGAAGGTCAGCAATCGCCTCTTGGCACTGCTGGTTGGTCCCTGAAAGAGAGGTAATGTTGCACCAGTATGTCCATGCAGTATAGCCATCATTTACACAATGCAATCTATGGATGCATGTCTGGGAATCAACAAAAAATCTTTATCCATACCCTGTTTGAAGGACAGCTTTCTGGAGTGATATCTTTAGACATTTCACCAATGTTATTACTGCATTCTAAAGGAATGGGCTTTAACAAAAGACAATGTTAATTAATTATTAACATCATCAAGATGTTTTAATAGTTTTTCTAAAGCTTGAGGTGAATTGCTGTTACACTACCTCACTACTTATACCTCAAACTCCAACAATATTTCCGTATCTTGCATCATATGTTGATTTCTTGTACTCTGAGACTTCTTTTTTTTCTTTGCAATTGGGCATTCATTAATCATAGATATTTCACACTAAGTAGAAATAATAATTCAAATGTAAATACGTCTGATTCAAACGTGTGATGGATATCTTGTTGGACCATCCTCTGACCATCAAATGCTACCAAAATTCCAGATATAATGTATCAATCAATCGTTAAAAACCCACATTTGTCATATTGTTACCCACATTTCTATTTGCAGAATAATCTTTTGGTGTCTTCTCTGATTCCTTGAACCAAACTTTTTTAACAGAATTCATAGCAGTATCTTTTCCAGAAGTTCTCTAGATAAAAAAACTTGTATATTAAAATATGAATGATTTTCGAAGTATTTATTGTGATGATGCATTGTGTACGTCAATTATCTCAGTGTTGAGCATCTCTAAGGATACAAAACCTGTTCTTTGGTGTCTGTTGTTTTTTCATAGGCATAACTGTCAATAATATTATCATATCCGCCTGTATAATTGAAAGAGTTTTTCACGACCGTCAACCAATAAAAGAATATTTGCAAAACAGAAATGCCCCTACAGTTTTGCAATATGATGTACATACCTTCTATGGATGATATTTCACAAGGTATAAAATTCCTTACATCATTCTCACCCTCCAAACCATGAAGAGCTGTTGAGTTTGTGATTTTATTTGCAGCCTGACTGTCATCATTTGAACAAAGTGACATCTCTTTAACTGTCAAACTTGTTCTGTTGCTAATTAAGTTAGGGAGCAATGTTGTGCATACCACCATTGAATAATCCACTCCCTGCAATCTTGTCTTATTTTTTCTCCTCACAGTTACTGAGCTTGGAAGTATTGGTGGTATTGACCTGTCATAGAGTACATGAAATATTGCAAAACAGAAGCATGGCAAGGCTTTTAGAGACATTCTAATCTGGATACCATCATCAGGAGAGTAATTATGGTAGTTCTAGAACTCTCTTGAAGAGGACCCTTGTTAAATAAGTCATGATCAATAATTTGGAAGACCAGAACCGAATAAAGATCAGGACAATTTGTACCTTGATATATCTTCACTTTGCTCGCTGTTCCTAAGAGGACTTTCTATGGTTTAAAATAGATTAACAATGAACATAATTAAAACATTGAAGTGTCAGTATAAAAATACAATGGGATGAAAACAGACTTCACCTTACCTGGTGCCACCGTTTTGGACCGTGTTGAATATTTCCTAAGTGGCTGTTTCTTTGAATAGGTCTTTATGGTTTTATCATTCTCATAGTCAGGTATATCCCAGTCAATATTAAAATCATTAGGTTCATTAGTACTCTTTTCAGTTCTAAGACGATTGATAGCGGCTGTTTTGCTTCTTGTTTTTACTGGCATCGCTAAAAGAAAGCTGAATGATAACTGACGTCAAAAATTGGTCTTACTTTTAACGCTGTTTTGTCCCGGCTATCTATTACGTTTTAAATTTTACATTTTATTACGTATTATAACTAATAAAGAAACGACCAATAGTACATAGCAGTAAATGCAATTAATTGAAATTGATTCCTTACCTCTGAAGTCTGAACTATGCTCTGAAAGATATAAACTTGAACGAGCTCTGCTTTATTTTATAGTTTGCTGCTTCGCCTGTCAGCCTTTTGTTTTCACTCTTGTGTATGTTTGATACACGTGAATTATATCAATGCTCATGATTGGTCACCTGAACAATCTACTAACTTCTTAGCCAATCACCATCTTCGTCAATAAGCGCCATAAATTGGCGCCAAAAACTAAATTTTAGTTCAGTGAAAAGTTTGAAACAGATGAATTTTGATTTGAAAGCTTGAAAAAGTAGGTATTTTAAGCCTTTAAATATAAGCAAAGTGCACGTGAATCAGATATTGTAAGTACCATATCCATAGTTAAAACATTTGGCAACATTTAATCAGTGTATGCTTCTGTTTTTTTATTAAATCGTAGAAAGCATGTCTGTACAGTATCTCTATGAAGTATCTTCGCCGTCATTTCAAATGGTGCCACATTCACCATTCATTAGAAAACCTTGCACCGTTGTTTCTTCACCAGTCGCGATTGTCCCTGATATAGACACCGGTGAAACTCTCAGTTCGAAGAAAGACTTCAGTTATATCGGTATAAAAACACTCTAATAAAAGTTTTATTTAACAACCATTACATGTATTCGAAACATCCTAACCAGTGAACTATTGTTACAGGCAAACAAACTCAACTTTTTACCATGGAGAAATCATCACCCGTGGCAACTGGCAGAGTACCTTCCGTATCTCCAAAGACACCACTGAATAATATTACAATACAAGCAAGAGGTATTAGATAATAATTTTACGTGTTTTTTTTCAAACAGTGTAAACATATAAAACCATTTATTTCAACTTTACAGAGCAACAAGTTCCAAGCCAAACGCCATCAGGAAACCTGTCGTGTAAAGCACCACCTCTCAATCTTTTCTCTGACGATGACTGTATTTTCTTATAGCTTAATACAACTTTATTAATACAAAGAGCTATTCCTCAGCTGCGTTAAATTGAATAATAAAATATAATATTCATTGTTTATATATTATTTTAGTTTAGTATAGTCATGGTATCTCCATGGTATGCTTGACGAGTCTAAAATAGGCTAAAAATATCCATCAAATGGTGCATGATAAATAGATTAGAAAGGTCACGGGGACATGAATACGATTCAAGTCTGCTCAAACGACGCTTAAACCTTTGTGTTTTCAAAAAAAAGATAAATATCAGTGCAAATATTTATCGCAATCATTACGCAAATTACCGGAAACAAATGGCCGGAAGACGGAAGTGAAACCTTCAAAATATTGTTTATAAATTTGCCGGTAAATTCGCGTGATCGCGTCAGTAGTAAAATCCAAGAAAGGGCTCGAATCTTCTTTATAAAGGTGAGTTTCTCTGTATCATGATTAAAAAATCCTGTTTTACTGGTGTTTATATAGAAATTTTTGAGTAAATTTTGTTTGTTCTTGTAACGTGGCAATGTTTATTGTGAAAATTGTTAATTGAGAGAAGTTTTTGCATGTTTCAGAGCGTCGACATTCATCAGTGACAGTGTATACGTATAAATTTCAACAAAGCACAAGTATGTTGTATTATGTGAGCTGTCTTGGCTTCTTTCTCTGCTTGTAAGTATATGTTTCAGATATTTCTGGACATGATAAGTCTAAAATTCTGCTTCGAAGTTAGCTATTCTGTATTATGCAATAAAATAAATTGTCAAATAGATCATTGTCAATAATTGCTTTTGTTCTTTCTGATATGCTCAAATTTCAAATTACAGTTATATAATTTTAAATATTTTATATTTCTACAGGTCATGTGTAGAGGGTTTCAATACAACCAACTATAACTATGATCACTTTATATTCACACAGCAATGGCCACAAAGTCTTTGTGAATGTATTGGTGTAAGTGTTCTAAGAAGCTGCATGAAAGCTACATGGTATCATTATTCTGAAGAATTGGGTTCTAAATAAATTGAAATAAACCAGAGATTTCTCGGAATAAGTGCTTGATCCATATGTAGGTCACATGTAGTTACTAGTCAAGGATGTGGGACTAATAGGTTAAATTATAATGCTTTGTACCACAGGTGTCTAGGTGTCGAATCCCAGAAAAAGTAAAAACATGGACTATACATGGATTATGGTAAGAGGATATTATGATGGCTCTACATGAGTTTAATTCTCATTGAGGTATTTGTATTTAAAATTAGATATTATATGTTGTATTTCTGCTAAATTGATAGGCCAACTCTTGGAAAAACAGAGGATCCTCAATACTGCAACAGATCATGGCACTTTGAGGAATCCCAAATTTTGGTAAAGCAATATTCTGAAATGTGTCTGAATATTTTGACCATGTCATTCAGTGATGTTTTTCTATAAAATAGGACATTGAAGCAAAGATGGAAATTTACTGGCCAGAACTTGAAACCTCCACTAATTCAAGAATTTCATTTTGGTGAGAATTTTCAGCATGCTGGGATAATGTTATTTAAAAGGTTATTTAGGAAGTTTTTTTCTTCAGGGAACACGAGTGGGAAAAGCATGGAACATGTTGCACAGATATGTCATCATTGGACAGTGAACATAAATATTTTGCTCTGGGACTGCAGCTAAACAGAAAATATGACATATTAAGGCAAGCGTGATATCCCCATTACCCTTATCATGTCTGTATATTGGCCAGCAATGACCTTGCATGACCTGCTATTTTTACTTATTTTTATTATTTTTATTTTTATACCTAATGAAATTATGTTTTTTTCCCATCCAGTATGCTTAATGATGCCGAAATTCTACCATCCAAAACGAAGACATACAAGGTATAAAGATAACTTACTTTGGTATATTACTTAGTGAAATCTATGTAAAATATTGGTTTCTTCATATCTACTACAGCTCGACGATTTCCGCGACGCAGTTCAAAAAAAGACCGGCCATTCGCCCATTCTTCATTGCTGCAAAACGGATGTAAGTCAGCGTCTTCTAAGTTAGACTAAGTATTGATTCATGCAGCTCCAGATCTTGCCGTTGCCGTTTGTTTACTGTAAGAGTAAGAGTCTTTCTCTCTCCTTAGAGCAAACAGCGAGTCGAGGAAATAATGATTTGTTTGGATAAAAAATTCAACGTAATCGATTGTGAGGAGGCGGACGAGGAATGCACCAATGACGTACCAGTATATTATCACCCATTGAACCCTTTCTTCGCGCAATAATCCAGCATTTTATTTTATAAATCTCGTTATTATCTGCTAATTTTTATATCAATTTGTTCTCCATTTCTCGTGTCAAACATTTGTTTTCGATGTGTGAAGGGTATCGAAAGCGATATTCGTATTATTTGAGGTTACTCCTGCCTAATTTACATAGATTTTTTAATATGATATATACTACCCAACAACGCCATCTAATTTATAATCATACCTCACAAATATACAAACGAAGAAACTTTGGGTTATTTTGTACAAATATATTTACTACCGTCGCATAATTTTTTGTGGTATTTACAAATGAACATTGGGTGAAGTGACGAAATAAATATATACTACTTTCTACTATGTTACTATACACACTATATTGTTCTGCATTTATACAATAATTACACAGAATATATTGAGAAAGTTCCGGCATAGATATTGCTACACATTAAAATTTTATATTCCTCTTGAAATATTCCCCTCAGTGAATAGAATAGTATTTTATATTGAGTTGCATTGTTGTGGTGAAATATTGTACTCCAGTTTTAGCCTCTACTTACTATGAAATTACATCGTAATATTTTTCTAAACGCTTTGTTATATTCATAGTGAAACAAAGCGTAGATAATAGGATTAACAAAGCTGGACATGAATATGAACACTGATGTGAGATACTCCACAGCCGTGGGTACTGAGTCTCGCCCGCTCACGACAGCACTGAAGTTCACTAGTCCCCTTGGTAACCAGAAGATGGCGAAAGCAGCTGCAACCATTAACAGACTTGTTGTCACGCGGGACTCGCGTGTTCGATGACGGCGAAATTTATGATTGATGGTGTTTATCGAGTATCTGCTACCATTTATGTTATCTGAAATAGATAGAAGAAGAGGTGGTTGACATTGAAGATGAAGCGAGGAAAGCCTCGACGGAAAGAGAAGAAATGATGAAGACATGAAGAAGAGGTGGTCAGAAATGTCGTGGAATGAAGAGATAAGAAGAGAAGAGGTGAAGTGGTAGATATTGTGGAGGAGACGAGGGAAGCAAGGTTGAGATGATATGGACACGTAATAAGAAGAAAGGAATGAAAGCTGGTCAGGAATATCATGGAATGAAGAGTTCAAACAAAGATGTGAGGTATAATGAGATGTGAGGTGGTAGATATTGTGGAAAAGATGAGGGAAGCAAGGTTGATATGATATCGTCAAGTCATATGAAGTGGTAAAAGAAATTGAAAGGTTATAAAATCAAAAGAAGATGCAAGGTTATGGACATTGACTGAAAGTAGCGGGGAGGCGGCGCAAGGATGAAAGACCCGGACCCGACTTGACGAAACGAAATAATTGTTTTTTTAAACTATTACTAATTCTATGCTATATTCAAATAAGGCGCCTTATGAAAGGCATAGATGCAATTAAATCATGCACAAGATTTAAATTTAGAAATCGTTTGTCTTCCCGGTAATCACGAACCACAACCAATTAGCTGTCAATATCCAGCATATGGCATACACCCATGATTGAGATACGTTTTTCAGTGTGATGTGTTATCATTTCACAAACCCCACGAAGACACAAGCTTCTTTAAACGCGTGTTTGCTGATAAAAAAATTATCAAATTAAAACACGTTCGAATGTTAGCGAAACTGATATTCGAATTTAATTAGAATGTAAGTGCATTCCATATTGTAATTATGGCTTGTGTTTATTCAAGATTACCAAGTCTAAGATTCCATAGTTTCCATTTTAAATATGCAGTAATATGACTGGAATAACAGGAAAACCTCTGACCCTAAAAGACCCCCTTCATGATTACTGCATGCAAAGGCAAAAACGTTTTCAGTCGATTAGTGAAGTATTTGATTGAGAAGAGGGCGTCCACGTCACTAATGTATAGCGATGATAATTTCTTATCTCTGTCTGATACTGATAGAATATTATCCAAGCGTGCCGATGCTCCATGTAAATGTAATGGATGGTTGCAATTGTGACCTCAATTAAGCATAGATGGGTTTAATTTGAGATCCTTTATCTTAATAGGTGAAGCAATATCGTCAACTTTCAATATTCAACTAACTATAACTATAAATTCCTACCTCTCTTACAGGGCGATGAAGAAAGATCGTTAACGCTGATCTTTGAATGACCATCAACAGACAAGCTGTCGTTTTCTCTCTCGATTCTTGCTCTCAAGTCCAGTTGACTGCTCATTCTTAATTGCGCGATAGGACTTTGGCCAATCCTCCGAATTTTGATATAAACAGTAATGTACAAGATGGTTGCAATAAGAGCAGGGATTATGTAGCAGAATGCCAGTAAACTGATAGAATGAGCTTTGTGGTGAGACCAGTTTATATTACAAAACAGTGTACCCTGAATGTACTCGTAACCACCCCATCCTAAGAACGGCATTATTGACCACAGTAAACTATGAACCACGACCAAAAATACCATGGCGTATGTCGTTGAAGTTTTCCATTTAAGTAGATATCTGTGTGGATAGGAAATTGCCATAAATCTGTTAATGCTGATGCTGAACAGCACGCCAAATTGAATGGCAGTCAGTAACGTATTTAAAAATCCTGATGCCACACAAAGCTCGTGGCTTTGAGACCACTTGCCGTGCAATGCTGTGCTGACAACGAAAGGCATCACCAATACAGACATACCAAAGTCGGCTAATGCTAAAACCATCACAAGAATTGCTGGTGAAGACACTTTAAGAGATCTCGTTCTCCAAAAAGCGATCTGAACCAAGACGTTGCCAATCACAGATGCAACTGCAGTCAGGATCACAACGACAACAAGGACATAAACTCCTGGCGATGGAGTAAATTCCAAACTTGTACCATTTCCAATGCTTTTAAGTCCCCTCATTTTTCTGAAGCTAATTCTAATCAGCCAGTCCTTCACTTGCAGCGAGACTGTGGGCAGATTCCAGAAATATCTCGGTTTTCACTTTCCTCTTTAAATGTACAAAAACAATTCATAATCGATTTGTTGACAGTGTTTTAATTAAGACGAAGATATCTGCCAGACTAAGAAGGATTATTGGGTACGGCTGTCAGCTTTAATTGTATTTGTTCAAATAAATTTTTGATAACAAATAACCAACCGTAGCGTTTGTGACAGACCCTAATCGTAGGGGATATCGTTGGCAACAGAGGTGAAAATGAACTGCGGATATGCGTGTGTGATTATTAAGAAAGTTAAGTGAGAAATGTCGGTGATGTTAAGTGTTACCTCTCCCTACAAGAACACAGAAACGTCTTTCATATTCCTGTGTCGCAGTCAAGTGAATACGTGACCCGTGTCATGAAATTGGATCCCTTTACAAGAGTTACTACGTGCAGCTTCATCATCTTTTACTCATTTTTTCCACATTTTCAAGGAAATATATTCATGGAAAGCCAGGCGAATATCGTCCCAAATTTCCATATCAAAGTAATGCAAGGTTGCATGATCAGTACCTCCGTTATAATCAATTACTATGGCCAATAACTAAGAAATATCGTTAATTGATGATAAATGATAATGAAATATTGTCCAAATTTAACCGCGAAGCCAGCAATATAATCTCTAAGATCAAAGAGTTCATGAACCGAACAGAAGTATAACTAAAATAGCATTTTAACCCAATATCAGAATTGGCTGAACGTTGTTAGTGCTTCATAAATTCTCAATTCAAAGCAATACAGTGGATGATATTTTACAACGAATATCTGCATATGACGTAAGAGCGTATTTGAAGACAATTCTCCGGAAATTTTCTTCTTTCATATGAAGGATGGTTGTATGAAATTCTTTAACTTCATTTTTAGCAGTTGGATTGCCTCAAGTGATTCGTACAACCTTCAGCTTTTACAGACATTGTTTTATATACGTATTAAGTATATACAAACCTTGACTTATTATGAGGCCAATTTCATGTCTGTTGACGGGTAAGAAACCTTTACAATTGTGTTTTTCAAAGAACCTTCATCCAGTTACCGTATATGAGGCTATTAAAGATGTGTGATAATGATGATGATGACACTCTAGTAATCATGCAGTAATGAATCTTCTTGGATTCACATCAAGCGCTCGGCTCATTTATTGAAGTGTTGGTGATGAATATTTATCGTCTGTGTCAAAAAGCAGGGGTAAGATAGGCATGCATTGTGTGGGTGGTTATCGAATACAATGGCGCGGTCTCCTTTCAGACGTATTCACGTTGCGAGCTTCATTGGGAAATAATTGTAACATTCAAATCGTTCCATGCATGACACCACAGACACACCTGAATGATATGTTAATGCATTCTGCTTATTAATAATCCGATTTCATGTTTTGCACAGATAGAAAGCATTCATTTTTAATCAGTTGTTTTGTTGAATTTCTTGCCGTAGCTTGATTTTTCTTGTCACATGGATGCCTAGGCGCATCCTGACACCTAAACGTCACGACGTGTTGAGCCCATTTACCTAGAAACTTATGGTTTTAGACACCCCGGAATAAACATAGACAAGTCTAAACGACATTTGTAAAGGAAAGCGGGCAAATTAGGAAATAGGAGGTTCGAACTACATCACGATTAATAGCAGGTTCAAACTACATCACGATTAAAAAGCTACAAATTTGTCTTGCAGCCTCTATTTATGTACATGAGTGCTTATATACCTTCATTGAGAATTGAGATACCTTGATCTCATACCTTGAGATTAGTAATGTGGCCACCTTTGTTTAATCCAAACTCTTTTGTTTTAGAAGATAACCCTCCGAAGGGCCCTAACGTAATAGTATGCGCACACAGAGTACGTCATTAATATTTTTACCCGTGCCAATTATCTGAAAAACGGACGTTTATGGTGCAGGATCATTATTTGTTTCTGGCATGCATGCCCAACATTTCCTCTGCTTACGTCTATCACTGGTTACATAACTACCTATTAAAATGTTAATGTATCATGCGCAACCTGAGCGCACATAGATTCTACATTTTAGCTAGAATAAAAATTACGCTCATATGAACCATTTCTCCCCGTGATTACCCTTCGGTTACTATCTGACTTCGAGATTAATTAAAGAATATTGTACTCACCTTGTACTTGCCGAGGTACTTGTAATCACCAAGGAAATATTAGCAATTGGTATGCGTCATAAAACTTATGATCTTCCTGTAAGATTGGCAGGTATCTTAGTTTTACTCCATAATCAGCTGTAGCAAATCATTCCCCGAAGCGAACAAGAAAGAAAAGTTATATCATATATGGCTCATTCAAATACGCGGCTTTATAATTCTCTGTCATGAAAAATACGTTGGCGATTTGTTTAAAAAAGAGTGTCTTATTTCGCAATTTGACACGATTGTTTCGCCTGAGTTACTATAGTACGCAGGGTGGTACGGCTTGACGCACAGGTTTGCGCCCCACGTGGTATGACCCTGGGATGACCCCAGCCCTGCCCTGAAAACTGAAATTATTTGATAAAACAGTATATTCTCCTAACCGCCCAATAACACATCAATGACATCATTTACAAGTGTTGTCGTGTGTTTTGTGTTTTGTTGTGTTTGGTTGGTGAGGTTTGATAAAAAGGATATCTTTGGCCAGTTTAAATACTCAAGCTTGCTTATATATATTATCTTTTAACTTCAGAATGCATAAAAACATTTAGGAGGCTTAGTAAAGCGACAGCATCGTTAATATGGTAGCAGAATATGTATTGGCAGAGACAACAGAAGAAAATGTTTTGTGTTCCATCCTTGGCTTACAAGATGATATTGCATGCAGACTTAGGAACTTAAGTGAAGAAATGAGAAGGCACCGCGTTGATAAGTATTTTATACTGTGTTTCATAGAGCAACGGGACGAGTCTGAAAATGTAGAAGACTTACGTGATACAAAGACACTAAAGTGTGCTTTGCAAAAAATGGGCTTTACGAAATATCGATCAAATGTTGTTGCCAATTGGATTGCTAAACAGCCTTTTCCTGAACACATATCCCTTTTGGCTTGGGCTAAAATTTACATAGAAGGATTGTTCAAGTATGATATACGGTTGAATCATAAAGTCCCCAAATTTCCATTCAGAGAAAGTGACCTGAATAAATGGTTCACAGTAAGTGTTGATAATGAAAGAGATGATGCTAGTTTTGTGCCTGTTCTTAACACCACAACCAAAGACGAGGCCGTAACTCAGATAAATGATTTGACATCACAGGTCAAGTCAAAGGATCCAAAAGGACAACTCTTTTTCCATGGTACAGACCATGTAAGTGCCAAGAATATTCTGGATGATGGAATCAAGTTAGGGTGTGGTAAAGTTCGTTGTGATTTTTCTAATGGAAAGGGATTTTACTTGGTGAATGACTTTGAGTATGCTCTGAATTGGGCACAAAAAGACAAGGCTGCAGCTGTAATATTGTTTAAAATCACTCATGATCATCTTAATGGAGTACAAGGTCTTGATTTATCAGGTTCTGAACGTCACAAAGACTTAGAAGCTATAATCAAATTCTTCAGGTCTGGTGAACAACATAGAAATAAACTTAGTGAAAAACTGAAACATGAGGTCAAAAGTTGTGATTACATTGTTGGTCCAATAAGCAGGGATAATGTGAAAGATGTACAGCAGATTTGCATTAGAAAAGAAGAAATGGCCGGTAGCATTGGGGATATGTTGTTTATAGAGGGTGTTGTATTTTTAAATGATTTGGAAGATATCTGATCTTTGATTGCCAGACATTGCTAGTTGTGATATTTTGGATGTTGAGTTCTGAAGGCATTGATTGTAATCAGATTATATCAAAGATATATTTTACATGCACTCAAGAAAGGAAAAAATTGACATTTTTTTAGAGTTTAAGATAGTACATGAAGACAATAGTACGAATTCTGTTTATGAGCAAATAATTTTTTTTTTCAAACCAAACCAATTTGTGTTTTGAAACAATCCTAACTGGTTTTTAACATCAAAATAGCCATCATACTAATATATTGTCTTTATGGCTGCTCAATTCCCCAGGTACAAGGCGGACCTAAACCATTGAAGAAAACCTTGTTGTACTCTCCTTCCCCTGGCCAGGTCTGCCCCCTGCCCACAGAGCCCCTGGCCCCTCCCCATATGACCTGAAACCATTTAGCAAATTTGCGCAATAAAATGTCCACAAAGACGCACGTCGAAACGCGTAGCAAAAAAATTATAAATAATCCGTATGCTGTAGTTGACGAAGCTTTAAATGGCGCGGTTCTCTCCAACAATGATGTGCAATTACTAAATGGCCATCGTGTTTTGATACGACGCGATGTTGATTGTGTTCGTGAGCGAAGTTTGGTGGCATTGATCTCTGGTGGCGGAAGTGGTCATGAACCAGCGCACGCTGGATTTGTAGGTTTGTACCATACAAACTAAGAAAGTTATTACATAAAATAGTGTACTTTGTGCCTGGCTATGAGCATGGAGGTTCTCACCTCTCAGATTTAGTACATCAATTGCATTTAATAAAACTGTAGTGGGCAGTGTTTATCAGCTATTGAATCAATTCATACTGGTCATGAATAGCGTCTGTTCTACTAGCTATGAATAGCGTCTGTTCATTGCCATATTTCGTACTAGATAGAAATTCATGATCACTGCTATTCACCGTAATTTTTACAATAGGTGTAGGTTTAGTAGTGGCTGTTGGTAACCCATTTTTTGTCATTAATTAAAGGCCATGGTGGATTGACAGCTGCTGTTGCTGGTGATGTATTTACTTCACCTCCAACAAGATCAGTTCTTGCTACCATACGTGCTGTTGGTGCCAGTAATGAAGGTGGTGTTTTGCTAATAGTTAAGAACTACACTGGTGACAGGTAGTTATTTTCCCATAGTTATTTGGTACTTGCCTTTGCTGACAACTGCTATGTGTACTAAAACAGGTTTTGTGGTTAGGTTAAATTTTGGTATGGCCGCAGAACGGGCCAAACAGGAGGGTATCAAAGTTGATATTGTTGTTGTAAATGAAGATTGTGCTTTGGCAAGTGTAGATAAGACTTCTGGCAGAAGAGGATTGTGTGGTACTGTCATTATTCATAAAGTAAGTCACATATATATATATACAGGTATTGTATGATTTGCAGATAATTTACAAACAAACTGTATTGCCTTGTAATCAGATAGCAGGTGCGATGGCAGAAACAGGAGCATCATTGGAGGAAATGGTTCCATTTTTGCAGGACACTATCAAAAACATGGGTAAGATATATTGATAGAATTGTCAATATTGAACAAAGTATTCTTTTATCGCATTAGCATTACCAAGTGTAAAAATTGAGAACTATTTTTAGCGTGACAAATTGGTTTTAAAAAATATACGACTGTATAAATGTTCTGTTCGTCTAGGTACAATGGGTGTAAGTTTATCACCATGCTCCATACCAGGATCACAGCCGTCATTTCATCTTGCGGATGATGAAATTGAGCTTGGTCTTGGTATGTTAACTAGATCTTGTATAAAACAAATTGTTGGTTGATCATTGAGAATAATCTACCATTTTGAGTACTACATTACTGCTCTTCATCATATCTATAAATTACTATATATATATGCCAGGTATTCATGGGGAAAAAGGTGTGGAAAGAATTAAGGTATAGTTACTTCTCAGGAAGTATTTCATGGTTACCTCGCCAGCACCTGTTTTTGTCATTTATTTTTTTCTTGTTTTTCCTTGTGATGAAAAGCTCTTAACAGCCAAGCAACTTGTGCAAAGAATGGTGGAACATATGAGTACAGAATCTGAGGCAGAGACCAATAAATTTTACCTAAAGAAAGGTGACACTAGTTTGGGAATTATTAACAATAGTTTAGGTGTGTGTAGAACCATATCTATATTCCCGGCTTAATTTCCATTTTAGGTGACAAACTTGGTTTAATGGTAAATAATCTTGGAGGAACAACTCAATTGGAATTATATATTGTAGCAAAAGAAGCAGTCCAGTATTTGAGTGAGTTCAGAATGTAATCTGTTGCTTTACAGCTATATTTTCCTTTTTTAACTACCAAAATCTACAGAAAAATAAGAAAGAGAATCTCTATCATATATGTGCATGTATAACCTCATATTGAATTGACCTGAGTTTACAAAAGGCTGGACTATTTCCTAATCGCGTCTTGGATCAGCTCAAGTGCTAAACTTCTGGAATAAAAATTCATCCTAATTTTCTGCACTAGCAGTAGCTGATGACTACAGCATTAACCATTGAAATTTTCATCATTCAGAAACAAAAAAAGGTGTTGAAGTTGAGAGAATATATGTTGGTACTTTTATGACATCTTTGGAGATGGCTGGTGTTTCAATAACCTTGCTACATTTGAACGAAGATAGAAAGAAATATTTAGGTTTGTTTCGTGTATGAACTGATCCAGTGGATAGCTGATAGCGCTATCCAGTTTTCCTATGACCGTCCCCAGAATTAGATCTTTTATATATATTGTATTTTCAGATTTTGAAACAAGGATTCCTGGATGGCCCCGGGTGTTTGGTGATCAAAATACTCCCAATCCTCTTGAAGGTTACGAACCAGTAAACAGGGAGTCTGGAGATGACATGAAAGTGAAAGGACAAGCATTAACATCAGGAGGTTAGTTTAGGAAAAGAGAACAACTATACAGTCGTTATCTTCTATTACTGTTAGCCGGGGCGATTGTCATTAAACTGAGTGATATGATGGTCATTCGTTGATTCTATTTTTTTTACTGCAGAGTCAAAGCCAAAGGAAGGTCATAGAATATTTTGTGTTTAGGTCGTAAATTATACAACTGCCTGTTAAAGATTGCAGAAACCTTAGAAGCCAATGAAGAACGGCTTAACAATTTAGATCGCTTGGCAGGTGATGGAGATTGTGGCTCAACATTAAAACGAGCTGCCATAGGTTAGTATTAAAACTCTGGGGATGGCGTTAGATTAGAATGACTTGCAGTTTTTGTTAAACAACCATCCTTATGGAAATTGTGTCGTTTTTTCAATCATGTCTCAGGGTATTATCTTTTTTTTTTCGCTACTCAGGCATAAAAGATACTTTAGGAAACATAGAGAGTTGTGGTATTCCTTGTAATACTCCATACCAGGCCCTTATTGTTCTCTCTGATATCATTGAGGACCGCATGGGAGGATCATCAGGAGCGGTATGTAAAACAAGCAAGCGCGGTTAATTTGTTATTGGCAAAATTTTCCGTACGTTAACCCGCGCTTTCAAACTAAAATATTTAACCATTGTCTCTATTAAGCTTTATAGTTTATTTTTACTGGCTGGTGTTGAACAAATCAAAGATAATGTTGAGCCAATGCAGTGGTGTAAAGCCTTTGAATGTGGAATACAAGCAATAATGAGGTAAATCTTGTTTCACATACGATCCAGTTCTGATAGATGTTTTACAGTCTGTTGTCTCAGTGTAGTGCATATGGACAGCAAATGATCCGACGTCAATGCAGTTACGCTTTAACAATAACAAAACTCCGTTTTATTATGCGTCACCATTTATATAATTTACGATATTATCAAACTGTATCTTTTAAGTTTGTGTAAATCTATAATCATTATACTTTCTAAGATACGGTGGAGCTCAAGAAGGTTACAGAACAATGGTATGTAATGTTTATATAGTTTAATAATAGTTCTGTTAGTTTTAAACACTCTCCTTCACACTAAAATTCTACAGTTGGACGCTATGTGTCCCGCTGTTCTGGAGTTGAAGAAAGGTCTAAAGAACTCTGATAAACCTCTGGAATCTTTTCAAAAAGCAGTCAAGGTAAATTCTGGTGAAATCTGTGTACTGTGTCCAGACCTGAATGAAGTGAATAGATTAATTTAATTTCTACCCAGGCTGCCGAGGATGGTGCACAGAACACGGCTAAAATGCAGGCCCAGGCCGGCCGTGCGAGTTACATTGGGTCTAGTATTTTATCGGAACCAGATCCTGGTGCGGTTGCTGTTGCATTATGGATGAATGCGATTTGTGCAGCTTTAAAATAATGACATAAAATGCGAATATGAATGTGAATATGTGGAATGTGCCCAGCTAATTCTGTAAAATGCTTGTAAAAGATTAATAAAAACCCTCTTGCCATAAGGCTAACGAGTAGGATATTCATAGGTATGTATACAAATTATTTTTTGCAAGGTCCTGATGGAATTTAGAAAATCTGAATACGCCGTCAAATTCTCCAGAGCAACTTGCATCTTTTTATAGCAAATTTTGTAGGGTTTCGTAACTAGGTTAGAAAAGCAAATGTTGTTAGGACAGAGTTCAAGCAGTGTCATCCAATTCTACTCAATGAATGTTTACGCCAAATTTCGTCACATCTATAAATCGTTTAAAGGAAATTAGGTTTCAATAAATCTGGTGAAACATTCACACTCTTGCCATCTGGTGAGACGCTTGTTTGTATTGTTATGGTAACAATTGAAAACAAGGATATAATAGCCTCAAGGTCAGGAACTTACGAACTTGTAGGGGAATCTCTAAATGAGTTTTGTAAAACAAACAATATGTAAATTTTTAGTTTAATCCTTCGCTTATTCCAGTGTTTTCCAGAGGTGTTGATTTCATTCACTGACATTAAAGAGACTCATGTAAGTGGTTAATTTGGAATTATACGTCAAAAATATGCTGTGTGCTTACTTATACTTTATCCACTTTGGTAAATCTATCAGATTAGCGAACCTGATAACGGCGATGATCACACATTGAGAATTATTGGTTCTGTAAATAAATCTATAAGCTGGGAATATTTCCATATGAAAAATGATAGAAAATTACACATAGGGTAAGGTAAGATTCATTTAACCACCGACATGGTGAACAGTTATAACATGCAGAACAGAACGGCTGACTCTGAACCATCATAACACCTTTCAATCCATCCCAAGGCGCGTAGTTTTTAAGTTATATCAGTTGAGGAAATCGTCATCAGTTGAAAACAAACGTGTTAACAAACTGAAGTAATTAAAATCGAGGTTTCACTGTAACTCAATCTGGTTCCTCCCTTCACACTACCCACGCTGAAGACGTGCAAGAATTTTTTTTACAACTGTATTGCATGGATGAACCTCAGAGTAACATGCAGGTTTGAACTATGAATAGACGTGAGTTATAAAGGTTTATTCAAGTACAACCTAACTTTACAATCTTCACTTTATAATTTTATAATCTCAACTTTCTAATTCACATCTAAATCTGAAGCTGCCGACGCTAAATTCCTTGCAGCAGTCACATTTTATAATTATAACTTGCCTTTCAGTGCTAATCTGGTCAGCTGTGTGGTATTGATACGATCTTACATCAGAATACAGGAGAATTAGTTGCGAAAAAAGTAATTAGCTTCTTTCTCCCGGACACAAATGGAATCACATTAAGACGAAGAGATGAAGAATTTCGCATCCCCTCGAATCACAACACGTTCTTTCCGAACAGATAATTCACGTACGACCCAAACACAAAATACACTATTTCTAATCGGATTTCACACTAACAAACAAATTAGAATAATATGTACAAATTATTCGTTCTATTAATTATACATCTGCGGACAAAATTCATGAGTTCCTTGCAGGGAAATTGTATTTTTGAAGAGTTACGATGGCATTATTTAAAGCGTCATTTATAAACAAACATTCTATCTTGTTGAGCAAAAAACAATGAAATATCAGTTCATCTCTGAAAAGCTTTGAACATGTTAATGAATAATTGATAAGGGAAGGTTTAGCTCAATTTCACCGCAAAAAGATTTCACTGACATATGTGACGATATTTCATACAGAATCTTTTTGTGTGGTGAGAGATTTATGACGTCCATCTGACGAGTCTGGCAACGTGATACCATTTGAAACGATAGTTGCTCTTAATAAAAGTTTCATAATGCTTTCATCTTCCGTAATTTCAACTGGAAACTTATGATTGTGATCAGCAATCCTGACATTAGCGCCATGTCGCATCAAATATCTGACAATCTCGAGATAGCCTTCGCTAGCAGCATAGTGAAGCGCTGTCCACCCCCCTCGTCCGCGTTTGTTACAGTCTGCTCCGAGAGAAAGTAGCAATTTCAATCCCTCCAAGTTTCCATCGAGTGCGCATTGCTGTAAGGCATTCAAACCAGACGCATTCAGCTCATCTATGTCAAAATGTTTCACAGCTTCCTTAAGCTTGTCGAACGTCTCTTCTCGGTCGAACGAGTTAGCATATTCCCACACCAAAAGATCGATTGGTGAGCTACGAACACGTTTTACTCTTTTGTGTCGATTTTGCTGTTTTTCTGACTGCTTCATTTCTGCATTTGATTTTACACTCGTTGACATCTTGAACGGCTTAACTTCAGTCAATCTTCTGTTGCAGTATACGGTTTCAACAGTTCACTACCGTTCCTTAATTCGTTAAATTTATTTGGATCTCTGTTAGTTTAAAAATGTTTTTCTTGGCTGAGTGTGTTCAACAACAATGATTATCAACGCAGTCTTAGGCAAGTCAAAACTATGATGTCTCTTTTATAAGTAAATTGTATCTATACGAGCTACGTCACGCTGCATCATAATTGCTGATGATTCACTTGATAACGGAAACTATCAGGTTGTGCAGGCTCGTAGCTGTTGAGTGATCAATTATGTCACCTCGTACAGGCAACATTCCTTATGTACGGCTTCATCAAGGATCCTTAACAACTTCTCTAATGTGTTTTTCTTGCAACAAAAACAAAGATCACCACTTCTCATTGGAGTTTGAAAGGGTCAAAGGAACTTCTAGTCTTCCTCATTGCCATTCGAGTGCCGAGGATGTTTGCAATTTTTCTAAAGTGCGGTCATTAGGAGTAATAGGGAATTTCTTTCTTTCATCTCAGGAAAGATTTACTTGTATCAATGAAGAGAGAAAGTGAAAATTGCACATGAAAGCCAATAGTATTAAAACGACGTACATTAGCCACTCTGGTGAAAGTCTGGAAGACCAATATTCACTCAAAGATATTATCGTAATTAATGCATTTAAATTATGTCTAATTACAAAAGCCGGGACACCCAACTGAGATAGTTGGAAGTGAATCATTGGGAAAAAAGCTTATATTCCTTTGTCCATATTTGCATAATTTGAAGGCATGTTAAAAAGTCACGCCATTCGCCATAATCTTCACGATGAAATGATACTTTAGTCATTTCGTCCCAGTCTCTAGTTTAGCTTTGAATCCTCTCCTATTATAATTTACCTCTTTGTATTTAGTCTGTAATCGTCGAAGATAAATCAAGTTCAAGTAAGCCAAAATCGTAGACTTTTGCCCGGGTACTTCCTGCTGTAATCTGCAGAGAAACTAAACTGACCAAGAACGTAATAAATCCATTATTCGACCTCCACAGAGAACGATTACGTCAGAACTGACAGGTTTATCCGCTTGAGACGAACGTTAATAGTTGTTTTTTTAGGTAAACTGCCCGAACTATAATATGATTAAAATGATGAGAACTACCATACAGCATAATCTCGTGAGCAGTTTCGCAAGATTGTTGCGAGTGCAGTTCCGCAAGATTGAAAAATCCTGCGATATCTTTTCAATCTTGATTTATTAAAGTCGAAACAGGGGGCACTGACACTGTGTCCGTTCATGTCTAAACTCTAATACAGGATCTTCAATGAATCTGAGATCGTGACCAAATGCACTGATCACAGACTATCAAGAGTTAAGACATCAATCGCGCAATGAAAGATTCGCACGTACGTAACGACCACTTAAAGGATCAGAAACGCTATCATTGTTTATCCTTGAATATCCGCATTCAAGTTTTTCCCGTGTGCCGCAGTAATAGTAGGTCATTATTTTAACAAGATCAAAGCATTTTGTTTAAACACTTGTATTAATGAGAGCCAAAAGTCACGAAAAAGACGACTGCTACGGGGGTTACAGAAAAACGGAGATCTGTACCATGTATTTGTGGTACCATAGAATAATAAGAGAAGACTCGCGCATGTCGTTGGGTATGTTGTCCACCTCTTTCCAAGCCAGTTGATGACATGTTTGGCAAATAAACAGGAGCGTAGCCAAGGGGAGGGGGGAGGAAGAGAAACCGTTTCCAAAACGTTGAAATTTGGGTAGAAACTAGAAATTGGTAAGTGAGCCTGCACGCCCGTTTTTCTTTGTAACTGATCTTTGTATAGTAATGCGATAGTATTTGAAATCTGATCTCTATATCAGATCACTGAGCGCGATATATTTGCTGGTCATATTTGATATTTCACCTTGGTCAGGTTTTATAAACGATAGCCATATCTAAAATCCGTTTACGCATGCATAATTTTGTTGCCAATGCCTGAAAGAAAGCTACGTTAAGTCGATTTCAAGAACTGATAACCCACCCTTTTTTGTGGAATTACGAAATAAAAATACCAAAATTCCGGACCAAACCAGATAACCTGAAATCCGGATTTCATGTTACGTGGTCAGGAGTGTTTTTTCCGGGAACTTCGGTTTCCCTCCATTCATGTTTGGCAAAAACAGTGTCCATATCTCGGCCAAAACCAAGATCTATAGTGACGTGACGGTACCTCCAAAGGTTATCCCCTCTTGACCTTCCTTGTATCCTTCTATACCTTCCAATCCGTTGAGTGATGGTAGTATTTTGGTAGTATCGTAATCAGGAGGTTCGTCACAATGGTAAATTTAAGCACGTCAATAAACCGCATTCGCGCGTATGAAAGTGATTTGTCACAATGAAAAGGAAATAGTATCAATTAATCGAATCAAGGTACAAAAACTGAATAATTGTGTCAATATATATACACGCTTCGAAGAAAAAACTAGCGTCAATTTCACACATAATTTTGACACTTTGTTGATCTTCAAACAACAAGTGAGAAAGGATCAGATATTGGTCATTCAATATTCTATAATTTTCTTTAGTTGTAGAGGATATCAACCTACGACGTAAGATCACATAACAGATCATAGCGGAAATATTTTGAAACAAAGGCAACGTGAGGAATATATTTGCTTGTCGAAGTTCTGGTTTACAACATTCTGAACTGGTCCCCAAGGCACCCTGACTTCAAGTGTGGTTTTAATAAAAATTTGTGTTCAAAGTCCAACCAAAAATGGCGTACGCGGGTGAAACAGATAAAAAGATAAGGTCTCTTTCAGAGGCTGATTTGCCAATTGTTGAGCAAAGGCCAAAGGGAGAAAAGGATAAAGGTGAAAGATTAAAGAACATGGAATCAGCTGTAGTTTCCATTCTAGAAGGTGTCGGTGAAGATCCAACAAGAGAAGGTTTATTAAAAACCCCTCGAAGAGCAGCTGAAGCATTTAATTTTTTTACGAAAGGTTATGAAGAGACATTAGAAGGTTTGTATCAATATAATGTTATATGATGTGTTTATACAATATAGTCTGGATATTATTGAATTACTTTGAATAGCTTTATGTACCATCTCCTTGACCTGGTCTTGTTTCTCATTCAGTACACTCAGTAAACTCATTCAGTTCACTCTGGCATTGCACTGAACTTTTCTGGGTAAAAATACCATCCACTAGTGCCTTGCATGTCCTGTGCTAACCCATTTAATGGCAATGATCCACCGTAATGTATCAATCCATAGTAAAGACCCTGGTACAAGGTTGTTGATCCATATGAACAATTTTCACTATTTAATACCAGATTATATTTCCAAGTGGAATTGAAGTAATCGATCAAAATAACTGGAAATAATCATCTGGATTTCTGTTTTCTTAGAAATAATCAATGAAGCCGTATTCAATGAAGATCATGATGAACTAGTCATTGTTAAAGATATAAACATGTTTTCAATGTGCGAACATCATCTGGTACCTTTCATAGGAAGGGTATGTTGGACGTTCTAATTGTCAGTGACATAAAATTAATATGTAAAAGGCCGGCTACTGTGATTTGTGAGAAAATGATAACAGCTTTTTTGAATTTATCCAGGTTGCTGTAGGCTATATTCCAGATGGAAAAGTCTTAGGTTTAAGTAAAATTGCAAGGTAAGTTGTGTGCCCAGGTTTTGAATGGATTTTCTGGTGAATTAATAAAGCAATGTCAATATCAATAATCGATTATTGAACAAAGTTGAGCTACCTTAATATGAAGAATTATCAAGGCTAAGATTTATTAATCAACAGTGAAAGTGCACAAGTGAATATAAGAAATCCTACATTCTGATTGGTCAAATGTGACGTAAGGGTTTCCAAACCCTTTGCTGTTGACTGTTGTCATGCGCAAGAAAAACGTTTCAATCTCTCAAACGAAAATCTTTCAAATAAGGAATAATCAATTTTACCAGTTGAGTCTTTCCTCAGGCGCCGAGAAGAAGTGTCTCAACTTTAAACCTGCGTACGCACTATCGTGCGCAAAGTAATGAAACACGAATGCAGACAATCATCAGAGAATAGATTTTTTCATTAAAGCTGTTGTTACTGTAACTGACATTTTTCATGATTTTTAGAATAGTCGAAATGTACAGTCGTCGACTGCAAGGTAAAACTCCACTAAAGATTCAAGTATTTTTAGTCTTTCGTAACTGGCTAACAATACTGAATGATCAGTGTGTGTGACTGTGTTTAGCAGACTTGAAGAAAACAAAATGTTTTTTCATTTCAGTGCAAGAACGACTAACAAAGCAAATCGCCATTGCCGTGGCTAAAGCCATCAATCCAACTGGAGTCGGTGTAATTGTTGAAGCGGCGTAAGTGTTGCGCATTATACCACAGAATATCATCATGTATCATGGTTATACCACATCATACCATAGACACACCATACCAGAATGCTACACCATTTCATACCATAGACATACCCTATACCATACCTTATACTCTACCATATCTTACCGTAATATATTGTATACCGTTGCACACCATTATCCCATATTTTCTGCTTTAGCATCTATACTTTAGTAAGTACAGAACCTCGCCATACTATTGCATTGTACCAGCTTATTCTTTACATGTTTCCCTCCTTGTATCTTAGTCACATGTGTATGGTAATGCGAGGCGTCCAGAAACCAGGTAGCTCTACCGTCACAAGTTGTATGATAGGAGTTTTCAGAGACGATCCAAAAACACGAGAAGAATTTCTAAAGCTTTCAACAAGCAACTCCTCATTGTTTTAGGATCAATGACGTAATGTAATCTAATTTTATGCCGCCAGACCAAAAGTTCTTTTCTTTGGACGAGGAGTTGGTAAATATTTTAAAACTACACGAATCCTGTGATGGTCGAATAATTTTACGTAAATTATCAACTTTCCTATTTATTATGAATTTGAACTGATAATCAAGTTAGAATTATTTATGTTAGATTTCAAATATACTTTATTTAAAAGTTTTACTGCTGTGCTGATCTAATAAAACAAATGTTTGATGTTTATGAATGATCTCTGGTATTGTTTAATTCAGAGACTCAGCCATGCAGAGACTGGGGAGAGTATTCACGGTTAATTAAAGTGGTTTTTAGTCGATATAAATTTTTTCACGAACCATATCCGTTCCTTATATGTTTAATAACAGTATTTTTTTGTATGTGAAAGAAAAATTTGGCAAGCACGCCAAAAAAAAAATTTTGGAAAGAACGTAAAAGAGATCATCCAGCCTATGCCACAATCTAACCTGGTTATACAACCGGCTGCAATATTCAGCATAGTTACAACTACGAAAGGTGCAAGGACAGTTGCTATAGGAAGAACTCCCCCCCATAACTCACATCTTAACGGCCGTCTAAGGGGGAGATGCACTACGGCCCCCAGACCATGATGTATGTGCACCTAACCGTTACGTCTCAGTGAGAAACAGAGTATGCATCGCCACAAGCCTAGCGTCATAGACGAATCAGCTACAGTGGCTAGCCCTGAGAGCGAAGATAAATTTAACGTATTTAAGCTTTTCCTGGTCTCGGGGGGCGGCCCCTAACAAGTATATGCATAGAAAACGACTAATAAGGCACACGCTTGGAAATGTCAAGATTTAAACGCCTAAAGGTTTTTTAAGTGTTTTTAGCGAGAAATTTTAGTGTTTTTGATATTCTTTTAGAAATTAGAGCCCTTTCAGGGGCTCTTCCCGGGTACAAGATTGTTTCATTCTTTCTCGTTCCCAGGTTTTTCCGCCAGATAGAAAGATATCATCGCATGAGTGATACTTGTGCCTGGGACCTGGGTGCTAGACTCAGTGTAGCCGTATGTCAGATATGTAACAATACTAACATAATGTTTCTTCTTGTTGCTGTTTGAGTTATAATTAGCAATCCCTAATTTCCTATTCTGAAAACCCAGTGTAAATATGACAATTATTTGTGTGAACGCTTGGCTCCTGTCGGTCTGTCATTCTATTGTGCAAGATATCTCTTTATGTTATATAGTCTTTCAAATTTTTCCACAGAAAAATGTGTCAATGACGTATGTGTTCTAGTTAACTGTTAATATGATTTTAACAACATCGAATGAATGTTTTAGACTCTGTTGGAGCATTCATAGCAACACGTTCGAATGAATATTTAATCGAGTGCGGAAGTCCAGCAATATATAGTATCACAATATGTGGCATTTAATTAGCAGGTGCAAGACTAAAATAGTTCACTTTAAACTGTTATAATCCGGGGGAGTTTTAAATAGGTTATCTTTTCAAACACGTACGAACTTTTCCAACAGGAATATTGTGCATAAAATCCTTATTTTTTAGTCTAAACCAGGCTCCAATCTGACTTTGATTACTAACACTAGACTTTTACACAGCTTCAGAAAACGAAATTATCGAGTACCATATCAATACCATTGTAGTATTCTCGAACCCAGCTCCCAAGCGACCTGAATACGACGAAAACTTAAAGCTTAAATGTAATAATTTTATCGTATTTCTCATTTTTCGCGTTAATCACGTACAATTGGTACTTTAAAAAACGTAAATACCAGAAGGTCAGAATGGGTCAACTTCTTTTAATTATTGTTGGACGTGGTTGGACAAATAGTAAAATTATTAATACTATGAAAAAAATCAAATAATGCTCAAAGATCGAAGCATAGCCATAGCTATTACTGCAGTCCTTTGAAATCAGCCAACAGCCATGTAGAGCTTGACAACCTAACTGAGCCTTAATGAAAAAAATAAGCGCTTTTTCATTGCTGAACTTGGCCACGTGAGGCGCTATTTCCTTGATCAGTTGTTGTGTGGGAGCTATATTTGCTCAAGAATGCGAGAAAAACGCATTTAGGTCACAAAACGTGGACGAGGCTTCCACACAGCCCACGTCTATTCTGTAGCCCACGCTCCAATGCCATATTGAAGCATCTTTGCTATCAGCTGCGCGCCATTGTCGTATATATAATTATTCATTTCGTCAAGTAAACACCTTCATTCTTCAACGTTTCAACTTCACTTTTTTCGCTCCCGAAAGCATCGCTTTCAGGGCGCGATATTGTCACTGGTAGAGTGAAGATCGGGTTCCAAGGAATGGTGTATTGGATGAAAGGTGAGGGATTAATATTTAACAGTTTTCAATTTCCAAAATATTAATTGGTTTATAGAGATACCGCAGAATGCTAGGTATATGATGATATTGCAGCGATTCGGGTCTCAGCTTTCAGTCAGATGTTCACTCTAAGCTGGAAGATTTTGTACAAAGTTTTAAGCATATCTTGCAAAATAAACAAGGCCAGAGAATGTTCATATTTGACATTATTTAGTTTGTCTCACTCAGCATTTCGTGAGTTTTGTCGTCTTCGCACGGGGGGGGGAGCCGTATCGCCCCCCTTATGACGTCATTTGATCTACCACTGATTTGCATTTGAAAAATACACACGAGCGGAACTAGAAATCTTTTGTGTTCGGCCATGTTGTTGAGACCCTGTTTTGAATGAAAACGAAGCTATATTGCTGGTTTTAGTTTCATCCTAAACGACGTGGTTTTTGTAAAATATGATCCTTGGATGAAATATTATTGATTTACAAGTGGAGGAAAGTGGAGCTAAAAAGAGGACTGTCATTTTAATAATAAGGAACTAACCGGGGATATTTTCTATCATGAACTGTTGTAATTATGATACTACCGAAAGTTTGAAATCCTTCGTTTACAAGTGATAAATTAAGTGAAAGGAATACAGTAAGAGGTTATTAATACTTTTTACTCTACATCCATCTGGTTAGAGGATTTACGGGTAATTTATATGGCTAAAATAGTCGTATATTGACAAGGAAGTTTGAGGAATAAGTACATTCGTTTATCGAGATAAACAACACAGTTTTTTCTTTTCAATTATGTTCGCTATCAATGCTGTGTTCAACTGCGTTGTATTAAATTTGCGTCAATGTGTGGGATAAATAGCGAAGAAATAGGTGTTAGGTATGAAATCTATTAAATGTGACTCCCATATCTGTTTAGAACACGAACGAAATTTTAATTACGATGTAGGTTGACATCCTTTAAGGTTGCTGTGTCACCTAGTGTGGGCGAAAATATAAGTCTTTGCAAAGATACCTTTCATTAAATAAAACCGTTCAATAAATGCGCATTCAAAGAGCAAAAGGTATGAATATTTAGGGCGCAAAGCTAAACATTTTAGCTTGCACTTTATTAATTTTTGAAGCTTAGCTTCATTCTGCGGCAAAGTAAAGAACAGCAAAGTTCACGATAGTTTTGATGTCTTCTTGACTTCTAAATGAAATACATTTTTGATATCGCACTCTGCCTACAATATTTGCTTTTTCCTTTTTGAAATAAAGGCAATTTAGTGGGGAATTTCAGAGGATGTTTTACAATTGAAATGCACGTGGATTCAATTTGAATTGAGTCGCTATAAAACTTTGTCGTGAATTTATAAAATACGTTGTTTTTACTATAGCTTTATATTGTGTAGATATTAAAGATAGATATATTAATATTTACTGCAGTTTTATATCAAACAATAACAATTTAGGCTGTGTTTTAATATGGGTAAATTAAGAAATATTTTTCTGTTTGTGTTTTAGGAGCAAAAACTTCGTCCTCACAAGAAATTGTTTGGCGTTCGAAAATGAGGCCTGCTTCTGCGAATGCCTTTCGGAGTCAAGTACATGCTATTCAAACGTGGTTTACAGAGTGGAATGAATGTGAGAGAACGATCGCTTTGTACTCTCTCCTGCGACAGATGACGCCAATTCATGCAAGGTTTTTGTCTGTTGTTATGGAACACACATTTCGTGACCAAGCATATCGTACGCAGATGTATGAAAATCAGGCAAATGACAAAGGTATTCTTTTGAAAAATGCTCGTAGACAAAACATAGTTCAATGTGTTAAAGAAAGCTTTACTGCTTTTTTTGTGTGATTTAATAATATAGCAAATGATTTAATATACATAAAATCATCTCGTAAAAAATCCTTAAATTTCGAAACTAGAAATGTTGGGATATCTGTTCATAGATTTATCATTTATGAATTGGTAAACGTTTTTATAACTGCTGTTGTTTCTCATAACTAGACGGAGCAGTAATTTCTTTCCAAAACTAATACACTCACTTCGACAATTCTTTGCTGTTCAATTAATAAGAATTAATGCTTTTCTAACTGTTTTTAACTTACAGTTATGTTAACACCTAAACTACATTTGAAAAACCTTGGCAACAATAATAACAATTTGACATATGAAAGTTGTTTGGAAATAAAGTGCTTTCCCACGAACCAATAGCTTCCAAGGAAAAATCATTAAGACTTTGAAGAATTTATAATGACCTCATGAATATACCAATTACTGATATGTTAAGACAGTCTGGATATTTTGCTTTATTTAAACATGAATGTTGAAGTTGTTTCAAAGAAGTATTGATTATACCATATTTGACAAAACTGTTAGTAACATTCATTCTAGTTATTGTGTTTTTCACATTAAGCTCTATCCTATGATTAAAGTTAAATTCAAGAAAGAATATTTTGCTGACTTAAATACGATTATCGCTACAAAATATTCTTGGCTTTCAACATTGTGTTAAGATAAAAATGCCAAAACGCCCACACTGACAGGTCTAAGACATCCTTGTTTTAATCTAATGCCATCCATTGTGCGGTGTCACCTTTTAGCTTGCAATACCCTTGTTTTCGTGTTTAATTCTGATTATTTTACTTTTTAAGAGGGGATCAATTATTGATTTATTGTTGGTCAGCTATTTGCCCTTCATGTTTGTCTATATTTTTAAATCAGATAAACTTTTATGCATCCAAATGTGTTCTACTTTGATAAAGGCAAAGGGAAGTGGGTTTTATCCATTAGGCGCTAGTTAACCACGACATAAAATCAATAAAATTTATCATTTTGAATAAACAAGCAAGTTATGTTGTATGAAAATTGCAAAACAGATAACCAAGATTTGAAGGAGGCATATATGCCCACCTTAATGGAAACTTTTGCACTTCAAAACTATTCTTTCAAAAGCAGGTATTGTTAGGTCATATTGTTTTGATAACAAGCAGACCTCAAGAATAGAATAACTAAAAAATTGATGACTGACAGTTAAGCAATTGTTAAATTTATTAAGCAGTGTATGTTCTTGTTGATTCCAGTCAAAAATACTGACGCACAAGATGTTTCAGGAAGGAAATTAATGTTGTTGTTGCCCATAGATAGTTATGAAACAATGTTCTTTGTAACTATTTTTATGTACACTACCACTTCCAATCTTACTTCTGGACCTTTAATTCTCTGAGCCCTCGCCACATCATCTGATCTCTCTTTGCCCTCCTTTTTCCTAGCTTTCGTCAGAGTCCCCAACTCCCTAAACCTTCTCTTCTGATCCTCTCCAAGTTATTGAACATAATCCTTGTTTTTTTTTACAAAATTATGCTCAAAGGTTTTGCAGTTGAAATTTCATCCCTGCTTAGAATTATCCCTATGGTCACATTTTCCTTTAAGGGTCTTATGTGAATAAGGTCAATATATTAAACTGTAAGATGATATTGCCTTCTGAGAGTGTTGTTGTGATGAATATGACTATAATAAAGTATATAATTCTTGTGGCTAGCCACACTCTGAAAATTCAATATGTTGTGAAAACAAATATAGTAAATATTGCATGTGCCAAATGTCTAAAAGAAGAACTGTTTTGCGTTGGATTTTCTGCACCGAACGTACTTCCAAGAGCATGAAAATATGTGAAATTACTTTTGCCAGAAGTAGAGAACTTCATTATGCCTCCCTCTGACTGCATGTCGGTCATAATTGCCTGAAAAATATAGTTTTTTTGACAGCTAAAGTTATAAAAAAATATCTTGAGAATATTCATAGAAGAAGATGTCTGACTTTGTGTGGGTGGTGCTTGTTGAAAGAAAAAAGATTTCATTAAAAAATTTTCGTATGCGTTGTGACATATCCAAAGATGTTTGCATGAGCAATTCATTGACGGGGTGTCGCTGTTTTATCGGGAAATGATACCATTTTGTAAAATTCCCCAGGTCTTTACAGATCATAGCTTGCTTCGTCACCGCTAACAAATCATTTGCAGGTGTCTGCTAAATAATGTATCGCATGTAAGTGGGTAATTAATGAAAACCAGACAGAGGTGTATATGCACACGAAGTGGGGTGATTGAGATACTAAATTTAACTTCTCATTATACAATTTATTTATATGCTGAAAAACAAGATGCTGGCAATTGTAAATCCCCCTGAAACTTCTTAGCCAGCCAAACGTGATGTGATTTAATGATAGATATTAATCCATATAGTTAATACTCTAATACTTTTTTTCATGAATCAATTTTTTTTTCAGATTTTCTTATTCGTCTAAGTTCAAAATCGCGAGACGAGGCAGTGAAGCAGCTTTTGGTTCATCTCCCTCTCCTTCAACCAGGAAACCACGCTGCAAGGAAAGAATACCTCAATATTCTTCCTGATGTCTTGTCTTATTCACACAACCAAGGTGTTCATGAAGACGAATGCCGACAGCTCCTATCACTTGCCTTAGTTCACCCAGCTTTCCCAGCCGACGAACGAACACGTTTGCAACATTGGTTGGAAGTGCTTAACGAGGAATCTGTAGACGGGTTCTATGACTCAAAAATCAACGACTTTCCTCAGCGAGAGAATGTCAATCGTAGACTGGAAAGTTGGCAAAAACATCGACAACTGGAAAAGAAGGACTCTGGGATAGGTTCTTTTGAATATCACTCCGGTTCGTTTATCCCCCCGGGGCTACCTCCTCCAGGACTGCCACCCACCCCGCATCAAAATGCCACCAGCGCTCATCCGAAAGTGTTCAAAACCCACAGCTTAAATTCAGCTGTTAGTATTCAGCATGACAGAGCCACGGTCAGTAACGGCAGCGAGGATGTCTTAGGCGATGGATCGGAGATCATCAATCGTACTGGAAGATCACTGTCGTTCCCAGTGGATCCACAGAAGCTCAATAAGATCCCGTTATCTCCCCAGTCCTCGTTTGAAAGTGAAACGGATGATGGGAACAATGCTGCGAAAATTTCAAATTATCCTGAAAATCCAAACCCTGGAATGAAAGGTAAAATAGCCTAACCATACTCCCCTACGGTACTCCCCCTACGGTACTCCCCCTACGGTACTCCTCTACGGTACTCCCCAACTGTACTCCGGGTAATCTTTCAAGATGTCCATCCATCACAATATTCAATTTGAAAAACTTATTTTCAGATTACATATTGTGGCTGAAGAGTTTACGATTGCATAAATATTACTCGCTGTTCTCCAAGATAACTTACGATGATATGTTTAATTTGGCGGAGAAGGAATTGGAATCGAAGGTAATGATAATATAGTTAAGGTGGTTAGTTCTGTCTTTTGAAAGAAACGCAAGATGTGACCGACGTTTGAACTTTATGTTTTAAGAATGTTACAAAAGGCGCGATGACGAAGATTTTGTTGAGCATTTCAAAATTAAATGAAAGATCACAGAAGTTAACAAACCTTGAGAAGGTAAAATACCTGGAAATCGAAAACGAAACACTCGCTATGACTGTATAAATATGAGTGTGTGTAATGGGTAATACTTTGTGTTGATTGGACGCGTCTTTTTTCCTCATTAGGATGTTCCCGACGAAGGCAAGCTACCATCGGTGTTGGAGTCATTAAAAGGTATTCTTCAAACACCAATAAAGCCATTCGTTCCTGTTGACAACCAAAACTTGGCTGAAGGTCATTCTCCTTCGTCTACCCCTCATCCAGATGATCTACCATCACAACTTACCAAAGTAATTGGGAAAGGTATGAATGCATGTTACGAATCTCTTTTAGGAAACTCCACTCTTCATTATATCAATCATTATGATGAACGTATAAGGTTAAATATTACGTAATTGTTTCAGCTTGTACTCAACTTCTGGTTTCCAAACCCAATGAAGAAAATTTTGCTGTCTACATCAGTCTTCTCGAGAAAGCTTTAAATAAAGAGGTGAGTTTCTTTGACAAATCAATCCACGGGATATTTCCAGGTTTTAAGGATTAATTTGGCTGATTTCGTCGCAGGCATTCACAGCTCAACAGAAGAAACGTCTTCAGTCGTGGAAACAACAGTGTCATATGTCTGCCAAACGTTTTAACCTGCGTCGAGGCTCCCAGGACAGAGGACGGTAAGTATATTGTTCGCCATTTCATAAAAGCATCTTTGTTGTGAGGAAGTGAGTGATGAAAGCATCCAGACTTGGGGAGAACCTGTGTTTGACATAGTGTCTATGTTTTATGTAGCAGTTTGCCATTCCACGCTGGAGATTCATCCACCATCGGAGGAAGCGTTAAACGACAACGAGGCTCACAGCGTGGTCTTAATAAACTAGGAGGAACAAATAACAGCCATAGCGGTGGAGTACCTGGTCCAATGAGAAGCAATACTACTGATGGATACTATAAACCAAGAGCTCCGGTAAGTTGTTTCTCGAAACTGGTGCTTTCCATTAATATGGTAGAGGTATTCCAGTGTCCCCTCTAATTTCATTGTATAACAACATCTGATCAAAGCAGATCGGCTACTCTGAAGGTTGAACATTATTTAGCTGATTGGATTGTATTATTTATGTTTCATTTCTATGTTTCAGCTACGTCATCACGCTCTTGTCTCTCGTACGAAGTCGGCTCCAGTCCCTGCTTCGAAACAAAAGCAGCCAATGTTAGGACTCGTACACCAAGGTATGCATGAGGTCGGCTTAACTTTGGAAGAGCAACAAAGTCGTCACTAATAATTTTCTTTCCAACAGCTTCAATTGAAAGTGTGGAAGGCATTAACAACAGCTTGGAGTCGCTGTGTTTAAGTATGACGGAACATGCTCTGGCAGGTATGTTGAAGGAAAATACTTGTAATACAAAAAGATACACTTTACGTAGACGCCAGTGAAGTATGTGGTGTATATCTTTGACTAGACACTGGCTGCCATTCTTGTTCTCTAGTATTAAATTGTCAATTATCATTTTAGACAACACAGACTCTACTTGATGAGGTATAACGTGACACGTCAGCTGACAGGCTCATGATATCCAATATCCTTGTCAGATATCTACCGTTATTGTTGTGTGTGTGTTGTAACCTCGTGGAGGTCTAGTCTCTAGTTTCTAGTTTTAGTCTGGATTTATGTCATTCTATGCATTGTGAGGTTTCTATGTAAATGTGGTTTTAAAAGAGGATATTTCCTCTGACTTACACCGAATTAGCATGGACTTTCTCTTATACCGCAACTAAAGCCCGTTTTATGTCTAATATTTCTATTGAATTCGGCATGCCATGAAATCCCAAGTTGTTCAGGCCACATCCACATTTACCCATAGTTATCCTCAATTGCACATTGTCGTGTAATCGTTGTACATTAATTTTTTGTTGCAGTTAAGATTGCTATAGTTAATGCAAAAGTCGCATATTGTTCGCGTGATCTCGGCTAGATGCCTCGATCACTGTGCTTTTGTGGGTCGCTAAGAAAGCGAGCTCTTATATAAATATTTAAACCATGAATTAACCACACCATGACTGGTACTTCAGGTTAGTTATCACGTAATAATTCAGCGTTGACGCAGTGCAATGATTTTAAATGTCTGATCTCACAGAAATTCCCTCAATTTGCTAGCGAATTACAGCGATTTGATAAAGTTAATCTTTCGGATTCTTAGAATAATTTTTCACGTGTTTTGTTAAATTTCGTCATAATAATAAGTATAACAGATTAGCAAGTTTATAATACTTGTTTCACTAAAAGTTGCTGCTGAATACTTCATGGTATTTCTAATCATGCGATAGAGTCCTTCCTCAATTGATCGCCCCTTTTTTTAAGAAAAAATTCTACCAGCAGGTTTTAGAATACGGAGGAAACATTTTCCCTCGCATTTCACTTCTGTGAGAGATGACCGTACATTGGAAGCAACTGGATTGCTTTGGACTATACCATCGATTAATATATTTTCTAGTCAGGCTAGTGGTTGATACACTGACCTATATATGTATATTATAAAAACTCTTCATGTTAAAAAATATTCCTTGCGACTGTAGATTCAGTTGAGTGAAAAAGGGGGGATTGCGCGGGCTAGCACATCACCCGTGTAGGTAATGTTTTAACCTTGTTAGCTTAGAAAGCCATGAAAATAAAGATTTAAAAAAACCTGTTGTAATTTTGAATTGATTTCTATGCAGATGTCATTTAATTGAGGATCTTTAGGAGGTTCTTAATAATCAATAATCCACAGAACGTAATCTCATTTTCGTACAGTACTATTATTCTCATAACTAATACGGCTTATGATTATTGTATATTGCGACCATACAAGAAATATAAGCAGTAGATCCTTGACAAACATGAACAACAAAATTGACATATGTGTGTTCCTAATCGAGTCTAAATGATCCATAATCCTCTTTTTTGGAATCAATCCTTATTCCTTAATTCTATATATGAAATGGCCAAATACTCCTAAATTCCTGACAGGGTATCACTTGCGGATGCTAGGTAACTTGTTTGGTGATTTTAACTGCCTCTTTCTCCAAAGGCAACGGCAGTTGAACACCAGCGTGATGATGTCATTGAATCCGAGAATTACCCATGGACATGGGGAGGCGGTCTCTAATAAGTATACTGTATATGTATAGAAAATGCCTAAAAAGCCACACACTTTCAGCGAGAAAATAATATGTCCGATGCCATAGTTTAAAATTTTAGTGTTTTCATATTCTTTTGGTGTCTTGGAACAATCCTTGTTGTCGGTTGTTGTCGGTTGTTGTCGGTTGTTGTCGGTTGTTGTCGGTTGTCGGTTGTTGATGGCAATATGGCCGCAGGAAAGGGGTAAAATTGTTTCATATTTATAAACGACTGAATGCTAGTCCTTGTTGTCTCAGAAACTGCTTTTCTTTATATTTCAGAGCCAAATTAGATCGTGTGTTCTTGCGACGTTTCAAGAGATGTCTCCTCATAATGTTTCCTGCATTTCTGGCAACCTCCACATTGCTTTTCGTCCTGCTCTTGGGAATGTCATTTTTACGTAAGAATATTAAATGATACATCATTTGACTTCGGGTCATGACTTCTTACGCTAAGTATGGGGTCATCGCCTGATCGCCATTAGTTGCAGAAATTGCAAAAAACTTTTCTAAAGAACATCCAATGCCCAGATATCCTCTCTAATTGGGTTGGGTGGATATAGGCTAGGGGGAGCCCTACAGTCGTTGGTGTACTGCCTTGATGCCATACTCCATAGGTACTGTCATGTAGTTCATGTAGTTTATTACTGATTCTAATGATTTTAAACTATGCTGCTCATGGTTTAAATCATCAGAGGGTGGATGTTCATATATTCTTCTCATGCCCACTGATTATAAATAAATGAAGATCTTTCAATGTTTTTGCAGAACAAGTATTGTACTACAATGCTGGTCTAATATCAAGTCAGTTTATTGAAGTCATGGTTGATAAAGACCATTCTGGATTTCATCAAGTGATTTTTACATCAATGATTGTAATCATTTGCACATCCTTGGTAATTTGTGTTTGAATTACATATCAGAATTTTATAATTTACTATGTACATTGTGTGAGCATTGTTTCTACTAGATTTTCTCTTTAGTGAAATAAATATGTCTAAAGAAGCCATTTTCTTGATTAGGTTAAAGGTTTGGTGAGTTTTGTATCTGGTATATTGTATGTGAACTGGCGAGGAAGTTTGACAAGATTCATCCATAAATTCTATTTTGCCCATGATACGTACTATAAACTTAATGCTCTACAACAAGACATTGATAACTTGTAAGTACAGTCAGGTTTTTAGTTTGCTTTCCTATCTTTTTCAAACTCTCATCTCCTCAGTCCTCATGATATTGCTATCCTCTACCCTCCTCCTCCAAGCCAAGTTTTTTTTATATTAGACACACTCAACAATTCTCTTTCCCTAGGGACCAGCGTATCACACAAGATGTCGATAAATTTAGTAATCAATTCAGCAGTATTTTCTCAACTCTTGTCATTTCACCATTCATTGTGGGCTACTACACCTATCAGTGTTATAAAAGGTTTGCACAACTGATTAATGCATTGTCAGTTTAATTAAATACAGTGTAAATCATTCTTCAAAAACAGCAGAAGCACAAAATATTTTCTTAATTCATGCAGTGTCATTCCTAGTAATCTGAATACATGTTTTTTTAGTTAATTGTTCATGTTACATGATAACTTATTCTGCCTTAATTTTCAGCATTGGATATATTGGTCCTCTCAGTATTTATGGTTATTTCATTGTTGGGACTTTAGTAAACAAACTGTTGATGGCCCCTATCATCAAACTAGTTTTTCAACAGGAAAAACTAGAAGGAAATTTCAGGTTGGTCATATAGGCTAGATAATTGCTAAATGCAGTCATTTGATTAAAATTGTTGTTGTTTCTGCAGTTGCCAATGTAAATGATTTGATGTCACTTCAGATTTAAGCACATGCAAATTCGTGTTAATGCTGAATCAACAGCCTTTTACCGGTAAGTTATTACATGGCAAATGGCATTCTCGTATGTTATTACTTTATTAAACTTTTTAGTAAAACCTATAGTTTTGCTTGGCTGGTAAACTATTCTGTATTTGTTTATTTCTGTGAATTAGCTCAGGGTTGCTTGAGGAAAAGAAAACAAACATTAAGTTAGAGGTGGGCATATTTTTCTTGGCATATGCTGATTGTATTTTAGTGTAGCATGCACATGATCCCCAACACGTACTAGCTAGCATATGCATTTTATGCTATTTTTAATCTTCTATCTAGAATTTACTTGGTGTCCAGCTAAGGTTGGTTTCCTACCAGTTAGTACTTCAATGTAAGTATTGGCACCATCCTTTGAAACACTATAAAGGCATGCAGTATTGAACCAATAAAACAATCTCCTGACATTAATGCATTTTGTTTTGCCTTATAGGTTCCGTGAATTTTTTTGATTATTTTGGTTCAATAGTCAGTTACTTAGTAGTCAGTATTCCATTATTTACTGGTAAATATGATGATTTGATGCCAGGGGAGCTTGCTGCTGTTGTGAGCAAGGTATAAATGAATTAGGCAATCAATATGGTATCCATGGAGCAACTTTTATTTAACAATAAACTTTTTTCTCTTTTCAGTATTCTTTCATATCGATGTATCTTGTTCATTCTTTCTCGCAAATTATTGACCTTTCAAATAAGATTTCAGATATTGCAGGATACACACACCGGTTAGTTTTGTCCCAACATTTTGCCATAACAACAAACTTGGTTTCTAAAGGCAGCTACAAGAGATTTATACATAACCAGAGAGGTAATTTATGTTCACAGCTGCTGATTAATTTGTTGCTTTCAGGATTGGTGAAGTGCTGGAATCCTTGAAAGAAGAAACTGAAGCAACACAAGATCCATTCAGGTTGGTTTAGTCTAGTATTGCTGAATTTAGATAGGAACAATTCTTATATCTCTGTGGTCATACTTAAGATATGGTGATTTGGATGATGGTATTTTATTCAAGATAGAGGGCCTTACCTACTCTGCTCCTCAGGCTTTAGACAAGCCTTTGGTAAAAGGTACACTTCACATTAAACATGATCCTGTTGGACCTGGAGTTTAATGTTAGTGTTTGACTTTCTTTAAACTTTATAGCTTTAGATCTTGAGATACGTCATGGAAAGAACCTTTTAGTAACAGGAAAAACAGGTAAGAAAAGTCAAATTTCGATTGATCAGCAGAAATGTTGTGAGTTATCTTATTCTTATTGTAGGCAGTGGAAAAAGTTCCTTGCTAAGGATTATGTGTGGTTTATGGAAACCTGATTGTGGTGAGCAAATATTTTCTCAACATTCGCAGTTTGTCAAAGTAAATTACCCTTTTAATTTCACCCTACTACATGCCATGTGTTTTCAATACCAGAAAAGTTATAGCATATCAATCAATTTTCAATACAGGGAGAGTTGTTACAAGAGCAACTGATGAAAAGTATACAGTTCTGTTTTTGCCCCAAAAACCACTTCTGACTGATGGTTCTTTGAAACAACAGGTGATAATGATTGTCAAGGATACACACAGAGATACAGTATATATGATATGTTTAATAGGAAATTAAGTGATATGTATTTTAGGTAATTTATCCTGAAGATGAGGATTCATCTTTAGATGATCTTCTAAATGGTAATGACCTTATGTATCTTACATAAGTGTAATCCGTCAAATCTGCACCAACTATATTTAGATCTGTAATGTTTAGTTAACAAAGATCATGTTGTATTAGATTCAAGAAGGGCTGAACGAGTTCTGGAATGCCTTCAACTTGTTAAATTGGTAAGAATGTGGTTTATTACTGAGCTGGGATGGTGTAATGTGCTAGGCTAATTTCTCAGAAATTATAAATCATACTTAGATTGATGTTTGTGATCGTGCTGGGGGTGTGGATCATGAAGTGGACTGGAACTGGTAAGTTTGGAAATCTCAATCTGGCTCATGAGCTTCAGTTCACAAAATGAAGGAGGTTAATTGTTTACTGTAGGGAAGACATGTTATCACCAGGAGAGATGCAACGACTTTCATTTGCAAGGTTATTTTACCACAAACCCGATTGTGCAGGTAGTGTGCGATTGCTCTACAGGATGATTCTCTGGTCACACATGGGACAATGCTATTCTATTTTGGTACATGCAAAATATGAAGCCTGAAGAAACAGCAATGTCACATGTGTGACCAGAGGAATCACCCTACAAGTACTTTCATGTACCTTTTACCTCAATTTTTCCCCAAATGCCCTTCACTGATTAGGTGAAGTTATTTGCTGTTTTAGTTCTGGATGAGGCAAGCAGTGCTTTGGATATTGAAACTGAGAATGAGTTTTATCAGTTGTGTGACTCATATGGAATTACATTGATATCTGTTGGACATAGAGAAAGTCTTCGACAGGTATTAAGACTCTGGTTAGCAGGAGAATGTGTATATAGAAGTACAAGAATCTTCTTTATTTGTCTAGTTTCATCACAGTTTCCTTATTTTGGATGGTGAAGGGGGCTGGAAACACCAGACACTTCATTAGGATTTATCAAAGGTGGTATATTTTTGAAAAGATGAGAATTGTCAAGAAAGACAATGTCTTTTTACCTAGAAATTTGCTCAGAACAGCCAAATGAATTATTATTACTATAAATTATTATACAAATATAGTTAAATTAATTGATTATCTCCAAAATTAATCAAAAATTTTATGAGGATACTATCAAAGACACAACTTGAATGTCAACACAACTTTTATTTGAATGAAATTATTCAAAAGGACGTTTACACAATTTCCTAATTTAAATCCCCAAAACTAAACAAGTTACTACAATCAAGTACTATCACATTTTCTTAGTGACTTCAAAAACATACAAGGCATAACCAGGAACTTTTAATTCCTTCATATCAATTTTGCCTGGTTTCTTATCAGCTGTGTGGTATTTTAGAGAACCATCTTTGATACCAAGTTCATTGAGATTAATCACTTGCTCACTGGGATCAAAGTTAATAGCCACAGCAAATCTGGGCAATTTATCTTTAAATGTGTATGCTAACACATTTTTTTGGTTTATAATGGTAAAGTTTACAAGTGGTCCATCAAGGAGGACACTTGCATTTTCCATTCGTAGTTTTATAGCATCTTTAAGGCTCTTCATGATGCCAAGTTGATCATCTTTTGCATTTGTGTATGATGCATTGCCTACATCGCCAAACCAAGTGGAATTATTTGAAGTGAAACCTAAATAAAGCAATGAAAAATAATAAATGATGAGAAAGGTTTGCCAAAAGATTCAAGATCAAATGACCACCATAGAAAAAATCATCATTACAATATCTCTAAAATAGTATTCAAAGATAAGACCATGTATTTAATCAATCTGGGTTTTCTACCAACCTGCATTCTTGGTGTCTTCCCACTGCATTGGAGCTTTGTTCTCATCTACTTTTAGATTTTTACCATTGTTTACATTTTGCATTCCAATCTCATCACCATAAAACACAATTGGTGTCCCAGGTAGGAGCACCAGAAGTGCTTCTAATGATTTTGCTAGTTTGCTGTCAATGTTGCTTCCAACTCGTCCATGGACCCAACTGGTTAGTGCCCAACTTGGCCAATTTCCATTAGATAAATTACCAATGTACTCATTCATGATCTTTTTGAAATTGATTGCTGTATAAAAGTTTTTAGCAGTGTCAGCAACAAGCTCAAAGTTGACAACAATGTCAAGCTCTGGGCGATCTTCTGTTCCATAGAGTTCGAGATTTGCTGGGTGAGAAGAACCAATGAGGATACTGTTTGGATTTCTCATTTTTGTGTAGTTTTGCCATTTCTGAACAACTGTATGGATCTTACTCCAAGCTGAAAAAGAAAAAGAAGACTATAGCAAGAAATAATAGAAGAAAAAAAAATTACAAATAGATTTACAGTAATATAATTTCCTGATGAATGTAATTAGATTCAAATTTATGTTTAGGTCGGATATTGTTCACATGTGTTCGTGTGACCTTTGTTCAACAGAGAACAAGGATGGGCTGATGCAATGATGCTACCACATGTTCTCTCGTCTAAACAAACGTTTGTTCTTCAAAAAAGACTGAAAATACGAAATATATACTACCGTTTTCTGTCTGATTTGCGCCAAATAACCTCTGAATCGAGACCACACGGAACCCATCGACTTTTTTATCTAACCAAAAACGCAAAACGCTTTTAAATTCTCTTTTCACGTCGTCGTTGTCCCAGTTAAGATTCGCCTTTTGCGGGTAGTTCTTTGGATGCGAGTAAAACAATCCGCTGGAAGCGTTTGACCAAAAACGTTCATCTAAACCTGATTCATTTTTCCAAATATACCAATCTCTTTTGTTGTTACCCTTGCTGCTTTCCTCAAACCACTCATTGTCGATTGATGTATCGCAAGGTATAAATTCAATGATAACTTTCATGCCTTTATCATGTGCTCTGTCCACTAATTTTTCGAAATCTTTAATGGAGCCATATGCGGGGTTAGTGTCTGTAAAGTTGATCACAGAATAGCCATAGTCCACCTCCGTGTTGATCTTGAATATGGAAGAGAGATAGAGGATGTTCACACCGAGGTCTTTGAGGTGGTCAAGCTTTTTGATAATGCCTTCGAAATCTCCTGTGCCGTCGCCACTTGAGTCCTTGTAAGATCGAGGGTAGATGTTGTACATGACGCCTGATTTATACCAAGGGAGTTTCTCTTCTTCAACTGATTCGCAGCCCTCTGTTGTAGCAATAAGAATGACTATAAGTAGCAACAGGATCGCTACAACTAAACCAAAAATGACCATAACGATGACACGATGTATCTTGTACTCATCAATTTCTTCTTGACTTGGTTTACGAATGCCTCCACCGGGCTCTTTGTAATCTCCTCCATCAACGATTTTCACCTTATAATCGTCTTCTTTATTGAACTCAACTTCTCCCATCGTTTCTTTTTTAAGTCAAGCCTGATTCTCGTACAGTAAAATAGAAAGTAACTCTAGTGTTTACTTCGAACCGTGTTTTTGAACGCAACGTGTCCTTAGAGCGCGCCAACTATATTATATAAACAATTACAACTCGTAGTGGCCACGTGATTCGTTACAGGTGGTCAAACAAAGACGTCAAAAATGACAATATAATTGTCTCAAATGCATTATTGAAAAACCTCTTACGGTATATGATAATATAAAATTTATATTGTGTTAGGAAGATAGGTATTGGTAGCTCCCCCCGGATACTAGCAGTTTTTTTCAAAATTAATGTAATGTACGACTTCAGTCGTATTACACCACAGTTACACTAATTCATGTACTTACAGAAGCTGTAAGCCAAAAAATGCTTGGTTACAAGAAAGAAAGAACCTTCTTAGGTTGGAAATTTCAGCAAGTGTAGAAATTTCCCAAAATGGAAGAAAGAAAGGATGTGAAAACGCATGATGGAATAAACACGTGATGGAATAATATTGAGCACAAGAGAGTCACATGCTTGTCACATGATGAGTACCAGTCTCCAGAGACTTCGTTGTTGTCTAATTTGTCTTGTTGCGTCTTTCGAAACGTCAAACAATGGAGTTTCAGTATTTTTTCATCTTATTTTGCTGCCTTTATGGCTGCTCTTTAGCTCTGCCAGTGAATGTAAATGGGGATCCAGTGTATACACAACCAGAACAAGTTCATATTTCAGCGACAGGTAATTTCTGTATGATTTTGTACTATTTTTTTTACACTTCTGAATGACGCAGTGCGGTGTTTTATTTCACAACTTTTACAAAAGTGTTGACGATAAGCCTTGCTGGTTGATTGAAAGTATTAGCGAATTCGTTGACGTCCTATCACAAATGCTGCAAAGAATTAGTTGATAATTTAAAAACATAACTTATATTTTAGGAAGCTGTCTAGATTGACTATATTTGGAATAAAATGTGATAGGGTGTATAAACTCAAAGTAAATAGTTATGTACAAATTCTGCCACTTTGCGATCACGTTTTGCATCCAGTGCTTTTCTTGGGCACCTTTGCCCTTGTCCTGGGACCTTTTCTCTGGGCATCCTTTTCCTGGACCTGGGGCCTTTTCTCAACATATCCTTTGCCCTTATCCTAATGGTCTGTCAACCTCATTTTGCAACTTTCTCTTTGTACCTTACATCTTCTCTTTAGGATCGAGTCTCTTTAGTATTAACCCAAATTGCTCCATTTCATAGGTGATGTAACTGAAATGGTGATAACTTGGGTGACAATTGTAGCAGACATCGATTCAATTGTTCAGTATGGTCTAGCAGACAAGGCTCTTGCAATGACCGCCAAAGGGAATGCTACAAAGTTTGTTGATGGTGGATCAGAAAAAACAGTGAGATACATTCATAGAGTGAAATTGACTGGACTAAGACCAGCGACATCATATGGTATGTTTTATTGTTGATATAAAAGCATGTTATAAAATACCATGCAAGGTTTGTACAATACTAGCAATAACAATTATATAACACTATAATTATTTACTACTTTCAGATTATCACTGTGGAAGTATGATGGGTTGGAGCTCTATCTTCAGATTCAAAACTTTACCTGAAGGAACCAACTGGAGTCCAAGATTGTGTCTTTATGGGGACTTGGGAAATTCAAATGCCATGTCATTGGGTTATATCCAAGAAGAATTAGCTAGGGATGACTTTGATGCAGTTTTGCATGTTGGTAAGCTCAAGTGATGAAGTGATAAAACCACACTATACGATGGGTGGTATATTAATTTTACGTTTATTTTTAGGTGATTTTGCTTACGACTTGGCCTCGGTATGTAAATATTATTTTATATCACTGGACTACATGATTGCTGAATACCCTCAATAGACCTGTCTTATAATGACGTCAAACACGGAAAGTCTGATGTAACACAAAATTTGATTGGCTGCACAAAACTATAAAGCCAATCAAACTTTGTGTAAGATCAGACCTTCCGCCTTTGACGCCATTATGAAAAAGGTCTATTGAATTTGCTGATCATATATCTCATCTATTTCTATCATCTTAGGACCAAGGACGTGTTGGTGATGCTTTCATGAGGCAAATTGTGCCAATCGCATCAGCACGACCTTACATGACCTGCCCTGGAAACCATGAATATGCATAGTAAGTCTAAGAAAAATATTTAGCATTGGACATCTAACTATTGAGATGTCATTATTGTGCAAAATGTTGTATTTAGTGTTTCACTATAATGAATATTTTTCTGAATTATATCGTTTTATTTTTCTAGCAATTTTTCCAACTACAGAAATCGATTCTCCATGCCTGGAAATTCTGAAAGCCTCTGGTACAGGTATTAAAACATTTCATTCTCTACATTGCTACCCAAATTTGTGGTTTTGAAATCTGGTTCAATGTTTAATATCAACTCAATGAAAAAATGTTATAGTTGGAATGTTGGACCAATGCATATCATCAGCCTTTCCACCGAGGTCTACTTTGACTACTTACAAGATGGAATTCAACTTCTTACTCGTCAATATGAATGGCTTCTTCATGATTTGAAAGTAGGAAATTTGTTCAGTTGTATAATTGTATTATATAAATATGTTCCCAAGCAATGTCTGCTTACAGGTGTTAGGCATGTTAGAATAGATCAGACAACAATTAGAAAAAGCCATGCTGAGAATATGAAACCACTTTCTTGATTTTTGTTTTGTAATAGCAAGCAACATCACCTCAAAGACGTCAAGAACAACCTTGGATAATGGTGATGGGACATAGACCAATGTATTGTTCTGATAATGACGGTGATGATTGTACAAAAGTGGACAGCAAGGTTTGTTAAAATCCTGGTTTCAGTGTCTGATTCCCAGCTTCTTTACCAAATTCTTCGGACAAGTTCCATACATTAACATCTTTGAAAATTTTAGGTCCGTGTTGGTGTGACCTCCTCTCACTTGTTTTCCCTTGAAAAACTTTTCTATTCATACGGTAGGTTCTTTACAACAGAATTTTCAAAGCAAGTGTATTTATCATTCCCATAAACTCATCTCTCAATGCTCTCAAAGCATTCAAATTTATATTTTATTTTTATCCATGTCAGGCGTTGATTTGTTAATCTGGGCACATGAACATAATTACGAACGTCTCTTTCCAATATATGATCAAAAGGTACGTCAAGTGATAACTACCCCAAATTATGAACTTTTATTTTAACCATTTCTATTTCATTTCAGGTTTACAATGGTTCCTATGAGTTTCCATTTACTAACCCTAGAGCTCCAGTGCACATCACAACAGGATCTGGGGTGAGTCTATTTTCTGGCGGTCTTTGGAATCGGTTTTAAAATTTTGTTCAAATCATATACGAACAGCTAAATCAGCTTTGCAAATGGCAATGCTGTGCCTTCAGATCTAAGTTTTTTCCGGAGGTAAGCCATTTTACGGAATATGGAATCCTCACGCATCAGTTTTAGCAGATATAAACCAGACTGTAAGCCAGTGTAATTAATTTTTGCCAAAAGCAAGTATCCCTTACTGGCATTGTAAGATCATTTGTGTTTTATTGTTTGGAGAATAAGTTTTCATTTCAAGTCATCGTAATTAAGTCTTTTGTTTTTTCTTGATTTTCTCGATATTTTGTTTTGCTGACGCCGCCAGGGATGCAGTGAACGTCATGATCCATTTTCAAAAGATCCAGCCTATTTTACGGCGTTTCGTGCTCTTGACTATGGGTATTCACGAATGACAGTTTATAACTCAACACATTTATACTGGGATCAGATCAGTATTGATCAGGTAAGCGCTGTAATTCTCCCCAGCAATATATTACGAATCAGTAGATTGTTAGATAACTGACGGTAAATTATTGTTACAGGGTGGAAAAGTTATTGATGAAATGTGGCTGATTAAAGATATTCACGGGCCTTACAACTGAAGATTTAATAACTTCTTTTCTAATTGCCCAGAATTTGTTACAATTCCTTCTTGCATTTTTTTTCGTAGATGATTTGTTTACTATAATTTGATGCAATCTCAGGAATCCTGAAACATCTTCCAAAGAATTTTTACTCTCAATGTTTTTAATTTTAATGGTATTTAATAGTTGTTATTGACTTTGGGTATATAAATCACCATTTGATGTACGTTTATAATGTAAAGTAGGGTATCACCATATATGCCAATAAGGGTTGAACACCAGGGGCAGGGTATTATAGTTCAGTTAAATGCTTTAAATGAATTCCAATATATTTATCAGCAAAATGAAAATAAACTTCTACAAAACTTTTGCGATTCTTTTGCACAATATCGTAGTTTTCCCAACACTAGTTCCTGCTCGCTTGCTCCAGAAGTTTGAAGAGTCAGTTGTAAACATTTTCTGAAAATATTTTGCAAGATTTAGGAAAGGGAATGAGTCGAAAATGATAGAAATAGATCGGCTCGTGTATCTAAAACTCACTGGGTTGACTTCCTAACAAATAAAGTTTAATTTCGACTCTCAATAGAATGAGATTCATGTACCATTTATAAACCTTGCCTTCCCATGAAGCAACGAGCGCTTGCGGAGGAAGTAAACGTGCATCATGGGATATCTACGATAAGTGCAATTTAGTGCAAATGTTAAAATTTAAAGATACTGAAACAGCTGTCAAAGAAAAAAGCTCGCTTAGTTTTGTGTCGTTAACCTTGATCTTCTAATAGGCTTGGTTGATATCCATAACAATTGAACGTTTGTCGAATAAAACCGCATCGATGCGATGATAGCGTCCATTGAGCTACTGCAACCCTTATTAAAATTTAAATGATCATTAAAGTAATTATGTAAAAACCATCAGCTTGCTTACTATATATATACTACTCGTTAAAAAGCATTTAAGACCTTTTTTTCGGGATAATTTTATGGTTTGCAACTTTGCATATTCAAAGCTTGGCTTTGTCTAAATTGAAGACATCTTATACTTCATTTAGTCGCCCTGCACCTAGACTCAAAAACGGAGATTTTTGTAGCTCATCGAAACACGAAAGTGTCGAAGTCATTTTCATGAGAAATGACAACTTAAAATGATTAATGAAATGAAACTGTTATGTAGAAAAAAAATATGTAGAATTCTAAGGTGACCTTACTGAAGATTTTGAACCTGGGAATTTTGATTACCTGAAAGTGAAATGTATCAGAAAAGCTATCTGTATGTGCAAACTTCTATGAAGGAGATTTTAAGCACCAACTTCAGTATAAGCTTTTATATCTTTATTCATCAGACATGAATTGCTGATTAATTATATCGGCCTATTTCAACCAAAATAAGGAAAATGCATTCGTATCGATGTAATGTTTTCACTTCTCTGTCACTGTCTTAGAGTATCACAAAACTACTAAGTCTAAGTGTTACTTCACTGCAAAATAACTGTAATTTTGGCGGTGTTAAAATTGAAGTTTTATCATAGAAATTTGTGACAGTAACAGTTTTCTTAATAAAGAAATACTTCATTCATTTATCGTTGGCTATTATGTTTTGAACTGTGAAGCAAAGCGATCATTAATTTCATACAACCGGAAGTCCTGCGAACGCATGCGCATTGCTCATTTGAAGTATTAACAGGTGCATTTGAGTTATCAAATATTTTTTCACTCCCTCTACGCTCGCTAGATCGTTCACAACAAATTTTTCATTCTTCGGGGCTTTACCAAAAAAAAAATGGCTGATGAGGATATTGAAGAAATAGCTGACAAATTTGCAGGCAAATTCGACGTTATGACTTGTTCAACAGCCTGGGACAGAAGCGTTTTAGCTGAACGTGAACTAAAGATCTCACAAGCGGTGTGTTTGCTTTGGCAAAATTCGACGACCGGTGAGGTGGCTGGCCGACACAGTGATCTCCATTTGCTTGTTTGTGTCTACTGCGCTGGCTTGTTAGACCTCTTGATCATGGAGAAAATTCGTATCAACGATATGCTATCCACATGTCTCTGCCTTGTTTCCAAGAAGAAAATGGTTGAGGTTAGTTTTCTTTGAAATTCAGTTAAACCTCGATGCTTAAACTCGTTAAAGGCGAGTTCATTACGCCTGCATGTCGCGTCAGTGTTTTACTCTTATTATCCTCAACGGGACTCTAATGATTTGCGTATAAACTTACTACTTTTCATTTAATATTAATAACCGCGGTTTGTTCGTAGAGCGCACTACTACTACTTCATCGAACAGGGAACAGAGGACACATGAAAACAAAACCGAAGCTCTTCCGATATTCACTTTGACCGTTCAAATTTCATTCATGCTGCTTGATTTTATGCATGAATAAATTGATTGTAGTCTAAACATACTGATGAATTTCACAAATGGCATAAAATTTTTTGATCTTGCATCGCGCAACAATTTCTTTGAGGGATAAGTGTGAAGAACTTTACTACGATTATATTGATGTCTCCAATGCTCGTGAATTACTGTCGGTGTGAAGCGGTTTTATGCACCCAAAGTAAATGCAAATTGTCTCTGTATATATCTTAACTTTATTTCCCATAAGTGCAATACGCACTTGTCTAAATATTAGGCGTATTATTAAATGTTGGAAAATATTTCACTGTTTTAGGTCTAAAATTGTTTGAGCCGAATATATTGAAATTCATGCATGGTTTAGGGGACGACAGAAGTGACGACAAACGCTGCGTTTATTTGCCATTTTCTGCAAACAGAGAAGCTAGCTCTACACAATGACGATACATAAAGCAGTTTAATTAAAACGAAGAAGACATGCTATGATAGGTCGAAGTTTACCTTTTAGTCTGAGAGACATCTTGCTATATAAAACAAGCATCCATGTTTGAAATATTGTATGCATGTAAATCGATGTATTCCGGCCAATCTCTTTTAAAATAGTTTTTAAGTCAGCGCGTGTTGCTAAAAAATAACAAGAAGGCCTCCTCGTTTTCTTGAACCGTAGAATTTTAAAATCATTTGCGACACCGGGAATGATTGTGACATTTTCAGAGCATCAATTATGTGATGAAGTCGACTCGCTATAATTCATTGCAACATGCATATGATCGCTAAAAAAATAACTAAAATGTGGCATATATTCTAATAACTAAAATAGCGGCGTAAGGGCTTAACAACAATTGTGCTACTATTGTTTATAAAATTCGTTTCACTGGCTGAAAAATTCTAGGATCTATTGTGTGTGACAGAATACATAGTATAATATATTGATTTATTTTTTATTTCCACTTTTCCCCCCATAAGTTCATTTTGAAGTCAAGAAATTCAGTGAGTTGTTCTTATACGTGATATAGCGTGTGATGTTTTTTGTTTTCGTTCAAGTGCACATATTGCTAGAATTGTCGACATCCAAACTGCTTTCGAAAGTTTTTCCAATGTATACATTTGTCAGTATTTCTAGCAGGTGGTGGGATGTTGGAACAATAAATTGACGAACGTCTTTTATCAAAATAGCTATCGCCCTACAGTTTTGCGCCATCTTTGGCAGTATTTTGTAGTTTTGCCTTTAAGATAAGACCAGATGGCACTAACTAATATGGGCATGCGTGGAAAATCTCAACATCATGAAGATATGAAATGTTAATCCTTAGGTATCTATCGGCTTGTTCCACTCAAAAACTTTGCTTTTATAAGGTAGTAAATTTTAACTAAATTAAATGTTACGATGATATACGGCATGCTGTAGACGCAAGGTGTAAGCTAAGGCAACCGATAAACTAAAATTCGAGCAGGTGATCATAACATTTTCTGATTATGCATATATACAAAGACATTTGGCAGGTGATGTAATTATTATGCCACATGTATGTATATTGAAGCTTAAAAGTTATTAGTTAAAACATGGATTTTAATCTCTTTTCTTTTGGGTTTCGCCAAATATGATAATTTACCCGCCATTCCAGGCATCATCCTATAATACCAGATAGTTGAATATAACTTGAAATATACCCGTTATCACAAGCATTGGATTAACTGTCCCATGCCGCCAATGAATAATATTCATAATATCTATTCTCAGGTCAAGTAAGGATAGTGTTAGCTCACCCAAGAGACATGCATTGGGATATATATTTATGACTTATGATATCGGAGCTATCCTTTATATAGAGTTTTTTCTCGTATGACATAACTGAAATTTCCATAATATTTCAATAAGAGCCTTTGTTCCTAGTCACATTTTCCTACGACGGTAGAAAAAGGAACATAGTTGATGTACGTGCGTGAAATTAAAAAAAACCTACTTATAGTATTACTTAGGCCTCAATTGATGTCAGCTGATGTTTCTACAGAAAACACTTTCGATATTAAACATCCTACGATACCGTTGCTCTAAACTTCCTTTATCCACCAAGCATCATTCACATGCAGGTAATTACTGCCGCTAACATCACCGGCTGTTATACTGACTTCATATGAAGTTTCATAAGGACAAAAACTTTACCCACCTTAGGTGATGAACGCAATTACATCGTTGCATTAATCCCCCATATTTCACAGTTTATAAGCCATACAACTCTCCACTATCCGATATTAAAGGAGTACAAAGGTTTAAATTCATTACCGCGAACACTTACTGACAGAAAGCGTGGGTTAACGAACGCGTTAATTTCTTAAACTACACGTTTCCATTATTTTATCATATTGAACATGAACGTCATTCTGGTAACAACAGATGTTTTTTGTTGTTGGAATATATGAATAAAGTTTCTTCAAGATGACAAAAACAGGAAATAGAAAATATTGTCTTGCGACATGTTCAGTTTTCCTGTCATAATTTGAGGGTGAAGTGTGATAATTCTTTGTCCTTTTTAGTGAAGGCCGTCTGAAACAGTTTAGTTTATGAATGTGTAAGAAGCGGCGGGGTTGGAGTCGAGAAGGAGCTAGGAAGGATGGGGGGTGAAGTCAGGGGTTGCAACACGTAGGTGGGGGCGGATAATCTATACTTATTCATGAATGTTCTTAGAAGGGCTTTACAGTCAGGTCGTCCCCATTCGTTTTGAAGGAAAGTTTAAATGGAGAGTTGTCCAATATAGATGAAGTCAGTTATTTCATTATAATTTTAATTTTAGATCGACCATAACCAAGGTACATCAACGTATCTCGATAGCCTGGGTCTGACTGAGATAATGGACCAACGCGATAATCCACGCGAGTTGGTCGACTGGCTTGAAGAAAGTGTTGATAAAGATGACGATAAAAATGCGTCGTATGTCACTCTTGAGAGTTTGGTAAAAGGTGGCTTCTTCAGAAAAGAAAAACTCTCCGTTGGCACAAGATTTTATCTCAATAATCAAGGTACATTCACAGGTGATTTATGGATACTAATTTTCTAAAAACAACATGTTAGATTACGTTTTCGATTTTTTTCTAACATTTTTCCAAATGTTTCCTAGAAATTAAGCAAAGTTTGGTACAGGATATGCGCGACTCTCTTCTTACCGAGAAGACACCTGATCTCTATATGCGAGTGATATTGACCTTGCTACAAGGAGCCGATCATTACCGGGACAACTACGACAAAGATAAGATCTTTAAGCAGTATTTCAGCAAACCTGAATACAAGCAAGCCAAGGCACGACTAAAAATCATCTCACGTGATTGGCCCCCAATCCCTCCACCTCCTCCTGCCCCGGCGACAACTACTACCACTGCATGAAAGGGACTATTACTTGTTGCATGAGAGTTATTTGAATGTTTACATAGATTTTGTCTATTAACTTACTGCGTTGACACACAATAGAGTCTTTTTTATTTGTTTTTGAGGATCAACAGAATTTAGATTTAAGAATTACAGTACATTATTTAAAATGGAACAGGCCGGGAAACTTACAGTTGCTTGAACCCGTAAACTCCACTTACAACAGGAACGACAACATCAACAAGAAACAACAACGGCATGAACAGCAGCAATAACAACAACAGCAACAACAACGACAAAAACAGCAACAATAACAACTTAAGCAATAGCAGAAGTCTCTGCCGTTGTAACGTCAAATTATATGATATTGATATCCGTCGTTCCGTTGTAAATATTTGCAGTTATATTGTGTGTACTAACGTTTAGAATGCCTCAAAATGACTGAAAGGATTGCCTGGCGCAATCAAAGCACGTTTATTAGTTAGCTCAGTGATTTATCTCTCTCTCTATATATATATTGACGAATTATTGTAATGCACTCGTGGGAACTAGATGTTACCTATTTGCGAGTAATTACCAATGTAAAATGAAATATTATTGAGTTTGTAAGAAATATTTACTGTCATTAAATATGGTATTATATATATATGTGATCTTTGTTGTATCGTGTGATTAATTTATAAAAAAAAGTTAACGCTAGCTGAGCTTTGCGAAAGGAAATCTAGGTGAAATCTTTCTTTCCCCAGAAATTTGGAGTATACATATACTTCGAAAGTGTCCTCTCAAAAACAAACAATGAATGAAGAATGCATATTCAGGAGTAAATGAAACAAAGAAATTTTCACTTTACCCGGTTTGTCATGACGAATGATTTTCAAATGCAAGAATTTAAGAAGGCAAAGCATACGGAATTTGCATAATAATTTAATAATATCTGCCACGTTGGTCAACTAATGTTTGTGTTCCTTTTGAAGTTATAACTTAAGTTCGAATTTTTATAATAGTTTAATACAATTAAAATTTTGAAAAAGATGAGAGTTTGGCGACCACAGACATGTTTTTTAATATGTATGATCCTAAAGCTTATGGCGGTTGTAATTTTAGCTAGTTTGTTTTTGAAGAAAACAGCAATTCTCTTTGTAAATCCGAAACTAGTGGAGCTGAATGATTTTCAAATTTTTATGAATGATTGGTGCCGGGTAAGACAGGCAAGAACGGAAACTCAGAGCATCTTAGCGTCATGTCAGGATCAACTGAAATGGACGTACGATCAAAATGGTACAGAAACTAATGCTTCTATGAGTTTTATTTCCAAGTGGGATCTAAAGCCAGCCGGGCAATTTAGCCGATTTTTCATTCAAACGGTTTCAAGTGAAGGAGCTTTGAAAACGACCGGAGGAGACTGGTGGAGAGTACGAATTCGTAGTTCTGTAGCATCCTTGCCGTCAACGGTATTTGATCATAGAGATGGGACGTATGAAGTGATATTCTTGATTGTGGAGCACGGAATCTACTATCTGGATATTACACTCGATCACTCGCTATGCAATGGCTTCAAAGATCCACCACAAAACTGGTTTATTCTTGGTAAGAACTTGCCGTTTAAAAACAGGTTTTTCTCTCTAAGCACAAGAAATGATTTTATTCCTCGTTTGTCAGTTTAAAAATATATTGTTGACGAGTTATAATTATATTTCACAAGGAAATGCCCAAGGAAAAATGCAGCCAAATGGAGTTTTGAGAGGTCGTGCAAAACAAGACTACTTACTTCAGCCTTTCCAAGATGGGAGAAAATTAACGATAAATATAGGACTTCCCGATGGGAGAGGTGAGGAAGCCGTTTCTGAATTGGCCGCATGCAAACTATAGAGGTATGTTGTAGTGTATATGCATCGAGTTGTTCCGTATAGGATGGAAAATGTTGTTCCAAAACCAACCCTCAACCGGAAATCAACCCGTTAGAGTTCATTGTCTAAAAAATAAAACCCCGCATTGCAAACAACAGGGGATTTATCAAAACAATAAATTTACTATCAACATTTCGCCTTATCTGTCAAAAACTCGTTGGCAAAACAGGTGTTTTTATCTTGTTTTGAATAGCATGTTGTTCATTCTTCCAAATTTAAGCACAAATGCATGCTGTGAAATTAAATCAATCTGCTTTGGAAACTGTTCGGCTTTTCAAAACAAATAAAGCCATGGAGAAATCACTGACGCAACGGACGGGTTGTGAGTCTATTATCCACTTGCTATAATAATTTCTTTTTTCTTCAAGGCTTGTTTGTCTTCAACAGTTTGCCCAGAGATATTCTCCTGCAGCTGGGGAAGAAGTTTGACTTAAGTTGTGGAATGAAATGTCAAATGATATGGGATGGTTATGGAAGATGGGCAGATGAGAAATGGAAACCTTATTTGAAAGGTCACTGCATGTTGCTAGCAAAATCATAATTTTTGTTAGTTTTAGACTGCGAGAATCCTTCTCACATTTTCAGTTTGTTTTAAACCGAAAATACTGATAAAGCAAGACGAGATGCGATCGCATAACATTCCGCTACACGAGGGCTCTAAATATACAAATTCTCTCAACCTTTACAGCCAGAGATGGGAAAGTAGAAAGCAAGAATCTCGACAAGAATGATGATGTAAGCCAAACAAGAAGTCCACTGTACAACACATTATGGATTTATGGAGATTCACAAGCGAAACGAATGTATGAGGAAGTTCAAAACACGAGTTTGTGCAAGACAATTTTCAGAGTTTGCAAACTGAGTAGTAACTGGGTTTATGCGTACGAGGGAGAAATGCCAAGACAAGATGATCTAGATTTTGATTACAAAAGAATAACTAATGACATAAAAAGAGTTTTAGATGTTGAAGAGATGTCTGAAAACAGTGTAATGGTTTTAAATCTTGGACTTCACTTCGTACAAGCAACCAACTTTTCCAATTACATAAAGCTGCTTCGTGGAGTTGTGGACGTTATCGAAACCCGTCAACGAGAAGGAAAGAAAAATGTGAGACTGATTTGGAAAACTACCACAGAAATTTCTAAGCACAAAGACACTAAAGATTTGCTTTACTGTGATTTTAAAAGATTTTTTACTAATGCGGTAAGTCGAATAACTATCTATATTGTGAAAATCTTCGGATAGTTGCACATTTTACTGACATATATAGCTGGTGCTTGACAAAATATTTATAGTTTTCAAAAATATATGGGTCTTTCTTTCTAATACACCTGGTGATTTTCAAACGTAAAACATGCACGAGCCATTGAACTGAAAGAACTAAAAAGACAAGCAATTAACGAGTGTCTACTGAACGAAAACGTTGACTATTCAAATCCAGCTTTTTATTCATTGTTCTTTTGGGACAGAAACACAAAAGAGAGGATTAGATTGACCACCCGAACGGTACTTTGCATATTTGAAGTTAAAATGATAATTGTTATACCTTCCGAGCATTCTCGTGTTTGTACCAATATCATTCATGATTCATCATCTTCAAACTTCAAACAGTCAATAAAATGAGCCAGTTTGGGTTTAGTTTTAATAATTGGTAAAGATCAAACACTTATTTACTTGTCCATAACGGAGAGAAACATGGTTTTTCCTTTGAACGAGCTCAGGTAAAGTAAACATGGAATCTTTCTCACTTTCTGCATGACCAGTGCAAGAAAGATAGCGGCGGCATACTGATGTCTATACAATTCAAACTAGTCTTGTAACAGGACATGGGCCTTAGTATTCAGACTTGTGTTTGAGTGACGGGGATGATGTCAGTTAACATCACATCTGAATCAGATTGTATTAATCTTAACTATGTATTTTATCTTTTAGCGTGTCGCAATGTACAATGCATATGCGACGTCATTCATGTGTCAAAAGGGATTTGAGATTCTGGATGTTCATCCGCTGACAGCATCTTATCCAGGTGGCACAGGTGGGCCAAAAATAGAATTTTACAAAGAGCATGATGTAGTTCATTACAAAAGGCATGTAACAAAACCTTTTGAAGATCTTCTTACTGAATATCTGCTGGGAAATGTACCAAGACAATTAAACTTTAAAAATTATCAGTTTTCCTAACAGTGCAATAAAAGTATAAAACTACTCTTGAATTGTACCAGAAAATTAAAATTCAAGACTTTAGGATACTAGATATAGGTATAGAATGATTGTATAGAAGATGACATATATTATCGGTACATCGCCGATGGGATTAATGGTCGGTCGTGTATTGCTTTGGTATAATCAATAGTCAGTAATGACGTTCAAAGACTGTCGCATCAGCGATGTCGATCATTGTGACCGGTAGTTGATTGCTGAATTGAATTACAAGTTGAAACAATGACATGCTAAATGAAACAGAACATTGTCTCCAGTTTTCACCTAATCCTTGATGAACTTTGCTCAAACACTTTGTTCCAGCAAGCAGATTCTTATTTAGTATAAACAACTAAATCTTTCTATACATGTTATTTGCAACTAGGAAATGGCACGATCTATATAAATATAATTGATCTTCCTGAATCAGATTATGCATGATAGGTCTTTCATATACGCCAAGGCGTGAATTCATTTTGACATGTTTTCATTTTTCATTGCAAAAGCCCCAAACCTTGCAACTACGAGAGTAAATTGGTTTCATTGCATTTTTATACTATACGATATATTTTAATCATTCTAACTAATCAGTGCTGATTATGATCGGCCGGAAACGGCAAATCTGTTCAACTAAAATTGAAAATGAATTTACAGTGGTATTATAGCTTCGCAATATCAACACAATAAAATGCGATATTCGCACACATACAGCCTATATTCATGCTGCAAAAAGATTTCAACATTCGCTGAAGTCGCGTATTGTGATGAAAAAGACGCTGAATTTAGGAAATAGTGAGTGTATGAAAACTGGAAAGATCTATGACACTTCATATGTTTAAAAACCTGAAGAAATTGATTTCTTTAATTAATTTGACCATCACTGATTGGTTATTGTGTCGCAAAAGAAAGAAAATCATCAGAAATTCAACAACAAAAATGCTTTTATTCTTAGGATGGATTTAGCCACGGTTTGATATTTTAATTACAACCTTTTCCCTAATTGGTTTTGGCTTTGCGAAGTTCATAATTGAAAATGGGTAAACAAAATAGAGATTTTTGTATACAGTGCAGACCGACAGTTAGATAGAAAAAATGTTTTGGACTCTGCGGTTCCTTTTGGCATTCCATTGCAGGTGTTCCGCAACTGTTTTGCCGCCAAATCAATGCATGGCTAGACTAAGATATGATTTATTGTAAAATTTATACATGGCAGATAATTGAGATATGATCTAGAAGCTTTAAAATGCTTTAAAAAAAATACGATTATCTATCCATATGACCGTAAGTATAAATCTGTCATTATCCTATGGTTGTAGCCGGTTCACCGATTCAAATGCACAAGATTGATTCAACGTACTCAGTCTCAGTACTCTAATTGACAACACCTAAGCCATGCAAAGTCTTCCAAAAGATGAAACCTATATTTCAAAATGTTGCATATTATATATTCATCATTAAGAACATTTCCTTGCACTTATTGAGAATTCATTTCATCGTGCACAATCTATTGACAGAGGCATTTTTCTTCAAAGAATTTATTAATTTAACCTGATGCGGTGTATTTTATGTTTTCATCTGTCCAGCTAACCTGCTAAAGAAAAAAATTTGGTTGTGATCGCATTATATCATACACATCCATTAGCCGACAACAAGCTCATTAAAAGGCCATTTCCAATTATTTCGTATTTTAATCAGGCAACACAGAAAGTGCAATTAGAACGCAATACTGGTGTAGGTAGCCAATGAAATTGCCCAATTCAGAACACGTGTCCCAACCTATTTCTGTGTTCTGTATGAAACATTCAGCTGAAAGAAATGTCTCACGATCTTTGAGCATTGGGCATAAGGCAAAACGAAGATACTTGAGCGAAATTTCAGGTCAAATTTACTGTAACTCAGTGTAGCAAGAAAATTCAAGAGAGAAAGGACTCATTTTTGTTGTAGAAGATCTTGACCCGTGTCGAATTGACGAACCCGATCTGTTGCCAGGCAAGCGCGCCAACGGCATAACTGATTCTTTTCAGTTCTCAGGTATTATCTGAATACTTTCATTTAAACTTTAAACTGATTTTGAACTTTAGTATATCAATCCTTGTTAACATAAGTATCGATTCCTACGTCGATATTCACTCCAAAACTCAGTTAACGTCAACAAACGTCAAAATTCAAAAGCCAACAGACCACCATTGTTCCGAACACTCTGATTTTTCAGCTTTTCAGTACAATCACTGCTAACGATGTTAACCGTCATGCTTGAACTGAACCGTTTTCTTTCGCGAGAAAGCCGGATAAAATTACGCTTTTTGTATTAAACGTCTTCTTCGCATTACATTGCAGGCAAAACTGAATAGTTTGCGGATAGAAAACAACAAAGTAGACAGTGTTTTTTGCCTGATGAAATTACTTATTACAAATCCTAAAACTCGAAAACAAACCAACCAAGCATGGTAATTATTTGTATAACATTGTTCAATGTGTGTATATTATTTTGTATTTATTGAATGATTATAAAACGAAGACTGGATCGCATTTAGGCATAAACCTGTCAGAGTTTGCATGACCTCACACTTTATACTGAAGTAGGTACAATTCATTTTAGTCTCGAGATATAAAAGAAAGTATTCCTAAAGCCCTTTCTACTTAAGGATCGTTGCCAGAAGACATATATAGGGCCTTTATTTAACCCTCGCCTGGCGTCTGACGGTGCAGACTGTGTGAAGGTCGCCTCTTGTCAACCGTGAAATTCCCTTCGCTTTACCGCCTGCATGAACTCGCCTTGTACGAATAAGAACAGGCGATAAAACACTGACTATGGATATTTTTGACTCTTGATCGATTGCGCGAAAAATTATTAATCGGTCAGTGTTGACTAAGTCATCTTTGTCCGTTGGCACTGTTTCCTAGCCAGAATAAAGACCAGGAGTAAACTTCTTTTTCTCATACACCAAACACGTTGCAACGTCAGGTTAATGTTAAGACGATCGACCTGCTGCATGGGCTAGCTCTGATCAAAACCCGCTATAGATTTTTTCGACAATAGCGCAGATCAATCCTTGTCTAAAAACTGTTTATAGCCCGTACAATCTTTTCTGTCAGCAACATCATGCATTAAAAATGCTTGTGCTCAATATATTTTTTATTTAGCATTATCTGCAGTGTGTTTGGGCAGCTGCAACCAGCGACGCACTGCTAAGTTTAAGAGCGTATTTCAAACGCTTTTGCCACACTTAACCCCATCAATAGCATTTGGTTAGTTGGGATTGAATTACCTTCCTTCAACTATCTACGGAATCTGACAGCCGTGCAGCCCTAATGATAGTTTTGACCGTACACGTAGACGCCGTAACTTACTAAGACTTCATTCATTGAGATTTTTTACCCGGCAAAAATAACTGACACGCTTTTAATATAAGGCTAAGTAAATACTATAGTGATAATAACAGCTTTCCAGCGCAAGTACAAATACTGATGCTCTTTTTAAAACCAATACGGCATTATGAAACACTGATTTGTTGTATAGCAACATTTAAAGATACCAGAAAAGCAAAATTTTATATGTAAAAAACATTCAATATAGAAAAATCTGCGGAAAAAGTACCAAAATGAATTTATACCCGTATTGAATTCGTGGGATATTAAAATAGTGTTTATTTCTAGAAAGCGTTATTTAAATAAACAATCTTGATAAATATTTGTTTTATCGAAGACTTACGCCTGTATTCAAAAAGCTCACTCACACTCATACTCATCGAGTGTGACATATAAATTTCGTTAATGCTGATCAATGAGAAAGTTTTTTCTGAATAGATGAAAAGATATAAGGTAAATCACTGAAAATCAAGCCCCTGTTCGGCTGGAAATACCGCCATTGAAACGTTATGAGAAGATTAAGATCTCCCACTCAATGAGTTTGAGTGTGAGTGAGCTTTTAGAATACAGGCGTTAGACTATCGAGAATTTGGACCACTAGAATTGACGACAAGCTGACGACAGCTGTGTGCATGCATGGAGTGAAATTCCACAGAATTAAACTATTTTTTCTGTATGAAACAGCAAATCGAATTCGTTACATACAACAATGGATAAATGATTTTTACACGTTAGCCGCAGGCACTCTCATATATATTCATTACTCAGGCTGAAATGTGCGAACCTCTTTTCTGGCTTCCAGATCCTTCATTTGCGCAAGACCATCACATATTACTTACAAAGCTCTGCAAATATGATCACATTAACCTCGTGTTTATCTTTTGTGCACAGTAGGGAGTATAAAAGCATAGCTTATTTAACATTCTTACTTCTCTACTTAGTTCATAAATTTCAACTCCTCCACATGACAGAATGGAATTCTTCACGAACTCCACAATCCTTCTTCCCAATACTATGTTAAACACGACGTTATCCAATGGATCTACTCGTTCAGGATATGATGGCTACGATGGGGAGAACATTATATCTGCCGTATTCTCGTCAATACTTGCTTCAGTCGTTTTGGTCGGCAATGGAATGGTGATGCTCGCTTTCAAAGTAAACTACAAACTGAGAACTGTCACAAATATGTGTTTTGTGAGCTTAGCTTTGTGTGACTTTCTTGTTGGTCTTATATCCATTCCTTTATGGGTCTATTACACCTTCAACTCAGTCAGTAACATGCACCTATACCTGTTCTACATATCCTTCGATATTTTCAACGGCACTGCGTCAATATTTCAGTTGACGGCAATCAGTTTAGAGCGATGTTTCTCGATCGTTGCCCCGGTTCGTCACCGTTCGATGCCAGTGTTTTTTTACTACGCCATGGTGTTCGCGGTTTGGTTTCTTGCAATTGTGAGCACGTTGTTGAGACTTCTACCTCAAAAGAATGTCACTGATGGAGATTGGTACAACATTTATACAATTCTCGTGTGTTTTCTTCTTCCTGTGCTGATAATGACGACATCATATTCCCTGTTATTCCGCACTGCAGTGAAGCGATCTCGTCTGAGCATGCGTTCAAGCAAAAACCAACAAGTTAGTTGGTCAAGTCAACGTAAAACCATCATAACCTTGTTAATAGTAACAGGGTTGTTTGTAATAGCTTGGTCACCATTCTTCGTTTATCTTGCCCTGGCTCGCTATCTTCCACAAGCACTGCCTAAAACTATTGAAGGACGGATCCATCTTTGGCGGTTTGTAAAATGGATGCATTACAGCAACAGTTGTCTCAATCCGTTTGTTTACTCGTTCCGAAACAGAGAATTCAACTATTCTTTCAAGATGATATTCCAAGCTTGCATCAAGTGCAAGAAGTTTGAAGAGGTGAGTATGGTGTTTTTGTACTTTACAATGTCGAAGCGATCTTGAATAACAAAATTCGTCTGTATGATGTTGGATAAAGTTAGGGTGATAGATTGTCATTTTTGAGACAGAACATGAGTGGAAATCTTCATTATTGATTATTTCAGGTCAACAGACAGTTAAAGAGACCAACAAGATTTGGTATACGGCGTCACACTCGCGATGGAAACTCTTTTTCACAGACCTTGTGCGGTGGACACAATCAAACTATGCGAAGCTCGTTGAAAGATGCTAACGACGAAAACACGAATTCACGATTTACAGAAAGCATCAAGTTGAATACAATCAATCCAAACGAAATCAAAGTTAGTGTTATAGACGTGAATGGTAACGATTGATTAATTGACCAAAAACCTTAACTATCATTAGTCCAAACTAAAGTTGAGGGCAATTCATGAAACGCTATCATAACGATAATCGATAGTTACCAGATAACGTGAATATAGAATCATTGCATAGAAGTTTATCCCAAATGATACAATGATTTTTGAATGCATTGAATAAATACACTAACTGGAAACACTAGATGTGGATTGTATTGTAAAAAACTCAGATATTATTTTTCACTCGCTGGTTGTTTACTGGATGCCACTTTTTCGCTTAGCCTAAGAAGTTTTTTTAACTTACATTGCAGGGTCAGTTTGTAGTCATTCACCCCAGATATATCCATCTGTTAGTTTACCAGACAAAATCCAGAAAATAACACAACCGAATTAGGAATGTAGGATGTACTGAATCATTTCTTTCTTTTTAAATCATTATCACTCCGATTACTAGTACAATTGTCGATAAAACTACGGTGCTTCTGTTCTTCTAATGGATTCTAATTACATTCTAATGATATTCTAATCACATTCTAATCATATTCTAATCATTTTCTAATCAGAATTACTAGAAAAATGTATCATTTTTCACACCGTGCTTTTCTCAGCGAAACCAGTTAAATGGATATCATTACTGTCGCATACGGTTGCTAGATCAAATTCCGGCTGGAGCAAAATGTTGATTCGCTGGCAAAAAGAACAATAAAGATTATATCTTTACTGTTTATTTTTTATTATATACCTTTCTTTTTGTTTAAAAGTAACCTCGCTTAATTCATACCTCTTTTAAAGTTCCATCCGTGCGAATGATCTTGCATATGGCGTAGACAGGAATGAGGAACATTGGTACGCCGGCAATAAACCAACCAAAAATCTCTGCCCATACCGGATATCTTTTCTTCTCGTATGTAATACCTTTTTCAGGGTATTTGATCAGACTGAACATGAATAACACCTGCCATAAAAAAAATTGAAATAATCTAACGTCAGAATAGAATGGATGATATTCCAAGTTAATGGATCATCTCGACAAAAAAAACCCAGAAAAAAAGGTGTAATAAAAATTCTTACAAAGACCAACGCTACAGAAACATATTTCCAACATATTATCCACCAAGAATGGATTTTTGTTCCAGTCAAGTTGCGGATTTCTTCCCCCCATTTTTTACCACCTGAGAGAGAAATGAATTGTTGCGAAAACGCGTATTTATATGGAAGAAATTTTACAAGAGTGTCATAAGCACTAAACATTGTATCGAGACGACGCTAGACAGAAATGGTAATGTTAGAAAATACTTTCGTAAAAGCATACTAACCAAAAACCCATCCAATGACAGATAATTGAAATATAACAACAAAAAGAAGACATACGCCAGCCGCAAAGGAATCTAAGAGATTAAAAACGTAGATACCGCCCTAAAGAAAATTAGCCGGCATTAACTGATGTTTAGGGCCACTAGGTAGTGAGTTCTAGGGGGATAACAGGTAGCATACCTGGGTAACACAGGATATTCCAAGTAAAAATAGGGTCAAGCAAACTGCCAGAACAACTAATTCTTTATGAGGACGAAGTTTCTTCGGGTATTTTTCGATTACAACTCCACACAGTACTTCAACTCCACCAAACTACAACGGAAGCTAAAGATGCTTACTAATAGATCTTTCTCGTAACGAGGTCAATCAGAGCAACAATTGTAAAAACATAAATTGTTCTAGTTTGTCTGATATTCTTCTTCGGACTGATATGTCAAGAACGGGAATCATGCGGTATATTATTGCTTCCATATCCAGGCACCATTAAATATGGCGTGTGAACGTACCTGACTGTCCAGGCCGAGTGTTATCAACATCAAAAAAAATATAACAGACCAGAATTGTGGAACCGGTAGCTTCGAAAGGGCTTCTGGGTAGGCAATAAAAACCAGTCCGGGACCTAAGAATGAATCTCTATTAAGTGAATATTCCCGTTACAGCATAGTCAATAGTTAGGCTGCAGTTATAGTAAATTTACACTTCGTTTTTCAAAAAATAGCAAACCTTGTGATGCAACATCAGCAACTGATTTCCCTTGAGATGCAGCCATGTTACCAACAACAGAAAAAACAACAAAACCAGCAAAAATACTCGTCGAACAATTGATAACTGATATTAGAATCGCATCCCTGTAATAGAATGCACCAGTTCACAAGCGGAAATTGTGCAGAAAGGGATTTTAAAAAAGGATCGAAAGCGGTAGAAAACGAGAGATCAGAAACTGGCACGATAACGTGATCAAATGACAGTATACGAGGTGGGAACGCATTTAGTATATAGGGCTATACCTGCACAATGTGGGGTTTTTTTTCTCGTTATAACTGGAAAAACCAAGCACCACACCGATACCAATCGCTAGAGAATACATAATTTGTGATGCCGCGTCCACCCATACCTAGAGAAAAAATTTGGCACAAATCATTCTTTACATTGCCAAAGTTCCTGTGTTCACAGTTGAAAGTTTGCCGGCATTAGCTGACAATTTGCAGGAGAGATGTTTGCAGGAGAGATGAAGTCTACTTACGTTAAAATCACCAAGACGGTGAAATTGTGGTTTTACAAAGTACAAAATTCCATCTTTGGCCCCGTCCAACGTCACTCCACGGAAGAATAATATTATTAATATTATATACGGCGCTGTTGCAGTAACGTAGACAACCTTGGTAAAAGAATTAAGACTTGCTAGACTGTCTCCGCGTGAGAAACAATGAAGATTTCTAAAACTAATCTGGCGTTAGACTAAACTACACTAAAGATTACACACTATTCAACTTCATTGGGGAACTGACCTTTCCTGTTGTCTTAATTCCTTTCCATATACAAAAATAAACGAGGACCCAAGCAAGTAAAAGACATCCAAACATTTCCCAGTTCACATTTCCTGGATTGTCAATACTGTCAGTAAGTTCCAGCACATTGTGACTGTTGCAAATAAAAGACAATGTATTGGTTTGGGAAAAAAGAACAGCGCCAATAAAGTGAAATAAAGGCTACAGATGTAACATATCCTGGAAATAAACAAAACATACACATAAAACTCTTTACTCGACGAGAAGCCAGTGGCGTTTGGGTTAGACTTGTTATAAATAGAACAATCTTTATTCCAGTCGTGATCACATCCAACCCAGGGAAGATTACTTTTGAAGGAATGGAAGAAATAATAGCAAGCCCAGGCAAGAATCACGTTGTAATAGATTGATACCATGAACGCTATGAACATGTTGGCGTAGCCAATTCCTGTTGGAAACAATTATATCAAAATACTGAAACAGCTAGCTTGGTTTTAACTTACTTACGTTGCGTTTTAAGTGACTGAAATGACTTGAAAAATTGTTGAACATCACAACATTACCTCCAAAAAGAGGACATATTCGTTTCCAAGCCTTCACGGCATTCGTCTGCATCATTTGGCCAATACTCATCTCCATCAGAAACATCGGTATTCCGGCAAATACCAAACACAATAGATATGGAATTAAAAAAGCTCCTACATATGTAGAAATATTTCTTTAGCTGCATGTTTCAATTCAAAAGCTTTATTTTAGTAAAAACAATAATGGTTTACTGCATGAAGGTCGAAATTTTCAACAAGACAAGTATTAGCTCTTTTCTTCGCTCCATTTGTTTTTAATGATTAAATGCTGGTGCATTGAACTGAACTGATATTTTGTTTCCTAGCTTGTGACATATATAGGCAATTACGAAAACCAGATATTGAAATAGCTATCGATGCGAATACCTCCGCCATTTTTAAAGCACATATAAGGAAATCGCCAAATATTTCCATAGCCAACTGCAAAACCGATACAAGCGAGAAGAAACTCAATCTTTCGGCTCCATCTTTCTCGTCCTTTAATTTCGCTATCCTCCGAGTCCGAGACGCCGACTTTTTCTGTCATTGCGACCCCTTTGGCTTTGAAGTCGCCTAAAATATCTTGCCGTTCAGCCCTGCGAGAAAACGTGTAAATAAGTTTTATGACGAAGACACCTCGCTGGTGATCTTATATATAGAAAAGTGTAAATAAGTTTTATGACGAAGACTCGTCGTTGGTAATCTTATATATTATAGAAAAACCGTTTTTTTTTAAAGATTAGTTAATTGAGCACACATGCAAGGTCGTAAATCCGGCAAAATCACGTTAACAGAGTTGTTGATAATCGAAAGATATTTGATAGTTGGAAAGTTTTTTATACGCATATTTTTACTGATTTGTATCAGAGAATTGATTCTATACGTGCACTTCCAAATTTGAAAGCGCATTTTACTATAAATGACTATTAAACGAGTATGGTATATTTCAGCGTTATCCATCAGTATACATTGAAACGTTCAATGTGAATACAAACAAACAGCAGCGTGTCATATTAACGGTGATCTAAAATAGACATGCAGAAAAGTGGAAACCTCTCAACACTTCGCTTTATGCATATACTAAATTGTCTGCATGACAAAGGTCCTAGGTCGAAACGTTAAACGGTTTTTGTTCGTTTCAGATAGTTGGTTAAAACTATCACATTTAAAATAACATACAATCTATCCTAGCTACTATATTCTTAATCTTTGGCTTTGCGCATTCCAATGCCTGGCAATGATCCCAACACCAGACACACTGTTGACCGAGGTAATGAAATGAATTTCTGAACATACCTTATTTTACTACGTAATTTGTGAGGTTATTATCAATTTTCTGACCTGAATGAACTTCAAATGTCCTTTGCAAACAACTTTGAGCAGTAGAGTTTTTTCTAGTAAGGTTATGAGTGACTGCAGACTGCAGAGGGATATGTATCATTCACATGCAGCCGCTCGTTTCTCTGACGACTGTAGACTTGTGTCACAGATTTAATAGACGAGATCACGTTTCACTGGTAAACCAACCCCCCCCCCCAATCACGCTAACGGCAAACTCTTTTATTCATGATCATGTAAGATTCAAGTCTTATCATAACGTGGACATTAGCGTAGAGTCTAGCGTGGCCAGCATGACGATTTATCCCGCTAATCCTATTATGTTAGAATTTTGATGTCCATCGACTATGAAAACAATAAATCCCATGAATAATCAAAATTTACATAGCGGTCATGTTGGTTACGCCACGTATTGTGGGATCTTGTTTCATAAAAAACTCACATTTTTCAAACTCAAGTCCCTGATTTAGACAAATCTTGAACGATGTAAAATATTATTGGAGCTGTTTTTCACTGATCAATCTATTATCTTTAGCACCAACGAGAAGACAAGGACACTACGAGAAAACAGAACAATCAACATTTCCCTGAAATATAACCGTGTCAAAGGTGAATTAATCTGTTATGTACGTCTTTGTTGGAGCTTTTTGTTAGTGTTTATGACGTCAGTAATTGCACAAGTTCAGGCCGTCTGTTGCATCACAGTTGGATGAAAATGCATGGGCATGACGAGAGAATGCATTACTGACTAGCTATAGAAACATAGAACCATTGCATGCAATTAGCAGCACGTAATATTCGAGGCAATTTCCCATGGCATACTGCACTTTTGGATCATGAATGTTTTTCGATTTATTGTTAGTTACCATTCTGTTTGTCTGCTTTCCACTGTCGCGTTTTTTAGCAGCTATACGTACACACGCACGTGTAAGTTAAAATAATTTTAATAATACTTATAAAATCTACGATTGAATAAATGCGTACATCTGCGTAGGCTTGGATTTTGCTGAAGATTTGGTATGTTCTTTCTCCAATAGAAATAATTATAAAATAACTTACGTAGGCTTCGCTGGTAATCATTGACCTTGTTTAAATGAGTAAAAAGCCATAAATTGAAATGATGAAGGTCAAGGAATGCTCGAAGAAATGCTTCCCATTCAATATATCGTTTCAAACAGGGCGCCTTTTTAACAAAAAGCGGTCGACTTTTGGATATGTTTTAATAACTGTCTGAATCAAATATCGTTATCGATATAACTAAAACCCCATATGCCTCTTACATTCGACAAACCTTGTGCAGATTTGACTTTAGATTGTGATTTAAACAGATCTCGGCTATCTGAGAAGAGAACTTCCTCACAAAGACTCATTGTCTTTGATCACAACGACGGAATTCTTGTTATATTTTGCATATAGATAGGTTTGTATAACGTACCTCAAGCGATAATGAATGCAATTTCTAACATTTGTTACTTTTTAGCCGGACACCAGAAACAGGAATGAAAATAAGGTAAGTGTGCCACCAGTGGCAGTGCGATGTTAGTTGCACTAACTTGTGCAAGCAGTATAACAAAGGGTGTAATTTGCAACCAAGCAGTTTGAATATATTAGACATAGCTCACTGATGAAGAACACTGTATATTTTTTTAATTTAAACACAGTGTAGGGAGCAAACAGTCTCACAGTGTGGTCATCTGTTTTGGAAACAACGTGGTATTAACTAGTTTCTATTTAATATACGTAAATTAATAGGTTTTTATAAATAGACCAGTTATTTATACCGTTAAACAACACCCGGTTATTTCACCAGTTTCTGGGTGCGGTTAGCCAACTTGAAGTTTTATTTAGATGGAAATTGCAATTGATTGTCCGCGACGAATATTTTAATGCAATTCGTCATATGATACGCTTCTGTGATAGAAATCTATCACACAAAATTACCAGCCTATATAATTACAAAACAGAGCGCTACTAGGACGGCTAGATTGCAGAATACCCGTTCACGAGACTTCTGTCACTGCGTAGTCATATTTTACGTGGCTACGCGGATGATACGCAGTCGCCGACTGTAAATTACACGCGCAACGTCTCGAAAACGGATTATATTCGTCATTATCAAACAGCCGCAAAAATAACTAACTATAATATAAACGAATCAAATAAAAAAAACCACATGTCGCTTTATATTCATCATGTCATTAAAAACATATCTACATCAGTGATTACGTAATCAGTCCAATATCTACATCAGTGATTACGTAATTAATGCATTGCCTCGTTCTCGTAAAAGTCACGTAATCAATGCATTGATTACGTAATCACAAAACTCACTGCGTAGCCACTTCAAAACATATCTACATCAGTGATTACGTAATCAGTCCAATATCTACATCAGTGATTACGTAATTAATGCATTGCCTCGTTCTCGTAAAAGTCACGTAATCAATGCATTGATTACGTAATCACAAAACTCACTGCGTAGCCACTTCAAAACATATCTACATCAGTGATTACGTAATCAATGCATTGCCTCGTTCTCGTAAAACTCACGTAATCAATGCATTGATTACGTAATCACAAAACTCACTGCGTAGCCACTTCAAAACATATCTACATCAGTGATTACGTAATCAATGCATTGCCTCGTTCTCGTAAAACTCACTGCGTAGCCGCGTATCCACGAATGTTTGTAGCATAACTTCAGAAATGGACAGGTATTCTGCAAACGCTCCCTAGGACTCAAAAAGATATTTGAAATTTTTTGTTCTTGTGACTGTTCCTGCCGTGATTAATGGTTTGTTTTAGTGTATCACACTGCACTCTGAGAAGGCTTTTTTTCCACCAGACTTTAATGTTTTTGGATATTGATTGTAAATTTGCCTGTAAAAAAAACAAAGAACACAGATCATAAATATGATTTGATTGTGACTTTATAAATTTCATTACTGAGTAAGGTTGATCACAACAACATACATATTGGCATTGTTGTAATCTCAGCACCAACAATTGATGGAATTCCCAGGTTAGCCAAAGCACCACGAATTAAACCACAAGGCAATGAGAGATACTGTGAAAAAATTTGAAACATTTTAAAACTAGATACAAGAAAATGAATGCCCTCATGCAATTAGGTCTGTATCACAACAGTTTCCAACAGAAGACATTACTGTCTGATTACTTTACTGTAAGAGATTTACCTTTGCAGCCGGCACAATATACTCTTCAGTGTCTGAGATCTGCGTCAGTAACTTGAATCTGTTATCAACGTAAAAGCATCATAACCTTGTTAATAGTAACAGGGTTGTTTGTGATAGCTTAGTCTCCATTCTTCGTTTATCTTGCTCTGGCTCGTTATCTTCCACAAGCACTGCCTAAAACTATTGAAGGACGGATCCATCTTTGGCGGTTTGTAAAATGGATGCATTACAGCAACAGTTGTCTCAATCCGTTTGTTTACTCGTTCCGAAACAGAGAATTCAACTATTCTTTTAAGATGATATTCCAAGCTTGCATCAAGTGCAAGAGGTTTGAAGAGGTGAGTATGGTGTTTTTGTACTTTACAATGTCGAAGCAATCATGAATAACAAAATTTATCTGTATGATGTTGGATAAAGTTAGGTTGATAGATTGTGACAGAACATGAGTGGAAATCTTCATTATTGATTATTGATTCAGGTCAACAGACAGTTAAAGAGACCAACAAGATTTGGTATACGACGTCACACTTGTGATGAAAACTCTTTTTCACAGACCTTGTGCGGTGGACACAATCAAACTATGCGAAGCTCGTTGAAAGATGCTAACGACGAAAACACGAATTTGCGATTTACAGAAAACATCAAGTTGAATACAATCAATCCAAACGAAATCAAAGTTAGTGTTATAGACGTGAATGGTAACGATTGATTAATTTACCAAAAACCTTAACTATCATTAGTCTAAACTAAAGTTGAGGGCAACTCCGGCATGAAACGTTAGTCGATAGTTACCAGGTAATGTAAATATAGAATCATTGCAGAGAAGTTTATCCCAAATGATACAATGATAGACTTTTTTTGGATGCATTGAATAAATACACTAACTGGAAACACTGGTTGTGGATTGCATTGTAAAAAACTCAGATATCATTCTTCACTCGCTGGTTGTTCACTGGTTGCCACTTTTTCGCTTAACCTAAGAAGTTTTTTTAACTCGCTAGGGTCAGTTTTTAGTCATTCACCCCAGATATATCCTTCTGTTAGTTGGCCAGACAAAATCCAGAAATAACACAACTGAAGTAGAAATGTAGGATGTACTGAATAATTTCTTTCTTTTTAAATCAGTATCACTCTGATTCTGACTAGTACAATTGTCGATGAAACTACAAAACTACGGTGCTTCTGTTCTAAACTTCTAATTGTTCTAATCACATTCTAATCACATTCTAAACATATTCTAATGACATTCTAATCATATTCTAATCTTGAATTACTTGAGAAATGTATCATTTCTCACACCGTGCTTTTCTTGACAAAACCAGTTAAATGGATATCATTACTGTCGCATACGGTTGCTAGATCAAATTCCGGCTGGAGCAAAATGTTGATTCGCTGGCAAAAAGAACAATAAAGATTATATCCTTACTGTTTATTTTTTATTATATACCTTTCTTTTTGTTTGAAAGTAACCTCGCTTCATACCTCTTTTAAAGTTCCATCCGTGCGAATGATCTTGCATATGGCGTAGACAGGAATGAGGAACATTGGTACGCCGGCAATAAACCAACCTAAAACCTCAGCCCATACCGGATATCTTTTCTTCTCGTATGTAATACCTTTTTCAGGGTATTTGATCAGACTGAACATGAATACCACCTGCCATTAAAAAATAAAAAACATTGAAATAATCCAACGTCAGAATAGGATGGATGATATTCCAAGTTAATGGATCATTTCCACAAAAAAAAACCAGAAAAAAACGTGTAATAAAAATTCTTACAAAGACTAACGCTACAGAAATATATTTCCAACATATTATCCACCAAGAATGGATTTTTGTTCCAGTCAAACTGCGGATTTCTTCCACCCATTTTTTACCACCTGAGAGAGAAATGAATTGTTGCGAAAACGCGTATTTATAAAGAAGATATTTCACAAGTGCCGGTGTCATAAGCACTAAAACATTGTATCGAGACGACACCAGACAGAAAGGTTATGTTAGAAAATACTTTCGTAAAAGCATACTAACCAAAAACCCATCCAATGACAGATAATTCAAATATAACAACAAAAAGAAGACATACGCCAGCCGCAAAGGAATCTAAGAGATTAAAAACGTAGACACCGCCCTAAAGAAAATTAGCCGGCATTAACTGATGTTTACGGCCACTAGGTAGTGAGTTCTAGGGGAATAACAGTTAGCATACCTGGGTAACACAGGATATTCCAAGTAAAAATAGGATCAAACAAACTGCCAGAACAACTAATTCTTTATAAGGACGAAGTTTCTTTGGGTATTTTTCGATTATAACTCCACATAGTACTTCAACTTGTCCAAACTACAACGGAAGCTAGAAATGCTTACTAATAGATCTTGATATTCTTCTTCGGACTGATATGTCAAGAACGGGAATCATGCGGTATATTGCTTTCATATCCATGCAGGTACCATAAAATATGGCGTGTGAACGTACCTGACTGTCCAGGCCGAGTGTTATCAACATCAAAAAAAATATAACAGACCAGAATTGTGGAATCGGTAACTTCGAAAGGGCTTCTGGGTAGACAATAAAAACCAGTCCGGGACCTAAGAATGAATCTTTATTAAGTGAATATTCCCGTTACAGCATAGTCAATAGTTAGGCTGCAGTTATAACTTTGTTAAACACAATAAATTTACACTTCGTTATTCAGGAAATAGCAAACCTTGTGACGCGACATCAGCAATTGATTTCCCTTGAGATGCTGCCATGTTACCAACAACAGAAAAAATAACAAAACCAGCAAAAATACTCGTCGAACAATTGATAACTGATATTAGAATCGCATCCCTGTAATAGAATGCACCAGTTCACAAGCGGAAATTGCGCAGACACCGTAGAAAACAAGAGATCAGAAACTAGCGCGATAAAGTGATCAAATGACAGTGTACGAAGTGGGAACGCATTTCGTATAGGGCTACCTGTACAATGTGGGGTTTTTTCTGTCGTTATAACTGGAAAAACCTAGCAGCACACCGAGGCCAATCGCTAGAGAATACATAATTTGTGATGCCGCGTCCACCCATACCTAAAGGAGAAATTTGAAACAAATCATTCGTTTACATTGCCAAAGTTCATGTGTTCACAGTTGAAAGTTTGCCGGCATTAGCTGACAATTTGCTGGAGACTGAGATGAAGTCTACTTACGTTAAAATCACCAAGACGGTGAAATTGTGGTTTGACAAAGTACAAAATTCCATCTTTGGCCCCGTCCAACGTCACGCCACGGAAGAATAATATTATTAATATTATATACGGCGCTGTAGCCGTAAAGTAGACAACCTTGGTAAAAGAATTAAGAATTGTTAAATTGTCTCAGCGTCAGCGAAAACTAATCTGGCGTTAGACTAAACTAAACTAAAGGTTACACACTATTCAACTAAAACTTTGGATACTCCATGAAAAATAACTTCACTAGAACTGACCTTTCCTGTTGTCCTAATTCCTTTCCATATACAAAAATAAACGAGGACCCAAGCAAGTAAAAGACATCCGAACATTTCCCAGTTCACATTTCCTGGATTGTCAACACTGTCTGTAAGTTCCAGTACATTGTGACTGTTGCAAATAAAAGACAATGTATTGGCTTGGAAAAAAAAAGAACAGCGCCAATAAAGTGAAATAAAGGTTCAGATGTAACATATCCTGGAAATAAACAAAACATACACATAAAACTCTTTACTCGACGAGACGCCAGTGGCATTTGGGTTAGACTTGTTATAAATAAAACAATCTTTATTCCAGTCGTGATCACATCCAACCCAGGGAAGATTACTTTTGAAGGAATGGAAGAAATAATAGCAAGACCAGGCAAGAATCACGTTGTAATAGATTGATACCATGAACGCTATGAACATGTTGGCGTAGCCAATTCCTGTTGGAAACAATTATATCAAGATACTGAAACAGCTAGCTTGGTTTTAACTTACTTACGTGTTTTTGCGCTTTTAAACGTTCAAGACTGAATCTTATTTTGCAAAAAGTCTGCGTCTGTCGCGATTTCGCAATGACCGGGTTGTCTATGGTTTTGCATTGCGAACACAGCGTGTCGACAGCTTACATGTGAACATATAAAAACTTGCTTGTAACAAGACGTGCGTTTTAAAGTGACTGAAATGACTTGAAAAATTGTTGAACATCACAACATTACCTCCAAAAAGAGGACATATTCGTTTCCAAGCTTTCACGGCATTCGTCTGCATCATTTGGCCAATGCTCATCTCCATTAGAAACGTGGGTATTCCGGCAAATACCAAACACAATAGATATGGAATTAGAAAAGCTCCTACATGTAGAAATATTTCATTAGCTTCATGTTTATAATTCAACAAAAGCCTTGTTTCAGTAAAAACAATAATGGTTTACTGAAGGTCGAAATTTTCAACAAGACAAGTATTAGTTCTTTTCTTCGCTCCATTTAGAACTGAACTGATATTTCGTTTCCTAGCTCATGACATATATAACTAATTACGAAAACCAGATATTAAAATAGCTATCGATGCGAATACCTCCGCCATTTTTAAAGCACATATAAGGAAATCGCCAAAAATTTCCATAGCCAACTGCAAAACCGATACAAGCGAGAAGAAACTCAATCTTTCGGCTCCATCTTTCTCGTCCTTTAATTTCATTATTCTCCGAGACGCCGACTTTTTCTGTCATTGTGACCCCTTTGGCTTTGAAGTCACCTAAAATATTTTGCCGTTCAGCCCTGGCGAGAAAACGTGTAAATAAGTTTTATGACGAAGACACCTCGTTGGTGATCTTATATATAGAAAAACTGTTTTCACTATTAAATCAAAATATTAATAAAGATTAGTTAATTGAGCACACATGCAAGGTCGTAAATCAAAATCACGTTAACAGAGTTGTTGATAAACAAAAGATATTTGATATTTGGTAAGTTATTTACACGCATATTTTTATTTATTTGTATCAAAGAATTGATTCTATACGTGCGTTTCGAAATTTGAAAGTGCAATTTTACTATGAATGACTACTAAATGAGTATGGTATATTTCAACGTTATTTAAGGTATATCCATTGAAACGTTCAATGTGAATACAAACAAGCAAACAGCAGCGTGTCATATTGACAGGAAACAAACAGCAGCGTGTCATATTAACTGTGATCTAAATAGACTTGCAGAAAAGTGGAAAACCTCTCAAGATCTCTAGCTGACCGCCCTCTTCATGCGTACTAAATTGACTGCATGACGATAACCCTAGGTCGAAATGTTCAAAGGTTTTTGTTCGTTTCTGACAGTTGTTAAACTGCCACATTTGAAAATAACATACAATCTATCCTAGCTACTATATTCTTGATCTTTGGCTTTGCGCATTCCAATGCCTGGCAATGATCCCAACACCAGACACACTGTTGACCGCGGAAATGAAATGAATTCCTGAACATACCTGGTTTTACTACGTAATTTGTGAGGTTATTATCAATTTTCTGACCTGAATGAACTTCAAATGTCCTTTGCAAACAACTTTGAGCAGAAGAGTTTTTTCTAGTAAGGTTATGAATGAATACAGAGTGCAGAGGGACTGTATCATTCACCACTGCTCGTTTCTTTGACAACTGTAGACCTGTCAGAACGCGTCATACGTAGTTTCTATGCAGAGGGGGGGGGGGGCTGAAAAAGGCCTGCGACAAACTAAAGGATATTTATATGAAGACAAAACCATGGATCGACCATGGATCACAGATTAAATAGATCGGATCACGTTTCACTGGTAAAACCCCCCCAATCACGCTAACCCGCTTTTTCATGATCATCCAAGATTTCCTATCAACGTGGACAATAGCGTAGCCATCCTGACGATTTATCCCGCTAATCCTATGCATGCTAATATTTGATGTCTATTGACTGTGAAAACAATAAATTCCATAAATAATCAAAATTTACATAGCGGTCATGTTGGTTACGCCACGTATTGTGGGATCTTGTTTCATAAAAAACTCACATTTTTCAAACTCAAGTCCCTGATTTAGACAAATGTTGAATGATGTAAAATATTATGGAGCTGTTTTTCACTGATCAATCTATTATCTTTAGCACCAACGAGAAGACAAGGACACTACGAGAAAACAGAACAATCAACATTTCCCTGAAATATAACCGTGTCAAAGGTGAAAAATATTTAATCTGTTTATGCAAGACTTTGTTGGAGCTTTTTGTTAGTGTTTATGACGTCAGTAATTGCACGAGACGCATGTTTTCTGTATACGCATGCGCACGCCCAACATTATACTGTGAAGTTCAGGCCGTCTGTTGCATCACAGTTATTGGATGAAAAAAAACAAGCCATGCATGACGAGAGAAGCATTACTGGCTAGAAACATAGAACCATTGCATGCAATTAACAACACGTAATATTCGAGGCAATTTCCCATGGCATACTGCACTTTTAGATCATGAATGTTTCAATTGCGATTTACTGTTTGTTATCATTCTGTTTGTCTGCTTTCCATGCATTGTCGCGTTTTTTGCACCTATACGTTCACACGCACGTGAAAGTTAAAATACCGATACAAATAAAATCTACGATTGAACAGATGCATAGGATTTTATTGAAGATTTGGTATGTTTTTCCTGCAATAGAAATAAATAATTTAAATAAAACAACTTAGAAGGTTTTAAACTTTTACGTGCGTGTACGTGCGTAGGCTTCGCGGGTAATCATTGAGCTGGTTTACTGAATGAGTAAAAAGCCATAAATTGAAATGATGAATTGAAGGTCAAGGAATGCTTCCCATTCCGGCAATATATGGTTTCAAACAAATTATGGTTTTAATAACTGAATCAAATATCGTTATAGATATAACTAAAACCTCATATGCCTCTTACATTCGACAAACCTTGAGCAGATTTGACTATAGATTGTGATTTAAACAGATCTGAGAAGAGAACTTCCTCACAAAGACTCATTGTCTTTGATCACAACGACGGAGTTCTTGTTATATTTTGCATATAGATAGGTTTGTATAACGTACCTCAAGCAATAACGAATGCAATTTGTAACATTTGTTACTTTTTAGCCGGACACCAGAAACAGGAATGAAAATAAAGAAAGTGTGCCACCAGTGCGATGTTAGTTGCACTAACTTGTGCAAGCGGTATGACAAAGGGCGTAATTTGCAACCAAGCAGGTTGAATAAATTAGACATAGCTCACTGATGAAGAACACTATATATTTTTTAAATTTAAACACAGTGTAGGGAGCAAACAGTCTCACAGTGTGGTCATCTGTTTTGGAAACAACGTGGTATTAACTAGTTTCTATTTAATATACGTAAATTATTAGATTTTTATAAATAGACCAGTTATTTATACCGTTAAACAACACCCGGTTATTTCACCGTTTCTGAGTGCAGTTAGCCAACTTGAAGTTTTAATAAGATGGAAATTGCAATTGATTGTCCGCGAATATTTTAATGCAATTCGTCATAAGATACGCGTCTACAAAAATTCTTACTTGAATGATCCTATTGTTTACTCTCATCCTGTGATAGAAATCTAGCACGCAAAATTACCACCATATATAATAACAAAATAGAGCGCTACTAGAACTGAAAGAAATGTTTGAAATTTTTTGTTCTTCTGACTGTTCCTGCCGTGATTAATGGTTTGTTTGAGTGTCACTGTGGGCTTGATTCAGTGCATCACTGCACTCTGAGACGGCTTTTTTTCACCAAACTTTAATGTTTTTGGATATTGATTGTAAATTTGCCTGTAAAAAACACAAAGAACACAGGTCATAAATATGATTTGATTGTGACTTTACAAATTTCATTACTGAGTAAGGTAGATCACAACAACATACATATTGGCATTGTTGTAATCTCAGCACCAACAATTGATGGAATTCCCAGGTTAGCCAAGGCACCACGAATTAAACCACAAGGCAATGAGAGATACTGTGAAAAAATTTGAAACATTTTAAAACTAGATACAAGAAAATGAATGCCCCCATGCAATTAGGTCTGTATCACAACAGTTTCCAACAGAAGACATTACTGTCTGATTACTTTACTGTAAGAGATTGACCTTTGCAGCTGGAACAATATACTCTTCAGTGTCTGAGATCTGCGTCAGTAACCTGAATCTGTTATCTTGGAGAACAAACACACCCTAGGAGGAATTAGATGACAAAATTTGCAGTGGGTTCAAGTAAGAGGTGGGGGGCAGGTGAGGGGCAGGTGAGGGGCAGGTGAGAGGTGGGGGGCAAGTGAGAAGGGGGGGCAGGTAGGGGTTCAAAATGTGTCAGGTCCTGGAGGTAAGTTTCTGTACGGATGGAGGGCACAGTTAATTTTACCTGGTGGTTTGTTCTAAGGTTATCAATTTGCTTCTTATATAAGGCAGTCCAAAATTCTTTACAAATATATTTCATGACATCCAAATCATCCTTAAATCTTGCTGTTTCTTTTGTAAACCTGAAATGCAAACAACACAAGAATGTGTGGATCAGTTCTCATTGTGGATCAAAATATACAGACAAAGGTCCACCCACCTCTCAGCCAGTCTCTGTCCAATAGTGTAACCCATTTCTTCCAATTTACTTGTTGCAGTATTCTTTTTTAAAAAATGAAAATTCTTATCGATTCACGACTGTCCATTTCACACTGTCTATTTTTACATAATACTAATAATTATATGCACAAGATTGTCTTGGTACATGGGTTACTTTATAATATGGGTACAAGCCTCTTGTTTGTTGACCAAAATGCAAATACAATATCGCAGTAATTCGCTCAAGAATCTACAGATATAAATTCCCTGAGCCTCACCTCATCTTCTTTACCATGTACCTCGTGTATATAGTCAACAATCTGCATATGTAAGAATTCAAAAACTGAATCTGTGTCCGCCATTTTCATTCGGAAATTGAGACTCCCCCCACATTTAAAAAGTACTCCCCATTCTTCCCCCCTCCGTCACAGCCTCCGTCTCTCAGCCCACTTGCCAACATGGCAGATGAGGTGGAAAAATCTTTTGACGAGGTTAGCGAAGAAATTCGTGCATCTACACTTCGAAAACTAAAACTGTTTGACTCAATACGTGGAAAAGATGTTAAAGAATCGGGTATTCCTTTCTGGGATATAATCGTTGTCACTGCGGTTGATGATAAACAACTCGAGGCATATGAAATTCAAATTGAGGCTAAACTTTCTCGAGGGGAGCTGCCAAAAGGTGTCATTTATAAAGTTGTGAGTGACCCTGCAGGACCAAAGATTGGAAATGGAGGTGCAACATTGCATGCTGTGGAGAAATTGAGATGTGATTTGGGTACAAATCTTTTGAGTCAGTATAAAATATTAATGCTGCATGCTGGTGGTTTCAGCCAGCGTTTACCAAGTGCTAGTGTTCTTGGTAAGATCTTCACAGCCGTTCCTTATGGTGAGTATAGTAGCAACACATACAATGCGATTGTATGAAAACAAATCAACCTGGGATCTGTGAGGTTAATTTTGTTTTTTTTTATTTTATAGGTGATCCAGTGTATCAAATGTTTGAAATCAAGCTAGCACTATGTATTGATTTACCAGAACGAATGGTGCCAGGCATCTTCATAACATGTCCTGATATTATGGAACCATTCTCATTGAAAGATGGCAACTGGGATTTCAAAAAACCTGGAATAACTGCAATAGCTCATCCATCACCTATCAAAGTTGGAACCACCCATGGTGTGTTTATTTTGGTTGAAAAACCACACCTCAACTGCTCTAACCACTCTGACCTTCCCTCTGTCACCCAATCAACTTGTAGTCATTTTTTACATAAGCCATCCAAGGAACAAATGCACAAAGCAAATGCTGTTTTCTTCATTGATAACAAAGAATATGTGTACACAGATGGTGAATTCTTCATGGATTGGACAACCACTGCCAAGTTACTAAAGTTATACCAGAAACTTTCACCATTAGCCTGTGAGATTGATGCTTTTGGAGATTTCCTTCAAGCTCTTGGTGAAAAAAGCAACAAAGAATATTGTAAAAATGTTGCAAATGTTGTGCAAGTTGTTCCAAAGCTGGTTGAAACTCGGGAACAATTTTATGATGAGTTGCAGGGAACTCAATTTAATGTTTTGTTGTTAAACAAATCTAAGTTTTATCACATTGGAACTATGCCAGAGTACATTGAGGCCTTCTGTGATAATTTGATAATGAGGTGAGTTATATGGAAGTAAAAAGTACAGGTATATATCCTGGTTAACATTACAGGAGAGATTATCTCCATTTCCCTCTTCAACACTCACCAAATTAATTCTTGTTGCAGGTATGAAATGTGTCTGACCAACCAAGCAGTTGTAAGGTTTTCTGATGGAAAATCTTTGTTAAAAACTCAGCCTGAATCAACATGCACCTTTAGCACCATCTTGAGTAGTGATGTTACTTTAGGCGAAAGATGTGTGGTGGAATACAGTTTGATAGAGACTGGTGTTACTATTGGTGATGGTACTATTGTCAGCAACATGTTAGTACCAGCAGAGACCACTATCCCATCTAACTGTTTCTATCATACACTATGTGTAATGATTGGTGAAAATCATGGTTTGTTTGTTACTGTTGTGTTTGGCGTTACAGATAATATAAAGAAAGTCATGTCTTTGGATAAGATAAGTTTGTTGAAATATCTTGGGCAGCCAATGGATATTGCATTGAAGTCTTTATCAATTAAACAAGAGGTACATAACTTATTGATGAGCAAGTCATTCCATTTTATAGAGATGTGACATTTTCCTTTTATGATTTACTTTAGGATTTGTGGCCAAATGATTGCACAATGACCAATCTCTGGCATGCCAAGTTGTTCCCAGCATTTAAATCAAAGAAGATGTCATCATTATATGCCATAAAAATGGGGCATTCTGTGATTAATGGTTGCATGATAGATAATGAACTTGACACACAGTTCTTCTCCGCAAATAGATTGTCTATGGCTGATATTGTTAAAGTCAAAGATGTTAAAGAAATGTTGAATGTTCGGGATACGTTGAGAAATAAATTTACACTATGAATTACTACTTTTTAGGGTAGATTTCCACTTGTGAAGTATGTATATCATTTCACACTAAAATATTTGCATTTTTTTAATTTTTGACCAAACTTTACTAGTAAAATTTGATTTGTATTTTATTTTTGTCTCATTAACAATACCCAATATACAACCAATGGTATATAAATTAAACTAGGGATCGCCTAATCTTAATCAGCAGGTGATTAGTCAGTAGCCCAAGCGATATAGCGTGCAGTGACTAATCACTGTCATTCTGTGTTGTTCCCAGCATATGTCATAGCTTCTGTGATTGTGAAACTCTATCATTCAGATACTAGTCTTGTGACTCTTGTCATTGCTGTTTTAATTTCAATGATTTATCTCGCACCCAGGAAGAACTTCCTTAAGACGTTTGATTGTTGAATTTTGATCTTTTACTGACAGCATACCAGACATTGAAAGAAATCGTAGATACCTGAATTAACAATAGTATGGTTTATGCCAGATAAACATCTTGCATGGTTAATCAGCAAATTATAATGGATCATATTTAACAATCATACAAGAGCTCAGGTTGTATATGAACTGATAGCAAACAAAGTGAGTGGGATGATAACGTTATAATAAATTAAAACATAATTATAAAATGCAATATTTACCGAAGCTTAAACAATGAGGAAAGATCAGTTATTTGAATGCAATTGCTTATATCTAGTTCCTGCAAACTTTCCTTCACTGGCAGAAGCTTGGTCAAGTCTGTAACATATCTGCAGTTGTGTAAATTTAACGACTTCAAGTGCTCAAGACCAACTAAAATAATGACAGAAATTAATCACACGGTTCATGATATTTTAATAACAAACATCTGCTGTTATACCATTTTGAAGGATAGAAATATAAAAAGGATGAACAAGATGATGATTTTTTGCCAATACCTAAATGATCTAGTCCTCCATCAGTGATATATGTGTTCTTTGCATCGATTCCTTCAACCTCATATTTATTTTTTGACCATTCAGGCAAAGCATTGTAATCCCAGATATATCTGTCAACTCTGGTAAACTTCACACCACCTCCACATCTTAATATCCACTCCCCTGCAATCCTAGGAAATAATATGTCAATAATGTCATACGTGTTACTTGGGAGGCAAAAATATGAGGTGTCTGGAGCTTGTCTAGAGCTTACCATCCTCCAATACACTAGTGTATCCAGTATCCACCTATACGTCTAGAGCTTACCATCTCTGACACTGACCTTTCTGGACCAACAGTCTTTCGCCTGTCCTCGTCAACTCTTAAGGAAATTAAAATCATAGTTCAGTTGTGCCTAGGGCACCAGCCAGTGGACCAATGACCACCTTACACCCCCTCATCATTTCTTGCAATTAAATCTAACCTGTTGAATATGTTGTTCAGCCACAGGTAAAATCCTCTTCTTGACAGTTTAGCTGGCTTTAAATTGTTTAGTATTTGAAAAGTGTGCAGCATTCTTGCGAAAAATTGACGAAAAGACGCTTTTTAAAAATGTACAATTATTCAGCCCGGGGGGGATGATCATTAAACTGTAAGTGTGGCCGGGGGGGAAAGCATTGTGGGGAAAGCTCAGCACGTGATCGTTTCAACATGGCAGCCAAAGAGGTAGTCAGTTCGTTACAACGTGAAGTTGAGCTTGCAAAAGAAGGGCTAAAAAACGTCGATGAGAACATCAAAAAGTTAACAGGAAGAGATCCGTCGGAGGCAAGGTTAGAAATATAGTTTTTGGAAAGTATCTAGCAGAATATATCGATATATTAGCAGATGAACTTCGAATGTTGCATAGCTTGTTTTCATAAGGCTCATCTTTATAGCTAAGAAATCTGGTTGTATTTCAGAGGACCAGCTGGTAACAGGCGTATTGTTGTGAAGCGGAACTTTGGTGAGCGGGTTGGTGGACCTCCTCAGAAGAGATTTAATGCTGGAAATACATTCAACAGGTGAGAAAAATGATTAATTTCACCCAGGGAGATAGGGAATATAATTTGTATACAATGTAATTAACATGATTCATTGTATGTCCAAGGCTTGGTCCTCGAGGAAATGACAGAAACAATCGACGTTTTGGACAACTGGAGAGTGATGGAGAAGAAGAAGAGGATGATGGAAAAAAGGTAAGGATAGGATAACAAACTACATGAGTGTTTATTGTTGTGATAACTATTGATAAAGTGACTATGAAACCTTAGGTAGAATATAGTTATCACAATAATTTACACATGAATAACAAATTTAAATCTTTTATAGCCCACACTCCAGTCGTCAATTGTAGCAACACCCACACCTTCTCGGCAACAACAAGAAGCCAAAACTGACAAGAAAACACAAACTAGGTACAGTCTTTCATTATATTTCTGTTTATTAACTTAAACATTTCATCTCCGAATCATTCCGTCTCAGTGAGTACCTTCACCAGTTCAATTATTAACAGTCTTGCATGCTCTAAATTTCCCAGAAACAAACGAATGTTTGGGGTTCTTCTTGGAACTTTACAAAAGTTTAAGGAAAACAGCACGAAGGAAGCAGCACGGGTGAGTTACTAGCATTCAAATTTAGATTAACTTGCAAGGAACATTAAAATTTACTTAAAAATTTTCTTAGCCTTCAATATTTTCTGATATATCATAGGAACGAAAGAGAAAACAAATTGAGAAGAAACTTGAAGAGGCTGCCATACAAGAAAGAGAGCAAGCAATTCGTAAAAAGAAAGAGCTTTTTGTTGCTCGAAGAGAGCAACAGACCAAATTGGAAGAGTTAGAACGAAAAGTAGAAGTGGCAGAAATGGTAATTTTTTTGTGTGGCATAAGAAAATTGGGCTTACAGCTGGGTTCTCCTTACAGTTATAGTTGTTAGGTGTTATTTATTAGTAAATTATTTATTAGTTGTTGCAAACTAAAATGTGATATGAAAATGGTTAGAATTGAAAATCTAATAATATTTCATTATTTTTTTCTTTTTTTATTTGCAGTTAGAAGAATGGGAAGATCATGATAGAAAATTGAGCAAGTTTATCAGAACAAACACAAAGCCTCATATCTTCTATCTTCCAGCAAAACACAATGATTATACTCTTGGCTTGCTGGAGACAACTGCCAAACATGTTGAAGGTAAGTTCATCGGATGAAAGGTATATGAACTAATGATTTGCCATGAGGTAATTTTGTTGAGTAAAAAACTGGAAAATGTTTTATTTTTATTTAGATGAAATTAAGAAACGAAGACAAGAAATATCTGAGGTGTTACACCAGCCAGCAGATGGTGAGCCTGAGTCAGTGGTACATGTGGATAATCAGGGGCCTGATACAAGACAGGAGGTAGAACATAGTGATGATGAGGGTAGGAGAAGGGTTAAGGGGAGACAAAGAGAGGTGATTTTGACTAGGAAGAGTAGGGAAGGCATAGATGATGAGATAGAAGACACTAATGAGAGAAAAGTAGGCGAAGAAGAGGTGGAAGCATCGAAAGATTTAGATGCAGGAAGAGAAGAGAAGGAAGGAAGTGATGTAGAAATAAAAATTGAGGTGAAGGAAGTGGAAGATGAAAAGGTTGATGAAAAAATGGATTCAAATGAAATTATGGAGGAGAAAGAGCAAGGTGGAGATGTGGAAATGAATGAAACTTATGAAACAGATATTAGTGAGGCTAAAAAAGTGGATGAAATGAATATGGAGGAAAGGAAAGTGGAAAGACAGGAAACATCAGAGGGGAAAGAGCAGGCTATTAGTGGGGATGGTGAGCTTAACAGGGGTACTGAAGGTGAACCCTCAAAGAATGAGGATAATCCTCAAACGGCTGTGATAGAGACAGAAGACACTGGAATCCCATTCAATATTCAACCAGAGATTGCTGTACAGCAAAATGAAAGCGAGTCAAAAATGCAAGTTGATCCTGAACATGATAAAATTGAATAAACTACGACATCCGATATAAACTTCTAAACTTGGGGCATGACATTCTGTCCTGTGATTGCAACTAATTCCTTGAGTAGTTTAAGTTCATGTAAAATACATTGTTTATTCATCAAATATACGTTTCTTCTCAAGTACAAAGTGTTATCACTTTGTCTTCATGCCACGATCGTGACCACAGGAATAATGAAAATTTTATTTTTGATCTGGAACGGTTAAGCTCTCACGTGCTTTATAAAAGGGGGACTTTAATAATACTTCCTTGTTGGATTTACTCATAATAACCCATAAACTGGATCTCATTGTCAAGAGGTCAATCTAGAGTGCAACTATAATTAAGAATGATAAATCGTATGGCATTGTTTGACGTCGTAACCAAACAACGCCATATATACACACAGGATAAAATCTGTTCGATAGAAATTTATACGAAATCATTGTGGAAAAAAGTAATATGAGCGAAGCAGTTCGTTATCGGTTTGGCCGAGTGGGCATTTCCCGGCAGGTAAGAACATTCAGATGGTCTCGTATGTCAGTCCTATGTCAGTGTTAACTAACTGAATAAGCTTCCAGTGAATATGGCTCACTGAATCAACTAAGGTTATCAAACTACTTCACCGTGACTCATAAGTCCTATTTATCTGTTCAGATTCCTGATAACAGGTGTAATTCAAAACCAGAAGACCAAACCAGACCACTCTTTCACAAGAAAAATTCCTGGACAAACTTGGCGACAAAAGCACGCCGGTTGAGCAGCCGACGGCGAACTTCTTCGAATTTAAGCTCTACTAAAGCCTCAAAAGAAAGCACAAACAATGTTCAAAGAACAAGCCCAAGTTATGAGAAGGGTTTAGAGGTACGTATTATCTGAAAATTACTATCAAGAACATAAAATTAACAAGGTTCTGGCCTAGTTAATTAAAACTAATTTGTGACATTTTAGTTTCGGCTGTGTCCGATATTTGCATTCCTAACCGCTATTAGCATTGTTTGGTATTTACCCTCGTTAAATTAGGCTTTATTCGTACTGCTTCCCTAGTATAGAAAGGTAATTCAAACTGGTCGCAATGAAAACGTTCGACTTCCCTAACATTTTAACATTGTATATGAAGACATGCTGATTTTAAATAATAATATTTATATTATTTCGTGTGCTTTCAAGGACTACACAGCTTGGTGCAATCATTATTTAATCAGAGGTTTACACAGGGAAGTAACGCCTGATCTTAGAACAGCTGTTGGCGATGGTTTAACATTAGTGAATCTTGTTGAATGTTTGAGTAAGTTCAGTTTCTTGTATCGTCATTGAATATTCGATATATGCATCACATCATTAGCCATGACTGTCAAACTTGTCTGCCTGGATTAAGCATGAACGGTTTCTTATTGTTTTTGTTAAAAGTGTTGATACTATGATGTTTGGAAAAAGACTAAAAGGATTACATTCTTTTGAGCAAATATCTCGTAAACAATTTTAATTAAACTCCACTCATATTTGCGTGAGTTAGGTCAGGTTTTGGTCCATCTCATCCGAAGTAATTTTGTAATGCGACGGAAATACAATTTTTTTAACTGAAACCCCGTCCTGAATTTGCGCAGGAGGCCATTGCAGGTCAGATGAGAGAAAAATGCGCTGCCATTTTAGTAATACCCATATTTTTCGCGTATCGACGTGCCCCAAGAATGCGTTCAGCAAGGGCGATCGATATTGCTGACTGACTGTTCCCGTGTGGCAAAATGCATGTCTGCGTCCTGTCATTGTTAAATAAAATCTTATTCGCGACTGATTGCGATGCTTGTCTGAAACAAATTATTTATATTTTCTCATGTTTTTCTCTATCAACGTCTCTTTCAGGCAGAAAAACTATTCATAATGTTTCTCGTCAGCCAGCGACCTGGTCACAAAAACTAGATAATATCCACGCATGTTTTCAATTCCTCAATTCACTTGGTTTAAGGACAAATGGTATTTCCCCTGAAGGTAAGAGTTTGATTAAAACTAGAGCTGGACGGTTGATTTTAATCTTTTTTGAGCTTTTGTTCTTATTTACCAACAACTTTTGTATCTTTATTTTTTAGAGATAATCGAAGGGAGACTAAAAAGTATTTTAAAACTTCTCCAATGTCTGGAAACTCATTTTGAGGTAAAAAACAACCGAAATCGTTTCGTAAAAACGTTCTGCAAAAAAACTTATTATGCGTTGAAAAATATCTCTTAGAACGTAAGATATCCAGCTGAGAGGAAAATGGATGAAAGTCAATCACGAAGCCCAGTAAACGGTCGTATCAGCTCAGGTTACCATAGTGAAGATGACGCGTACCTTAACGGTAGAACGACACCGACGATAGAGGCATTACCTGGCTTACTGGATGGAAGTGATACTGATAATGATAATGACAGTTTTGATTCCTCGATATTACGCTTGGTACATTGCTGTTCACTTGGATATCTTTCGTTTTATTCAATAATTTAACCAAAATTATATTTTTTCTTAAGCATCACGATGGGAAAACTTCATCGCCTCTTTCCCAAACCAAACCGCATTCAAATCGAGGTCAATCTCTCAGAGCTGAAAGGTCTCTGGATAACATTGGATACATGGTAAGCTTACAATGACGACATTGTGTAAAAGTAACATAAAGTAATTTTATAATAAATCATGTTCTTCCATTTTTAGCCCTCCCACCCTTCTCGTAAAAAGAGAGCATCGAGCAAGTCAAAATATGACGGGTAAGAACAGTGTTGGCCATCCTTAGTAACGTTACGTGTTAATATCATCACGTTCAACGCGAGAAGTTTGATTTACTCGTTAGTTTTGCGAAGCATGCAGTGAAATATCGCGTTATCATTCAGCTTTTCGCATTCGACGGTATTACGTATTAAACGTCTATTTATGTATGTTCGTGTCCATTACGAGGATAGAAATTCATTTGCGTCTGACAAAGATATCATTTATTTTAAAATTAGCCAAACTTCACCAGAGGATAGAAACATGCGTCATTATGGAATTGCGTCAACTTCAAATGTAAAACTAGAAACTGCAGAAACTGGCGTATTTTTAACTCCTGAAGATGAGTCATTTCATGCTAAGGATAATTATGGATTGGAATTCGATTTCGACCTAGATGATAGTATATCTCTGGATAGAGCGTCTCTATCATCAACAGGTACCCCTGTCTTACCCGACTTATCGTCAGAATCGTCGTTTGAAGATCTACCGCTGGATTTTTCATCCGACGCGGCTTCTGGACTACAGACTCGAGATAGTTTTACGACTTCTTCTAAACTATCACAAGGTTAGTTGATTATCGTCACAGTATTTGCACCATCACATCAGTATAGTTTGGAGCTACTTAGTATGAAATCTTCTCTTTTCAACTCATATTTTATACTTTCAGATTCTTTCAGGCATGGAAAATACATAACGGAAGACGTGCAAAAACAGGTACAGTGTATATCTTGCATGTGTATTTGTAAACCTCTTAAATTAAGTTACTCAACTCTTTAGCGTTCTCTTTAGAATCTATTCAGGCCAGTTGTCTGGTAAACTTATGCCTTATCATTTTTTTATACCGTTCAATGGACATCCCATGCCTTCTATAGAATTGTGTTTGAACTCTTTTTATCTGTACAGATCAGCGCTTTGCATTCCATGTATGAGAAATTACTCGCACTTGTGGATAAAGATGTGTCGGACAGTAGAAGAAAATCAAAATTAAATTTACCTCGAGTGGCCATGTTACAAGGTGAGTCAGTCTAGTTCAGTCTAGGATATCTTTGATGTACAAAGAGCAGGGAAGCAGTGAGGTAGTTCACTGAACTCTCATACATCATTTTATAGCGAAAGGAAAGAACTCCAACAAGAGACAACGATCGAAAGACATGAAGTAAGATGACATGAATCTACTCAATTAGCTCGTAACAAGTGTCACGAGATTGGTAAAGGATAATTTCAATTATGTTTAGATCTGTAAGTCGACGTTTCAACCGAATTGAGTCGAATGTTGTTACACTTGCAAGAAATATCGACCATCTTCGGTCTGAGATCCGTTCACATGCAGAGACGAGTCAACAGTTGGACGAACTTCGCATTGATGTTCATGACTTCAAGGATTCAATTTACTCTGGAAATTATTCACATAAAAAACTCCCTCAGCGATCAAGAGATTATGATCAACAAGTTCGCAGACTTCAGAAATTAAAAAGGTGATAAGTTGAAAAATAGGAGTGTTTCTTCCGACACCAAAGACTGACACAATGTTTTTACTTGCTTTTAGTTTTTTTGGAGAGGAACCACCCATGGTAGCGATCTTGTTACAAAAGATGGGATACGAAGTAAGTGACATTGTTTTGTGTGTATCAATACTCGCGATAAACTACTTGTTTATCAAAATTGTTTTTTATTTATTCAGAGATTCATACCACACTTCAAAGCCGAGGAGGTTGGTATTTTGGAACTGCCTTATATGACAGAGCAAAGATTACAGAACCTTGGTATTCCTCTCGGACCACGATTAAGAATTCTTGAAGAAATACAAAATTTGCGATGAAATCCGCCGATTTATTTAGTGAAATATACCGACATATTTACAGACGTCAATTTATTTCTTACGAATTCCGACAGCTTTGCACATACACTGTATCAGCCCGGCGAAACATGCATTACATGCAGGCTGTTTAGATAGTCTAGAATATATCATTTTTGGCGAGCTGGCAAACAGTTGCAAGTTCATACCCTCTCGGTCACTGCAGGGTTATATTAGGGCCGTGGGGAGTGGGGGGTTTGGATAGAGTGGCTCAGGAAGGATCAGAATAGAAAAGCATCCTTACGAATTGGTGCATAACCACCTTGTACCAGGCGCTTTCTCTGGGGAGAAAGTTGACACAGTTGCAGGTTACGAGGTTGGCTGTATAGAACAGGAAATTCTGAATTGGACCAGAATTGTTGGAGGGGCTAAAGTGCCTAGTCTGGCTCTTTGTTTTGCTGTCTCTGTATTAGTAAATCCCCCACACTACCTGGTGTATCATTGATACGTCTAACGTCTTCGAACCACCACTGAACAACCTGTCCGATCCTGTCTGAGATCGTGGGTATCACATGACGTCACGTGCATTTCTCGGGGTCAACCTAACTCAATGAACCTGTTTTCTTGTTAATAAGTTTCCAAGTATTTGTCGCTTCGCATTTGCGTTAACAGTATTTTGTTGTTTTGTGGCCGAATTTCTACAAAATACACAAGTTAAAGGTTCGTGCAAGTAAAAAAGCTGTTTAAATATATCATGAATATAATTTAAATGTCAATGTCATCGGAAGTAGGGTGTAAAATGATGTTTTACAGGTTATACAGACTGTGTGGAATTTAGAAAGACTTCGCTCTTGTAGTCATTTGAAATAATGTATAAATATAATTATCAGTAAACCTAGGGACAAACAGTTTCATATCAAATAATGATCAACGTATATGATAATAAACCTGAACTGTCTATGAAACAAATGTATTAAAAGTATTAAAATACCTGCTGTAAAGCCCACAGTATACTGTTACATATTGATTGTTGCATATTGCCCTAATGGTAATCACGTTTAGTAATTTACAGGATCATTTTACTATTTACTAATTACATTTTACTATTTACTAATTACATTTATGTAAGTTTTTGCCCATTTATTTCTCAATCTGCTGGGCTGCATCTTGTATGGATTGATCGAGTGGTCTATCACATGATCAAATATATTTGATGCAGTGTGGAAGCAGTTAGGTCTTATTCTGTCGTGTATTCACTGTTACAGGGGCTGTTAGAGAATCGCCTATATGTTGAATTCTGAGAAATGTCAACAAGACAAGATAAGAGTTTGCATGATGCTTGTGGGAAAGGACAACTTCGGAAAGTACGGGAGATATTGCAGAAGAACTCAGACATAGCAAACACACTTGATTTACGCCTTGGTTTCTTGGGCTATACTCCATTACATGAAGCTGCATGTCAAGGTCATGCTGATATTTTACAACTGTTGCTCATCTATGGTGGTAATGTTGATGCAAAAGCCAATGGTCAGTACACACCATTACATATTGCTGCATCCATGGATTATGTCAAATGTATTAAGGTTTGCCATTGTATAAACATTGTGAAATACCCATGTTTTTAAACTGTCAAAATAATGTGATTGAACAGTGATTGCCAGTAACAAGATGATTATTTTATCATTTAGGTTTTGTTAAAAAATGGTGCTAACATTAAGGCAGTGGATGACTTCAATAAAACTCCATATCAGACTGCAATACAACATAAACGGAAAGAATCTGCCAAGTGTTTGAAGAGTGCTGGTAAGTGAAATTTAAAATAAAATGGTCATGGCTTTAAAATACAAACACATTTGTATTTTTCCATTTCCATTTTGTATTATACATGCTCTACCATATTGTAACTTGATATAGCGTAATAATTGAGGTAGATAGTTTGTTAGTCTATTAACTATGTATCATCAGGAAGAATAAAACAATATTTACCCTCAGCTAATATTTTTCAACAGAAATCATAAGAGAGGCAGGAAATGATCCACAAGAACTAAATATTCTGCTTAATGAAACTTCACCAAAAGACATCACTGCAACCTGTTTTGACGATGCATTGGTTGAGGCATGTCGAAGGGGAAAATTTGAAGCTGTGTGCATGCTGCTTGTTGCTGGAGCAAAGAAAATAAAAGAAAGCATCTGCATATCAATGCAAAATGGCTATTATAGAATTTCAGCATTGCTGTTGCTTTGTTATGCTGCATTAAAAGGTGATGTGGACATGCTGGAAATGTTGTTGGATAAAAGTTTGGAATGTCATGACTGGTTGCAGCAGTTTATTGACCAAAGTGTGCCTATTGGAACTGTTGTTGAGCTGATCAGGTAATGTAAAAGCTGTAAAAGCTTTATGGTTGCTTATAATATGTGAGTGAACACCTGTAGTCATGCATTGACTAAAGTGTTCTTGTGCAATGTTGTTTTCAGGGAAAGTTTGAAGAATGTTGAAGATTACACAAGTGTTGTAATAAAACTACCAGGTTTAGAAAACCAAGTGACTGTGTTAAAAGATTTACTCATAAACACATCCTGTCGTATCAAAGAGAAAAAAGTTAACTGGAGCAAACTGTCTTTGATTACAATTGATGAATCCTGGCTGGCTCATATCAAAACCTGGGTGCAAAATCTAAACCTTTCAAAAAACAAATTAACTTCACTCCCAGAATGTTTGCTTGATTTAAAAATGGTGGTTAGTCTAAATTTGTCTGAAAACAGACTTAAAGTGGCACCAATGTTGTTATTCTCCCTTGTCAGTTTACGTGATTTAAATCTTTCTGGTAATGGAATAGCAGAACTACCTGATGTACCTCAATGGAGACCAATTCTAAAATCATTGAATATCAGTAACAATTTATTGAGCTACCTTCCTGCTAGTATAGCAAAGTCCTGTTTAGAGACATTGAATCTGAGTCAGAATAATTTTACCAGAGTACCGCTGTCTGTGTGTGAGATACTTTCCTTACGGAGCCTGAATATGAGTGATAATCGAGAGATAAGTTTTCTGCCAAATGAGATGGGAAAATTGAGGAATCTTACTAGTATCAACCTTAAGAATTTAGATCAGGTAAGGTAATTATCTGGTTTTGATAGGACTGCAAGTACTTGCTGTTGAGCTTTATTAATACACGGATGTAAAACTGTATATCAGTATTCACATTCTCCTTCTTGTTACGGATTTTTGCAGATCACAGACCCACCACAGCATGTACGCCAAAATGCTCAAGATTTAGTGGCAACATTACGTAGAAAATTGCGTAACTGTGAACCTTACTACACCATGAAGCTAATGTTGGTTGGCAAGGGAGGTCAAGGAAAGACGACGCTTGTTCACAGACTTCGAGATGATTTCACTTTCAACGAAAATGATCTCACGCAAGGTAGAAATGATATTGAACATCATCACATGCCCTATGCTGTGAAATATGCAACACCAAAGACGTTGTACGTAATTCCATCTGTACGTCTTTAGGTGTGGAAGTATCTGATCTCGTTATACGTCGTGGAGCATTCGAAAAAGACTTCACATTCAAAGTCTGGGATTTTGGTGGCCAAGAAGATTATTATGTCACCCATCAATGCTTTTTATCTACAATGTCATTGTATCTTTTGGTTTGGCGATTGATTGATGGCGAGGAAGGTGTTAATGGTTTGATACCATGGTTAGTATACTGATTCCTGGAGCCCAATACCTCTAGAGTATTATATTAATTCATGTCTTTTCCACAGGTTAGATAACATTGCAGTTCGATCACCCAACAGCACTGTTATTATTGTTGGAACACATCTGGATTGTATATCACCAGATAAATTGAATAGCGGGTATGTAACAGAGATGGAACAAATGATTCGGGAGTTGGTAGATAAACCCCGATACAGGAATAAAATAATCATTCACCCGGATGGTATTTGTGCCGTTTCATGCGCTTTTGGAGGTTCGCGTTCAGGTAAGAGTTTTGCATGAAAATACCTTTCACTATTCAATATTCATTAATAAATGGTGATTATACCTGGTTACGCAAATGAGGAAAAATGAAGATAGTTGTTTTCTGATGAGGCACAGTGGAATAAGCTAGCCAATATTGCCTTCTTCATTGCATCCAGGTTTCCAGGGTTGCTTCTAATTGCTATTCCATAATAGTTTTGAAGCTTGTCTATCATCTTGTCAGTTAGCTTACCCTTTTCACCCACGCCTTTATTCTCTTTGCGAAATTTCTGAAGAGCCGTACCGACCCTTTTTTGCACGTGGCCAACACACTCTTTCTTTGCCACCTTCACACCATCATCACCACTGTTGTACTGGAAACGTGAGGTTGTGCCTTCGTATTAGGCGCAGTAGCCTGTATTTATAAAGACACGTATAAAGAGAAGTGGTTGAAATGCTCTTCTTTTTCTTCGACAGAAATCAACAAATTACGGCTGATTATTTACAATACTGCAGGCAACTTGAAGAAAGGCCGTACACGTGTGATGGGTGAACTCATTCCCAGTAGTTTCATTTCACTTATTGACCGTATTGAGAAACGTAAAACTGAGATACAGCAACAGCATGAATTACCAATAATAAGAAAAGAAGAGTTTGATGCAATGGTTAAAGAGAACTCGTTGCATAGCCGAAGAGACATACAAGAACCGATGGATGTCATGGATGCTACCATATTCCTGCGAGAAAGAGGTAGGAGTAGCTACGTTGTATCTCATAACATATTTTATATTTCAGGTGTCTTGGTAGAAAAATTATAGCAAGTTTGGCAAGCCTGTTAACAATTTAAAAGCAAACATTCATCAATCACCAATACTGAGTCCAAACTAAATATTGTATTAAGGTGTCGTGATGCACTTCGACGATCCAAATGAAGGACTTAGCGACCTCTACTTTATTGAACCCCGCTGGCTATGTGCACTAATGGCTCGTGTCATTACGATAAAAGGTCACGCAGATTTAGTTAAAGACGGAGTTCTGGAAGTGCAAGAAACGAAATATCTTTTCAGAAATGATCTACCGTTCGACTTCTACGAACAATACTTACGATTGTTGGTTAGATTTCAAATCGCGTACCTTCTTGATGCGTCCAGAGTTCTCGTGCCGTCAAAACTTCCCGAAGAGGAGCCCGAAGTTGTCACGAAGCTGAAACTGCCGTATGCCCCCGTGAGACGGATCTACAAAATCAATTTCCAGTGGATTCACGGATTCTGGCCGCGTTTCATGTCTCGGTTCTTTTTCTACGTAAAAGAAATGATTGCAGTCGATGCTACGCGATATCAGAAAGCCAAGGACCGGGAACACGGATATTTTGGTCATTTTTGTAGCTCATGTTTACGTGTTGATACTGATAGCACGAAAACATTTCCATGTTTCATGGACAGCACTGAGTGGGAGACTAGAACAAAGTCGGAGAGATCGGAGAAGATATTGAGGGGATCTTCCCAGAGCTATGACCCTTCCATTAAGGAAACTCCTCAGAGAGATTATCCGACGACAGAAGATCCTTCTACAGAGGAAAGTATAAAAGATAATTCTTTGACAAACAAATCGAACACAGCGAAAAACAAATCGTCGAGAAAAACTCCTTCGAGAAAACTCCCTTGGAGAAGAGACGCTTCAAAAAGAGAGTCTTCCAAGAAAGAGTCTTCCAAGAAAGAGTCTTCCAAGAAAGAGTCTTCAAAGAAAAAATCTTTAAAAAAAGACAGCACAAAAAAAGAGCCTATGAAAATAGAGTTTTTTAGAGAGGAAGGTGATTTCTGTGATAACAGATCGATGCCTGATCAAACAATGCTTGGTGATGATTTACAGTCGTTGTTACTTAATCCAAGTGTTAAAATATTCAGCGATGAAGAGCTTCGTGATGATACAGACGGAGATCGGATTGTGATAAATCAAGTTGATACAGCTATGGATTATAGTCGTAGGTGAGAACCATGCATGTGCTTTCGTTGTTACTGATTTTGTTCAAAGTTTAAATCAATAAAAACCTTTATTCCCTCCTGTGTAGTGTGCCTTTACTAACCATAATTATTTTGCAGGACGGACTCGTTCCATGACAAGAAAACAGAAAGCGTCAAGCGTGTAGGCATGAACTTGCGTATCGCTTCTTATGATGGTTCTCCTCAAAAATCGCCAGCCGCCAGTGAAGAAATAACGCAAGGGTCAGATTCATCAGAGAAAAGTAACAAATCCAAGAATTCGAGGTACTTTTTTACCCAAAATTTGCCTGAATTCGTGTAGCGAATGATTTAGGATTTGTTTTGTGATTTATAGGAAGCTGTCTGGAAAAGAAGAAGTGAATAAACAGAATTCAAAGAGTGACAGCAGTTTAACAAAAGAGAGTGAGGTTTTCCCGAGAGCAAACCAAGGTGATTGGAGCTCCAGCGAAGTTTCCAACACAACCGATGGCTTTCCAATAACAAAAGATGATCAGCCGAAGAGGAGCGAAGATGCTTCGAATTCAATAGAACCTGTTTCGACGAAGGGTGCTCAAATAAGCGAACAAAATCTATCGGGGGACGAAGACCAGCCAAGGTTTGACAAGGAGCATACAACGTCGGACCAAATTCTTGAAGACGAGCCAGTGAAAATTAATCAAGTAGATATAACCGTGGATGGTGATTTAATTGATAATATTGATCATAAATCTGAAACCATGGAGATTGAAAAAGTTGGAATGAAGATACCAACAGTCAACTCCTTAGAGTCCGATGATAATAAGAGTTTTCTCTCGTGTAGCGATGTCTGTAGTCTTTCATCTTGGATGGAGACTAAAGGTTTACCTTCTTTCATCACTTCATCAAAATCAAACGAAAACGAACCATTCATAGAAACAAGGAATGACGACAACGTGGCGTTAGCAACCGCCTCCTTATCAAGTAATAATAGCCAAGAATCCTTCAGTGAAAAAGACGTCATTTCTTCACCTCAAGATCGTTATAACTTTCCACAGAATCAAGCAATTTCCCATGTTTCGGAAACTTCTTGTAAAATGGAAACCCAACATGAACGTTCAAGAAACTCAGTTTCTCAAAGTATAAGCACATCATCTTCGGTTAGAAGTGACGAGCCCACAGATACTGACTGTGAAGTCTACTCTGAATCTATATCCAGTACATCGAATACAAACATTAGCAATCCACTTGCAGTGACCAATCACCCTGAAAAGATTGCACAAAATTTGAAAGGAACTATAATGAACCTAAATCACAATGGCGACCAAAGCCCAGACGATGTATTTGCAAATCTATGTGACGTGACTGATTCAGGCGTTAAGGTACAGTCCACTGATCATGTCAGTGAAAAATTTGAAAGTTTTAGTCTGCAATCGGAAGCTGTCGGTGTACAATCAGATGGCGGTATACATTCATCGGAAAATGGCGGAAAGGAATGGGAGGTTAGTCGTGCACAGTCGGTGAATGTCGTTCACTTACCGAAAAGTGAAAATAAACAACCGGGAGATGATTCTCAACAATCAGGAGATGTTGGTGAACAGTCAAGAGATGTTGGTGAACAATCAGGAGATGTTGGTGGACAATCAGGAGATGTTGGTGAACAATCAGGAGATGTTGGTGAACAATCAGGAGATGTTGGCGAACAATCAGGAGATGTTGGCGAACAATCAGGAGATGTTGGTGGACAATCAGGAGATGTTGGTGAACAATCAGGAGATGTTGGCGAACAATCAGGAGATGTTGGTGGACAATCAGGAGATGTTGGTGAACAATCAGGAGATGTTGGTGAACAATCAGGAGATGTTGGTGAACAATCAGGTGATGTTGGTGAACAATCAGGAGATGTTGGTGAACAATCAGGAGATGTTGGTGAACATGATTTTGTAGCAGTAAACGGAGACGTGTGTACAGAGACTGTTGTTGAAACACAAAAATGTACATTATGTAAGGAAAATGTCGCGATAAACGAACTAGTTGCCATTCCCCTAGACGTGGCAGGGCTAATAGAACAAAAGTTAATACATTGTTGGCGGTCTGGCGTATGTCTCTCTTATCTCGGAGTATTTCTTGCTGTAGCGTATCGACCTCTGTCGGATTCAATCGTAGTGGAAATTGCAGCCTCTCCCAATCCTCTCGGCCGACGTCTTTTAACTTTCGTTGTTGACCATCTCGATACCTTAATTAAGGAATGGTACCCAGGACTTGAGATACCATATGGCGCAGAGCCGACAGTCCAAAAGCTTATTCCATGTCGCACGTGTGAGAAAAATGGTAACCAAAGACCTCACATGTTGACGTTTGACTCGTGCGTGACGCAATACAGCATGGGAAATTTTGTCAAGTGCCCTGAACATGAAGTAAATATCCAAGATGTAGCTCCTGATGTTGTTCTACAAGATATCGATGCGGACTTGTTGCTAGAGGAGGATGAGATAGAGTATGAAAGATCAGAAGCAAATGTCGTTGGCACAGGTAAATATAGTCTTTTTTGAATTACTGATAACAACAGTAACAAGCTAAAATTAAAAAAGCTATAATTGTAATAAATCTAGATCTTTGCCATACTGCAAAGCGAATCTATTGTCAAAATGCTTTCTAGCTTGACACTACACACACATGGATCAAAAGTTAATTGTTTGGCAGTCTGGTAGCAGTTTAGAGCAAAATTATTATAGTTAGGGGACTTAGGGCCTCTAAACAAATTATTTTTGGTGGAAACTTCTATTTGCATTATCCAGGTGTTTCTGGAAAAGTTTACAGTGGACGTTGTCGACAAAAAGACGCAGCAATTAAAGAATACTCTTCAGTATCGTCCGAAGAAGATGCTATGGCAAGATACTGTGAGGTTCGCAAGGAAGTAAATATACTCCGCCGTTTAGGACAGCATCCATTTCTTGTCAATCTCATCGGAGTTTGTTTGCGTCCTTTCCGACTGGTGCTTGAGCTTGCTTTGGAAGGCAGCCTTGCGGACACATTGTTTAATTCAGAGTTTCAAATTGAACGTATCGTTATATTCCGTATGCTTTATCAAATAGCAGATGCAATGAGTTACCTTCATTCACTCTCCATCATCTACCGCGATTTAAAACCTCAGAATGTTTTGGTAATGTCGTACAAAGAGGAGGCTGACGTCAATATTAAGTTGACTGATTTTGGCACCGCAGCATTTCAATTTAACGAAGGTTTGCACGACCTTGTGGGGACTCCCGGGTATCACGCTCCAGAGATGCTGAAGGAATTCCGTGAAAGAGCTGGCTACAATGATAAAGTAGACGTCTTTGCCCTGGGAATATTGATGTCCGGTTTTATTACTCGCAGACAACCATTTTTTAGTTGCTCATCAACAGCCCAGGTATATATGAATTGAACTCATACTCCACCTGACGTATGTGATTCGGTCCGAGTTACTATATAACTAAACTTAAACAATTTAAGCTATATCAACATGCAGTGAAATTGTTTGATGTTATTGCAGATCAATGATATGACCATTAATGGCAGATGGCCTGAATATAAGGATATAACCCGATCTCGTATCGGATTTGCGGGCTTAACGTGGCTGATGGAAAGTTGCCTTGCTTATGAGCCGAGTATGCGACATCCCTGCAGTAACATTGCAGAGCAACTCCGTTCAACATCGTTCCAGCTATTTCTTGGCATCATAGCCTTGCCTTGTCCGCAGTCTGTTCGTCATGTGTGCTTCGTTCATTCTACTGTGGAGTTATGGGTTGCTGTGGATGACAAAGTCGAAACTCATATATTTGTTTATGAACTGCGGAATTGGTGCCTAAAAAAGTCATTTTCCATTGTCGTAAGTATAAAAATCCCGAGACCTGAGTAAATAGCACTCAAATTATTGAGTAAAGTTTACTTAAACGTAAAATTATAATTTTTTTTCAGTGTAAAGATGGTCGATCCTTGTGTCTTCAAGCTAACTGTATGCACGTGAATGCTACGGATGTTTTGATTGGCTTACGAGGAGACCAGGACATTGTCGCTATATATGATGCAGAGTCGTATAAACTTAAAACAAGAATTACATTAGAGGAACCAGTTTTCTCCCTAAGTTCAAACGACTTTTACATCTACTTAGGGATGTCTAGCGGGATTTGTCTTGTCGCAAACCGAACTAAACCCATCTTATCTATTGAGCTCAGTCACTCGGAACCAGTGACATGTGTCACAACTGTTGGTGACGAATACCTTTGGTTTGCAGCAGGAAAATGTCTACAAATCTTTCACGCAGAAGGCAACGAGAAAACACCAGTGTACGAGTTGAACGCTGTCAGATTTAATGCTTCATCTGCTCCTTTCTCTCAAACTGTTTTAAGCGAATCAAATATTTGGTGCATATCAAAAGGTGATTCTATCGTTACCGCTTGGAATGTCAACACAAGGCAAAAGTCACTTGAAATTGATTGTAAATCATTCTTGGGCCCTGAATATGATTTGCTCGAGTCTGCAGTCATATGTGTGTTACCTGTTCTCGATACGGTCTGGATTGGAATGGGTGGTGGAAAATTATTGATCGTTGACGCTGATTCCGGGGAATTGATTACATCATTCAAGCTTTTCGATGATCACGTACGCACTTTGACGCTAGTTCCAGGGCCTGGTCCGTGTGGCACTGAGAAATATTATGTGGTCGTTTCAGGGCGAAACGTGTTGGAGACTGCTTTGTCTCGCGAGTCTCGTGGGAAGCATGTATGTCGCCTTACTAGTGACGTCATCAAAACCGCGCCAAACGTACAAATTACACCTGTGAAATCATTTGACAAGGGAGGTCGCAGTCTGAGAGGACCTTTTGGAAGAGCTAAGAGTCCGCTTTCCGACACAACAAAAAGCAGTGATGTGCCGGATGCAGAGATAAATAACCCCCAGGGAGGGGTCCTCGTGTTTTTCGAAGCCTTATCGGCCGAGGCTCTGCGGAGAACTGAGTCAAAGTAAGGATTTTTTAACCAAATTTGTGCGGTTACTTGGTGTTTTTAGCAAAGGAATATTATCTGAGAAATCGTAAGTAAAGTCTGTAAAGAATTAGCAGGAATCGAATTTTAAACCAACATATTCTATCATCAAAAATTGCTATTTTTCATTTTTATTATTTTTATAATTAATGCTTCTAAAAAAGAAATGTTATAAAATGTATATGAACATTAAAATGAGTAGATATTTTCATTCACTAGACTCTCTCCCTAGCTTTTTAAAACCATCTCGAATCATATAAAAAATCCCTATTTTATATGTTGTTGCACTTCTAAGTCCATTCATCTTAAAGTCGCCTTGGTCCCAAAGATCTGGGAAAAATTTATACAGCGTATTATTCTCGCGTTTTTCGCGCTCACGTTTATCCAATGCGTGCAGTTCTTTTTCACTGACTTGACACGCAATGCTATTCGCCTCTTTAGAAGCAAGTTGTTCGTGCTCCTTAGCGATGCTAGTCAAACGTTTTTCAGCATCAAAAAGTTTGGTTTGATAAAAACGGCATTTTTGTTCAATTGTTTGTATCTGTTCTGATGTTTCTTCTTGGATGAACTTAAGTTCTGTGTTCATTTCTTCTTTTTGTTGAATTTTTGTCTCCAATTCACGTACAGTTTGATCACTCTCTTCACTCAGAGTTGTATTGAGATCTCTCTCCTGGGCGAGCAACTCGTGAAGATGATTAATTTGGTGTTGAAATTCCAAAGTTGCCCGAGCAAGTTCTTCACCTTGTGAAGCCAACTCTTGATTCATCACACAGAGCTTATCCTCGAGATCCTCGCACTCATTTTGTTTGGAATCCAATTTTTCCTTCATCGTTAAGACAGCATTTTGTAAGAAATTTTCACACGTTTCAGTATTGGATTCGCAGCTGATCATTTCTTGTTCCAAGGACTTCTCGGGCAGGCTACCGAGCTTGTCCTCTAGTTCTTTCGATCTTCGTCGCTCGTTTTGCAGCAGTATAAACAGTTCGCCATTTTCCTGAGAAAGTGCATCAACTTCAACTTTCAACTGTGAAATCTTTTCTAAGTTTCCGTGGGGAATATCGTTGTCTTCACGCGCAAAAATTTCACGTTCATGATCGTTTTTTTGGGAAACATTGGTTGTCATGTTCACGTGAGGATATAAACATCCACTAAAGCAGATTAAAACAGTGCGCGCGCGCAAAGTGCAATCAAGAAATCTGTTTATACGTCACTTAATTAACATTGCGCGCGGTTGTGAGACTTAATAACAGTAAGCGGGTGATCACAATAAATGATCGATAATTTATTTAATACAAGCAACAGGCATTGAACTAATTAATTTTCTAATTCTGTCCAAAACTATTTCGTTTGTTCCTTTACACGAGTCCACGTTATACGGAGGTTCTATTACAAGCCCTCCAAGGATTTTCACGACCTCACTTTCTACTGAGTCATCATCAATAACTGGCACACGATTTTTGTTCAACCAATCAATTAAAGACATTTTTCTTTTTTGGAGCTCCTCGTCTGTGTAGTGCTGTCTTTCCTTTACCGTGAAGCTTTTCAACCATTCCGGTTCTTTTCTTGTTGTTTCTAAGATACGAAGCTCTCTTACTGCCTTTCTCATCACAAATACAATCATCCTAGAGTCAAGAAAGTCTAGTTTTTCTTGCTCACTTACGTCCATGTCTTTGGCAAGAGCGATTGTATAAGACACAGGATCGATCGTGTAAATCCAACCATACAATTCCTCCCCTTCGAAAAGCGTTATATGGACAAAACGATGTAGTAATTGATGTAATTTTTTGGAAGAAAGCTTCCAATAGTTGCAAAGTTGATCATTTTCGTCCGCCATATTGTCTGCGCCCCTTCGGGTGGATGCGGTATTCAAGAGAATATTACATTACTTTATGTAAATTGTGACAAGAGTTCACTGGTATAATTATTAGATGATATTTTTTTGATACAATCAAAACATTACAAATTAGTAACTCATACGTTTGTTACAATGGTCTAATGCTAATCAACACTGCTTTAGTTTTATTAAGCAAAATACAGAATAAACTTTTCCAACCAAAATAAACCATTTGTTTATATTTTGCTTGCAGGCAAAATACCAAGGGTTGGATGTTCCAAATCACTTTTTATTTTGCCAGTAAGGTGTAAACAAAACATGATTTTATTAACTACTTCTCACTAAACATTAAATAAAATGTGTTCAAAAAGGTTCTGAAGTCAAATTTTCCTTATTTGTTTTGTGTTATTGACACTTTGTCTGTACCCTTTGACGCTTTGTATCGTACATAGATTCGATATGATATAGCTCCAAAAACAACAAAAACGCCAAAAATAGCCTGTGATGCCAGGGTATGCTTGTAAATAATACAGGAAAGCACAATACTGAATATCATTCGAGCTGTCATGATTATTACAAACACAATTGGACCAAAAGTTTGGATTGTGTAGAATATAAACAGCTGACCAAATGCAGATGTCATTGACAGGATAAATACTTGATACAGGAAACGGGGATGCCTTGATGTGAATGACAAGGAACGAACAAGACCACCAGTTTGTAGAAGAGAACAAAAAGTGAACACACTTGAAAAGACATTGGTGCCGAACATCATCTGCATTGAAGACATCTTGTGTTTTTTAAACAATGCAGATTGCCAGTTTGATGTAAAGCTATCAAAAATCATGTACCCTAGAAGGATGAAAAGTCCTACAACTGTTGTTGGTTGATCATGATGAGCATGGTCAGCATTGTGCGACAAAAGGAACAAGCTTGTGCCAAATGAAAGTAGAATAGCAACAAGATATTCAGAATATGGATAACTTTTTCCAGATACCACTTTACCCATGATCATTACTGGGATCATTTTTGAAGCTTTGCAAAGAACTTGCGTTGGAAAGCTAACAAACTTCAATGCTTCATATTGGCACCAACTGCTCATTATGTTTGAAAAGGAAGAATAAGAGTATTTAAAAAATGGTGCCGTATGGTATGGCTGTTCAGCAATGGATATATACACCCCAGCTACAATCAAAGCCAGGACTCTGTTAGAAAATACAAGGTATTGGGAGTCCTCAAATTTCACTTTGTGTAGAATGCCATCCTCTGAAAGCTCATCATAAGTCTCTGTCATAATCTGTTCCTGCAGAACCCCCCAGGTGAGATATGACCCCTGTAGACCAATCGCGCAGAAGATCAACTTTGCTGTAGTTACTCCCAGTTTGGGCGGTTCCTTTGATTCAGGTGCTGTTCTGATTGGACCCTCTTCAATGCTACGTTTTTCTTCCGGCTGGCCATACACAAAGGCTTGAAGAAGTTTGAACGGAAAGCCTCGACCTATAAAATCAAATAAAAGGTGGTGACGACATTATGATTGGTATACCAGGAAGTTAACAGCAAGTTAAACCATACCTGGACTGTCATTTAAATTAGATTTTTTTACCAAATGAATAATAACGGCCCCAGGAATGATAACAGTCGCGTAGCCCAGTAAATTCCAGAATAACCCTATGTACCATGGTGGACGAACATATTTTTCATCTTCGCCGGAAACAGCTGCGGTATTCCAGAAATAAAAAAGAAAAAGCACAACTTGGATTCTGTATCCCCTTATACAAAAGTGGCGATGATCTGGCGAGTTTCCTGTCATCTCAAATCATATGTTTCGTTCTTTCAAGTGTATATTACACACTTTAGAGATAATACAATAAATATTTGCTGTTAATTCCTTTTGCCAACGTGTCAAACCATAGGTCAAACATGTCAGCGATGCGCAATCCAGCTGAGGTGAAAATATGTGTGATTTGCCCCTCCTGTCGTTTTCTCTAACTTGTAGGCAGTCAACTGACTATTTCATCTCTTTCAGGGGGGTATTAGATGGTAAAGACTGGTTTATATTTATGTTTTTACGCCATCAGAAAGTTAAATTGTAGTATTTTAGTTTAGCTTTGTAAACAATTTTCTGTCTAATTTTCAATGCGTAAAGGAGTAAAGGACGCAATAATGATTATTAAGATTTATTAATAATTAGGGTCCTAGTTGGATAATCAGCCTGTGTGCGGGCTATTTAAAATATTTCATTTTGCAAAAATGTTGTTATTCTCTTGATCTCACCCATGGATTTTTGTCTACAAAAATCAATATATTAAACTTTTCATGGACTGGACCCGAAAACTAAAGCAATCACTTGGTAAGTTGACGGTTAAAATTAGAAAACTAAGATAAATGTGTCTGACTCACTAATGTTTACTTTTTCCTCAATGGTGAATGTATACTAAAGATCTTCAGTTGCAATGTGTCTGCCTATTTTTCACTATTTATCTTCATTTGCATATTATAAAAGACAAATTTTCATCCATTCTGTCACAGAGAAACCAGGAAACATAACGAAAAATGAAGATGAAATTGAATTGTTCAATAAATATTTCCAGAAGTGGAAAAATGACAAACAGAAAGATAACCCATCCTCAGCTATTCCAAGATTTTATCACAAGGTGCTCCAGATGTGTGTTTGCATCCCCAAGTCTATCTTTTTTATGTTAATATATCCTTAATTGATCACTTCTACTTAGAGACATAGTATCCCTAATTAAACTTATACTGTATTTCAAAGTTGCCATCAGAAGAAGAAGTCTTACTTCAGAAATTAAGGGAAGATGCAAGAGCTGCTTTTCTTCAGCGTAAAAGTAGAGAGTTGTTGGATAATGATGAATTACAGGTTAAAGAAGAATGCCATGTTCCAATACCTTGTTTTCTATGCATTGACAACTTCATCGGCTGAACTTTATGTTTTAGAACTTGTGGTATTTATTGGACAAACATCAGACATTTCCTGCTCTTCATGATGAGCAGGTATAAACATCAATTGAACCAATAGCACTAAAATTTATATTGTTTCTTATTCATTTATCATTCTTTTTTTTTAAAAAATGGCAATTTAATAGATGATAAATTATAAGGATTTTATCGAAGTCAAAGAACAGACTGGGGATAAATGCAAAAAATTCTTTACTGCAACAATTTTCTCCAAACTTTATCAAAATGATCCATTTGGAAGGTAGGTATTGCAAATTTATATGGTCAATGTGAATTGGCCAAATTTAGATTCTTCTGAAAAATAATTGTGATAAAGTAATGTTCTAATAAGTGGTCTTACTTTAGGATATCAATAATGCAGTTTTTCAACTATGTGATGAGGAAAGGTAGGTACATTTGATTAACCAACATTCATCTGAGGATTGAGGAATCATTCATTCAAAGACTACAAAACTTTCTAGTTTGGTTGCATCAAACAAGAATTGGTCTAAGTCTTTATGATGTGACGGGCCAGGGATATCTTAGAGAATGTGTAAGTTTTAAAATGGACCTAAACGTATTCAACCAATTAATAAATTCTAAAATATCTGTTCCAATATGCCATAGGACCTTGAGAACTATATCTTAGAGTTGATACCAACATTGCCTCAGGTATATCTTATTTCATTATCAATATATCAGAAAAGTTTCCTCTTGTTTCAATTGCATGAATCACAATTATTATCACGTTGTAATTTATATATTCTCACTTCAGCTGGAGGGATTGGAAAAATCATTTTACTCATTTTATGTCTGCACAGCTGTCAGAAAATTTTTCTTCTTTCTTGATCCAATGCGAAAAGGTAATTAAATAACATAATACAGTACAAGCTGGTCTCCAATGTGAAAGACACCAATGAATAATTGTGTTTTCTTTTTTTGCAAGGCAAAATAAAGATACAAGATATTTTGGCATGCAGTTTCTTAGATGATTTATTAGAGGTACCTACAAAAATTGCTGACATTTTAAATTTGTGCCAAATATCCTCCAAAATTTCTTAATTTAATTTTTATTAGTTACGTGATGAAGATTTGTCAAAAGAACAACAAGAATCAAATTGGTTTTCAGCACCATCTGCTTTAAGAGTTTATGGTTAGAAAAATTGCATGTACATTCCAAGAACATTTGATGAATTGTATTTACTAAATTGTTTTTTTTTTACAGGGCAATATTTGAACTTGGACAGTGATCACAATGGCATGTTAAGCAAGAATGAACTGCTTAGGTATTTCATAATTGATTTTTTTATGCTCCAATGAAAGAATATATATTTATATAATCCTCTTTCTATGTTACATAGATATGGATCAGGAACGCTCACCAAAGTGTTTGTTGATCGAGTTTTTCAGGAATGTTTGACATATGATGGAGAAATGGTAGGTAGTGTAAATTAATTGCGTATGTTATACTAAAAGTTGAGATAAGTTACACAATATAAGCTCCCCTCTAATTATTTTTTCTTGTTAGGATTACAAGACTTATTTAGACTTTGTTCTGGCTTTAGAAAACCGAAAGGAAATGCAAGTGAGTATAAAGATATTAAGAGAACTGAATATTATTATTTTGATGTAGGTAATTGTTTACAGTAGATTGTAGTGGATCAGTCAATATGAATTAGACATTTTAGACATGAATTGGACATTATGATTATTAAACATTTTTCATATTTTTTGTAGTCTTTGCAGTATCTGTTTCGTATGCTTGACATTCAGGTACAAAACTTGATTTGGTTATAAAATATTATTACATTTATAAGCATTTATAAATATATATATCTCAAGAAACTTTTCCATTTTGCAGGGTCTTGGTTATCTTAATAATTTTGCCTTTAACTATTTCTTTCGTGTAAGTGCTATAAAGCTGAATGTAATATTCTGCAGCAGAACTGATTGTGATGTGCAGATGAGAAATAAACATTTCCTGACTACCTGGTGATTCTTCTCTGATTCATTACAGGAGATACAAATGGAAATGAAAAAACATGGTCATGATCCTGTATTATTTCATGATATTCAGGTGCGTACAACTATTTTGCCTCTTTAGGTTTCAAGCCATATAACAAATAAATCTGTGTGTTTTTGTAGGATGAAATATTTGATATGGTGAAACCAAGTAATCCATACAAGATAACCTTACAAGACCTCATCAACAGGTATACCGTGGTATAGATATGAGATTTCATTAAAAATTACTCTGCCCTGAATAGTATGAAGTTCCCTTTCCCACAACAAATTTCATAATCGGACATTACATTACAAAATTATCTGCGAATAATTTTTCAGCGGTCAAGGTGAGACAGTTGTGAGTATTCTGATCGATCTCAATGGTTTCTGGACTTATGAAAACCGTGAAGTTCTAGTAATGCAAGAAAGCCAAGGTGCCTCAGAGGTTTAATTATCATTTTTCAGTGGTCTAGGTTAGAAATATCCTGCACTGGCAATTTGTGTATATTCTGTTTTTCCATGTACAGATCTTAATATTTATTAAATCTTTATTTTTCAATGACAATACCATACCTTAGCTATTACACTACAGTTCACCAAAAACATTATTTTGCACTCCTAATAATTGTCTTATCCAGTTCAAAATGTCATGGAAAATGTGAACAATTGTATCCCATATTGATAATTCCCCACTTGGGTACTCTGTGGTGGAATCATCTGACTCATCATCATCTTTCATTGATTGATGTTTAGCCATTTCTTCCATCATCTCCTCACGAGAGTACATTTGCATGTTGGGCATTCCTGGGGTATCACTAAAAGAGATTAAAGAAAGTAAAATGAGAAACTATATGATGCAGATTGTCCAAAGGCAATATGGAAGAAAACTTTGCCAAATAATACATCCAGTTATTTTCAAATGTAACCTTGCTTTCTTCAGATATTCTTGTGCTTTTTTTTCATCAGCACTCATCACATGAAATTTTTCATCCTTTCTATTGCCACTTTTGAATGTCCCTTTATTTTTGCTACAAGCACTTGTGTCAGTGTAACAAACTCTGTTAATCATCTGGGACAAAGTGAGCTCATTTTTCCACAATTCCTCAGCAATATCAACATCTGCTTCGCCAACGGTATCCTCACAAGCTTTTGCAACAGTTCTACACTCAGTCCTGCATGACCCAAGTTCATTATGCTCAGATAAATGTAGTTCATCATTTTTCTCCTGAATGTCCAACTTTGCAAGCCATTCCCCTTCAAATCTGTCAGGATTGCAAGATTTGTCCACAAGGTCTTGCAATTTTTCTTCTCCAATCTAGAAAATATCCAGGCTTTATTAACAGTGAAAATTACCAGTTTTCACCCCCCCTGGCCCATCCCAATTCATTTACAGCCTTATCTTTTCAAAATTTTGATAATGATATATGATACGATTTTCACTATAAAACGACCATTACGAAGAAAATGAAAGTTAACTATCACCTTTGCAGTCGAAGTTTCCTCCCTCATGGATTTAGTCTTTCTAAATAAATATTTTACAGCTTTTTGACATACATCACATTTTATAAAAGGTACGTCATCTTTTATTGGGGGGTAGATTTTCTTAGACATTTGTCCAGAAACTGCTGGAAAGTTAAATATAATAAATAAAAATAGTAAATAACGTTGTCTAAGATTTCTCTTAGCAGTTAAATCATTTTGATTGGCGGCCATATTGCATTTCTCGGTGTTGAAGATCACGTGGGCACAGCGTGTTACGTTCGAAGTTCGACGATCGTTATTTCAGGAAGAAGAGTTTGTCAAATATTTCAAGGTAAATCTGGTTAGTAAAGCTTCTTTCTTGCCATAAGAAAGACTTTTTTAAATAAATTAAGTATTTCTTGTTTGTGAACGTCGAAGTTGTATTTTTAAACGCACGTTTAGATCGACAATTTGATTAAGGTTGACAAGACATCCAGAAGACATTTGATCAAGATTTGTGATCAAGATGACTGAAGAAAGCGAGCTTCTTTTGACTGACTATTTATTGAATTTTGACGAAGATGAGGAAAGCGCGTTTAAAACTGAATGCTTGTCGTCTGGGGTTGATTGTAGCGAAGACGAGGAGGAATGCTCGTTATCTTTACTTAAAGAAAATCTTAAAAACAGTCCAAAAAAGTCTCCAAGCAAACAAATTACTCCAAAACACTGTGGTAATAAAAAAAGACAACAAACATTGGAGAAGAAGGAAAGAGATCGCATGCGTTCTGTAGCCTACAGGAAAAAAAGGACTGAACAATTCAATGCCAGTAAAGAGGAATGTAAAGAATTGAGAGAATCTAATCAATCATTGAATGGGAAAGTTGAATTATTAATTGAGAAAAATAAGTCATTGACTGAGAAGAATGAATCATTGACTGAGAAGAATGAAATATTGGCTGAAAAGAATGAAATATTGGCTGAAAAAAATGTAAAACTTGATGAGAACGTTTCAAGTCTCCAGAAACAAATAGAATATTTGGAAAAAGTAATTTCTAATCAGAGTGCTCTGTCAGCTGTCTTGGGAGCCATCAAAAAGCATTCTGGATTAACATTTAACAATCATGCACTACAAGTTAATTCACTGAAAAGAAAAAGAGTTGAGAATGATAGTGATGAGAATGGACAGCAAGTGAGGCAATTGAATGGTGGAGTGTGTGTTCACCTGACATCTGGCAGGATGTCACTGGAGTTTTGCAGAGAATGTGATATGAATGCAGCTGACAAATGAATTTCAAAGCTTTTTGTTTGACCATGTTGATTCCTATTTAAACTTCTAGGGTAAGGCTAAGATTTCATTTTGTTAACCATAATAGCCATAAATAATGTGTGGAGTCTTTCACGTCAGGAAAGTATTGGTGTTATTAAACATTTAATTATTGGTTGGATATTGAACTTATAGAGCACCTCTTAGTTGAACAAGCATTTACTTGGTAAGGACAAAAAACCAGTTGCTTAGAGTTGGTTATTGTTGTGTCTTGATAAATGTATGCTCCTACAGCAACTGTTTTTTTGTGTGAAAAAGTGTGTAAATATTGCTTGTATATAGATGGCAAACAATAGATTATTATTCTTCATGTAAATTTGTCACTGAAATATTTTTTTCTTTGTCATATGCAGTATAGCAAAATGGATGCTTGACACTCCCTGCACAACCTGGAGTCAAGTCATTCATTACATGTACAAAGTCTTTGGGATTTTACGTAAGTTTTTCATTCTCCCTTCTATAACTATGTGAAGGGAAATGGATCAGGTAAAGGTTTAAATGGGAAGACTGTGAGGCCAATAGATTGTATGCTACTGTTATATATTTCATTCAGTACCCTGCCACCATCCTACCAAAGGTTAAACAATCCCCCACCCAGACTTTACATTCACTCTAACTTTTCTATTAAGACGTGTCTTTTAGTATTTGATGGCAACTTGCTGATGAAGAATAGTAACAGCAATTGGGTCTTTACCATTTCAAATATTAAGTATGTATTTGTTTTCAAGATTTTATGGTGAAAGGAACTGATACTATGCAATTGAAAGGGTGAAATATCGGGCATTCTTGCACTCATACAATTACAAAAACAGATAGTATGCAAATTGCAGGTCACAAATGTCTTTTGTGTCCAATTGATCCATGCAAAACTGTATATTATCATGATGGTTGAAGAATTTTCTTTTGCCCAATGTAAAAAATTCCATGCTAACTGCAGTAATATCTATTATGTTAGTCTATAAATATAATACAATAACTATTTTTAAAAGGATTTTGCAAGCAATCCTAATGAAGTTTGAACTTTCTGTGGTTTACATGCATGTCATCAACATATCTAAAAAGGAAAAACAAAACCCAGTTATTGTCATACAAAACATATTGAAACTCATCAAGCTTACTAATGTCCAGATGGAGGACTTAAAGTTTTCAAATTGCAAACATGTTTTAAGCTGGCAGAGCATTAAAATGCCTTTACCTGGTCATGGGGCTGTTGATATGAGGAAACCGACTTGGTGCTTCTTTCATATAGTTGAAATTTCTGTTCGGTGGACCAGTGCCCCATCTTGGAGAAGCAACCTTGTTAATGTAGCCCCGAGAGGGAAGAATTTGTCTTAGTGTTGACCATTCTTCACATCTTGTTGCATGAGAATAAGGCAGTAATCTTGATTCTTCTTTGTCACGAGCATGGTACTCAGAAGGTGCGTCAACTTGGTAACGCCATGCTTTTGGGATGCTACTCAAGTTCTCTGGTATTGGCTGGACTAGAATATAGAAATGAATTTTACAGTATCTGGTGTAATTGTGTAAATGATCTGGATGGAGTGTGGCCATAATATTCCTGGTATATTAATTGAATACCACCATAACATTTTAGTTTACAATAATTGTAATGGATATAGTATTAAAGATTCAAAACATCGATTATTCTAGTGTTTGTCTGTTTAACCTCTCAACATAATATAATTAGGACAAAGGATAGATTATTCCCTATGTTGTTTTACGCGAATAAAACGCGAATTTTTCAGGCTAGGAAGTGCGTTTATTTCGTAAATTTTTTCACCTAGAAATTTCCATCGCTGAACTGGAGTTGTGACTCTAAGATCTGTTGGAGTGTAGCGTCTGTTTACCCATACAACATCACTTTTTTCAGGTTGTATTGAAACAACATCGGGAAATCTGTATCGAAAAAACGGTGCACCAATGCATTCAGCAGCCATTCTTGTTGTCCTGCTAACAATTTATACCTACTTCGTTGCCATGGCGAGACCTGGTTTTCTTGTCGATGCGCGAGCTCAATTTGCAAAAGGTATATATATATATTGCTTAATTTGTTAGAAAAGAAGCAACTAACTAGAGCTTAATTGTTGCCATCTCAACGAAAACGTTTTTAATACAAAGAGGTTCAACTTAGGAAGCTAGAAATGGGTCGATTGAGATGGATACCAATTTGTTTGAGTCGATCAAATTGAGTGCCCATATTATGGACATATTAGTATTACATAAACAAGTGAAATTTTATTCAGTGCTAAACATTTCGTAAAATATGAAGATACATCATTGTACAATATCAGTTATAAATCTGAATGACTTTCTCTCTCAATCTTTATTAACTCCACTTCAAATACCAATGTTGCTCCCCCTATAAAGATAAAAAAAGCATGCAGGATTGTGTTAGTGCAAGTCACACAAAATGTTGTGGCATATTGGCAAAAAATCATTGTTTACCTGGAATTTTAGGAGGTGCACCCTGAATCACCATATCCTAAGATAACAGATATTTAAATGTATAATTATTTCACATCATCTCATAACAGGTTCTCATTATGACTGTGCATAACAAAATAGCTAACTCACCCAAGCTGGATGGAATCACAAGCTTCCTTTTTTCTCCTTCACACATGCTATAAAAAAGGTTGAAATATCAGATATACTAGTTTCAAAAACTGTAAAGAAAGAATAGTCTAAGTGTTCCCAGCCTTACTACTCACTTTAAAAGACCTTGGTCCCAACCTGTAAAATAATATAGTATATAACTTTGTGAATAAGCAGTTGTAAAATTCAAATCAAGTGTCCTCAAAAAAGTACTCTATATATATTCGAAACCAGGTCTTTTGAATTTGCATAGTTGTTAAAGGTCAGATATCAATAGGAGGTTTTCTTTTGGACAGCCTGTACACAGCTGTCTGGTGCTCTTTAAATCAAATAATGTACCTTTAATGACTTGCCCAGTCCCTAGTGTAAACACAAATGGTTCACCCCTTGGAATGCTACTATCAAATTCTGTTCCATCCTCTTTTAATGTTCCCTGTTTTAAAAACAATCATTTTCTATGTTGGTCTGTATGAGCCAGTAATAATGAAGTCAAATTAAAATCACGTACAGTGTAGTGCATGTGCAACGTGTCGCCATTTTGTGACTTGATTTTGCAATCTTTAACTCTTTTCTTAACACCGATATTCAGTTTTTCCTCCGCAGCAAAGGATAGAAAGCAGTGGGCTAAGACTATTAGTAAAAGATTGAGATAAGCCGCTATTTTGTACATCTTTGAGTACTTTATTCTATAATCGTCGTTCTATATTAAACTTCTATACTTATAAAATCGACAGGCCTGTTCGCAGGCTAAGAATGACTGATCAATAGGAAAGGGGGGGAATCCGATGGGGGTGGGTGGTCCAGTGCATGAGCTCAGTAAATAGCTAATAAACCAAACATAAGGTCTTAATGAGGTAATTAAAGCTCGTAATTAGTCGATACAGTAAAAATTAATAAAAGAAACTATATGACAGGGATAATTTCATTGCATATACTAAATTGCAAATGATAACTTTTAGTTTTTTAGTCTTTAGTACCACTATTCATTGGACTAAGAGCTTGTTTTAGTTGTTTAGATGGAACGCCGCTTTCCACTTACGCGTTTTTTATTTTATAATGAATTGGTCAAAAAATGCATATTAAAGTATGCGGAAAACGAAGTTCTTTCGATTTATTCACCTAGTCTTTTCAAATGACAGATGTAAAGGATTTGGACTTTTACCTGCGTATAAAAAACGCGACAGAGGAAAGCAGTGGTAAGACGGCTGTCAGTGTCAGATGAGCTGTTGAAAAATGAGACCTAATTAATAAAATGTTGCAATATGTTGAAATCTGAGAGAGTTGGACGATATGGTACGTCAGTGGTCAGTGAAGACAGTGATATAATAAAAATGTTTCATGTTGTAATCCTGCTAAAATGTATGGTTGAAAAGACAAACTAAAGAAAAGACAATAAATAAAGTACATAAAGACATAAAATAAATCCAAGAACAAGCATTGCATTTGATTTTATAGCCGACTGGCGTCATCTCGTGTTGTCATTTGAGAAAACACAGCTTGTTATTGGATACAATAACACCATCTCTAATTGACATTGTACATGTTTAAGCAGGGTAAACTCGTTTCATAATCTGACCTCCAAACCTCTATACATATGTAAGTCTCACAATCAAACCGTGTTTCGTTTTCTTGCGCAAGGACGTTAGGCCATAAACTGATAAACACGAGAGAATTCCTCAGACTATGGGACATTTTTCACCGACCATAATGTGTGTGCTTTGGTGCGTCATTGTCGTAATTTTGACCTTCGTAATGGTACGGTAACTGACTAGATTTTTATGTAATTTTTGAACCGAAACATTTTTAATTTATCAATTAACCTATTGTAGTATGTTATACATCTTTTTACACCAGTCTATTAAGTGATATTTCTTCGCGGGTCTCAGACGCCATAACTAAGGCAACCTCTATTCAAGAGACAAATTTGGTTTCGTCTGAAAATGCTAAAAGTGTGATTATTAGAAGTTCATCCCAGTACATCAGTAGAAGCAGAGTATTTCTTGTGCTTGCTATAAACGCAAAAAATGACTGTTTACACGGCTGCTTGTATATACAACGATGTCTTGCATGGTAGTGTATTTAATGAATTAGAGTAAAAGAAATAGAAAATTATTAATAATTTGTTACGATAAAAGGAGATCTGCTCCAATTTGCGCAACTGTTAAGTCCAGGATAAATAAGATAAGCGCGCAGATTAACGGATAAATTTTCGATTTTTGAGAGTCGTTCTTATGATAATATCTGCCCTGTATTGTTTCACCATGAAAATTTAATTTAGCTGGTTTCCTTCCTCACTTGCTTCCTGTTAACTTAAAACTTGATTTTAGCACAGTGTCTATATAGCTGAACAGTAGCCGCTCTTGTTGTTTTTTTGTCCGTACAAAAAATATTTCGTCCAGTTCTGACTGGGCATGGCCAAGCAATATTATCTGTAGTCACATTGGACAATTGTTGATACTATTATCAGTATATAATGGCAATGATACTTTTCTCTCCTTGTTTTACAATAGCCGATGGAAATTTACAACCAGCAACTTGAAAGGACAATTTGAAAAAGAAGTATAAGAAATATATATCTTCCTTATGATAGGGTTTACTACGATTGTATAATTTGCATGGATCCCATGAAACCTTGTTTGACCTACGAAGCATTGCAGCATTAATCATTCAACTCGGTGAAGGTCGTTATGATTGACCAGTTGACCTTCACAGGTATCTGTACTTGTAAACCGATAATATCTCCTATTTTCGAAATAGGTTATTTTGGTCGACATAAACGCGTCATCCCAGTCATAGAAACGTACGTACAATGAAATAATTTTATGTGCAAACTCAAGAGTCTGGCCTGAACTATCACGGCAATGTAATAAATACCCAACCTCGTTTCAGTAGGGCTTTCAAATTATGTCACACCTAAAACGGATAACTATGAAAGCATAGATGTTGCATGCAATTGGCATGATATGCGTTTAATTCCAAAGACAATGTTCTGTTTTGTTAGAACCTGAGACTTTGAAGAACATATGTGCTTCTGTCTTGTGTTCACGTGTGATCTTATCGTCTTGATGCATGCAATTATTGCAATAAAACTACGAAAGTTAAACATAACCTGTTACAAGTTGAGGCATACTACTTTATGCTAACATTACAACGCAATTATTCATGCATTCTTTCGAGTCGGCAAACAAAATCAGGAAAGAAAAACATAGACATTGTTATGGAAAGGAAAGTAATAATGAATCAAAACATTTCACAAAGTCATAGACAAACTTTTTAATGCCAAAGACTTCAAGTTTGATGGGAACTCAAAAATAATGACATATTAATATAAGAGTGACAAAGATCAAATTTTAATCGCTGTTCCTGGGTTATGAGTATCATTTTTTTAATATATATATATATATATATATATATATATATATATATATATATATATATATATATATATATATAGTAAGCACTTTCCACCTTTCCAAAAAAGGCGAGGATTGGTAGAAGCAGAGCGACAACCTTTTTGGTGAAATAAGTGTTAAATTAAATAAAGTAGGTAATTTGAAGGACCGAGGACTCGTGCATGTGATTGAGCTGAACTGCATGTAGTTGTTTTTGAACGAACCCCAAGTTAATTGGACAGCTCATTAAATGATTAAAACGTTTGTTATAAAAAGCTCATCTCTGTCGTTTTTTACAGAATGTGGAACCGAAGGGTGTACTGAAAGTAACGTTCGTTGATTATTACAACCCTGGAAAAGGAGATTATAATGGCGGTTGCTGTGATCCGTTTGTTATTCGATGTGACGACTGTGACACGTATTTTCAGATTTGTTTACAAACAACCAACCCTCCTGTTGCTTCCATGAAGAATTGTGATATTTATGTAACAACAAAAATACATGAGGACGACAATTTCAAATTCTCGACAGCTTTTGGTAGTCAATTTGGTTGGAAAGGTGAAAGAAACCCGTTGGTGTACCATTTTGGTGATTCGTGGGAGGTATATACATTAGTTTGGTTTTAGTTTTGATGTATCCGGACAACGGGGGACGTATATATATACACAGCCATTACTTGTACAAATTTTCAGGACATAAACTGCAGTAATTTAAAATTCAAAAAGCTGATCTCTATGCATCTGTGGATTTAGCATAGCGCTCAGGCATACAAATTATCACAATAGGATAATTGTGTATAATGTCAGTCGGGACACACTGTATAGGTGCACAATTTTTTCAATTTCTGTACAGAAGCAAGAGGGTCAGTTTGCTATCAATATGGAAGTCTGGGATAACGATGGTGGCCATATTCTTAATATTGGTGGTAAACGGGACTTGATAGATAAAGTGTTTAAAGACTATCGCCGTCTACCTGCTGGCCCTTTAAGTAAGCCCAGAATATACCAGAAAACAGTGAGTAATTAGTTCTTGGAAAGACTGCACAATAAACGGACTAATATTAGTTCGAGGGTTTTCCATTTCAATCTTTTCTATGATCTTTTCCGCAGTTAATTGGCTCCAGAAGAGGTTCAGATGTCAATAACCCCACAAGAACAACAATAAAGTTAAGTTTACACTGTGATCCAGATTATTACAATGGCTACTGTTCTCAATACTGCAAGGCTCAAAATACTAATAGCGGGGGACATTATACATGTAATTATCGCGGAGAAAAGATCTGCATGAGAGGTTGGCAAGGAACGGACTGCAAGGAACGTAAGTCTTCAGTTGTGTTTACTGCCAATAATCCATTTATGTAATCGTTGCATAATTATATATTCTAATATTACAGCAATTTGTAAAAGAGATTGTCAGCATGGATATTGTGCAAAACCTGGGGGATGCATGTATGTATATATATAAAAAATTCAGAATAAAACAACGAAAATTGTACCCTAACAGAAGAAACTTTTCTTGGCTAATTAGCGAGTCGTGGCTTGTATTGGCAGTAGACGTTAAATGCTTTTCCAAGCAATATAAAGTGATCATGTCCTTGGAGTTTTTGTTAAAGTGTCTCATGCATGGGTTTGTGATCATCACGTTCTTGTTTCTTAGATGTTATGTCAACTGGAAAGGCGATAATTGTGACAAGTGCATTCCCAGAAAGGGTTGTTGTAAGTAATTCATTCTCGTTTTCAGTTTTGATACACAATTTTTGTTGGAATTGCTGAGTCCCTGATTTAAGTTGCTGAAAAGATGCAATTTTTTATAGATAAAGGCAATTGTAAGAATGGTGATGATTGTATATGTTTGCCAGAGTGGAGTGGCAGTCTCTGTGATCAAGGTACAAAATTCAAACTGAAGTATTAAGTTCTACCAACTGTATCGTCCTGACGAAATGTGTTCGCACAGGACTATAGGAAACTTGTTATTGGGACAGGATTTTCATTCATTTAACCTCTTACCAGATATGAACTCATGCCGCAGTCAACCCTGCCAAAATGGAGGACGTTGCCAGAACAATGGGACCATTTATTATTGCCAATGTACACCCGGTTACTACGGAGATCATTGCGAAAAAGGCAAGTGTGTTCTTACGTTCTGACAGATAAACATTGAGAGAATAAATTGCGGCATCCTCTTGATCCGTGTTGTATGATTTCAAGCTCGTACCCGGGGTAAAATGTGTTGGGTTTTTATTTACTTTTGTAATATAGAATATATTTTTATGTAGAAGTTAATTTGTGCGCCTCTACACCATGTTCAAACAATGCGACTTGCGTGAACTATCGAACCAACTTCAGATGTGAATGTTTTACCGGATTTGACGGACACCTCTGCGAAAACAGTAAGTAAAATCAGTGAATATTGCCGGGGGGAGGCTCAATTTTGTAATAAAATGAGTTTTCTATATATGATCTTTTTCATTTTGTTAACAGACATAGACGAGTGTATCTTGAATAATTGTGCGAATGGTGCCATTTGTGCAGTGAGTTTGTTTGGTTTTCTGTTCTTCTTTAATTGTGCCGAAAACCAGGGATGAAAATGCATACGGAATTATCTAAATCTAAATACTATAGTTTTTTTGACAACCACCGGTTTTATTTTAGGATGGTATCAACAATTATTCTTGTATTTGCCAACCTGGTTTCATGGGTAAATACTGTACGATTGACTTGGATGAATGCTCCAGTAATCCATGCTCATCTCATAGCATTTGTAAAGATGGCATCAATAGCTATACTTGCAGTTGCTTTGATGGCTTTAGAGGTCGCCATTGCGAGGAGAATATTGATGAATGTCAGGAAAATCCTTGTCAAAATAATGGTAAAAAAGATCAAAATGTTTTACCTTCGTTTAAAATACCTTTTCGATTGATTCCCTTGCACGTGTTTATCCACAGCACATATTTAAAGAAAACATCTATATTTTCAGGCAATTGTACAGACGAAATAAACGACTATACATGCAGCTGTATTCAAGGTTGGGTGGGGAAAAACTGTTCATCAAATCATGACGAATGTGCGGGTCAACCGTGTAGATATAATGGCACCTGTCATGATGGCATCAACGACTACAATGTAAGAAAATATTAAAAATGAACTTGAATTACGACGGGTAATTTAAACTCCTGCTCTCCACAGCCAAATGTTTCAGAGTCCTTATATAATATGACATATTGTTTGCAGTGAAAATCGAATAGAATTTGTTCTTCATTCTTCTATTGTGGTAAAAGAGATATACTGCTCCAATCCTGGTTTACCGTTTTTTTTTTTGATTAAGCGAACTTAATACTGTTCCGTTTCATTTTTCTTATCATTAGTGCTCTTGTGTTGTGGGATTCGCGGGAAAAGACTGCCAGATTAATATAAATGACTGTGCGCCCCAACCTTGCCTGCATAATGGTGTTTGTGTCGATCATGTCAATTCCTTCAGTTGCCTCTGTAAGACTGGTTTTTCTGGTTTGTTATGTGAAATTGATATCAATGAATGCGAAGGTAAGTCCATCTTCCTAACATCAATTTATGTTCAACAATGACTATCGAAATCAAATCTATCCGTGTTTGTCTCATTTGCCCTATTGCATGTAAACCATGTCTCATAACACACTCTACTTTGTAGACACTCCTTGTGTACATGGTCGTTGTCATGATGGTATTAACGAATATCATTGCACGTGCTCTGTTGGTTATAAAGGTCGTAACTGTGAAATCGATATTGACGAATGTTCATCATCACCATGTTTAAACAATGCCACGTGCATTGATGAGATTGGAAACTTCTCGTGTAGTTGTCTAATGGGTTATGAAGGTACATATATAAAGCAGAGTATATTGCTGTTGAGGATATTATGTGATATGGTGGGATATGGTATTAGTATGTTGTATGTATAGTGTGGCACAGTAAAATTTCATATGGTCTATTATGACTTCGTTATTTTCGGTCATCTTATAACCCAAAGCACGACATCAACATGTTTTTACCACAATTTCAGGACGACAATGCGAGAATCGCATCGATTACTGCAAAAACATCACGTGTTTGTATGGTGGGTTATGCGTGAATGAGCTGCATGGCTACCGCTGTAATTGTCAGGCAGGATATAATGGAACTCTTTGTGAGAATACACCGTGCACCTGGCAGCCATGTTGGCACAATGCAACGTGTCGTCTCAATGATAACACCATTCTTGGTTTTGAATGTGACTGTTCGGTTCTAAACACAATATTTTCCTATCGTTATAACGGAGAGCTGTGTGAAAATGGTAAGATGGGTTATGAGAGGATATGAAATGACACATGCAGATATTATGGTGTTTAGTCGATATCTTTATATTATTTTTCAGATGTTGATAATTGCGATCCAAAATACCATGATTTTGACGAAAGAATTGGTTTGACAGAAAACGGTCTTTGTGGATTCAATGGTCGATGTGTTGATTATGTTGGTTATTATAAATGCGTTTGCTCTGAAGGCTGGACTGGAGTCAGCTGCCAGATAGGTTGGTTAAATATTTTTATAATTAATAAAATTATTTCAGTGCTCTCTTGTTCTTCCACAAGTAGAGTCAAACACCGATGAATTTTCAAACAATTCAAGACTCACGCACCCCATGAATTTTTTTTAGATATAAATGAATGCGCAAAGCGTCCTTGTAGAAACAAAGGAGAATGTCGCGAAAATATTACCGGAGCAGGATACGATTGTCTCTGTCCAACTGGATACACAGGAAAGAACTGTGAAAAACGTACGGTGAAAGAAATCTATAGCCCAAAGGATATATATAAGAAAATGGAGTTGTAAATATTTTATGGAGTTGTAAATATCATTCTTTTTCTAGTCGTAAACTTGTGCGAAAACAAAGCATGCTGTGCGGGAGCTTCATGCAGCTATGGTCTCAATTCATTCACGTGTCACTGTACCAATGGATTGAAAGGTCCTTCCTGTTGCTCAAGTAAGAACAATTTATTCAATGGATATACCTGCATGGTCGAATTACTCGAATATACCGGAATATGATATATTCGACCATGGTATGGTCCTCTTCCTTAGAGATTATGGTTCAAACCATCGCATTAGTCAGCCAAAATACTGGGTCCGTCCCTGATTTATACATGCAGGTAATCTTTCCGAGTCAACTTGATAAAATAGGGTATTTTCGTTGTGCTTCAGATAAAACATGGTGTTCTGAAGACCTGTTCAATGTATCCACATGTAATAACCGTGGAGAATGCTACAGTTTGGAAAACCGATTTAACTGCTCCTGTGACAAAGGTTGGAAAGGATCTCGATGTGAGATAGGTATTAGATTTTGTAAACGTGTCAGATTAGACATACCTCTCAATATATGAGATTGTCACACGCTTGTGTAAAGGTTATCCAACCGACTTTATCCTTTTGACTTTACTGAGATAATCCAACAATTATAGATATAAATGAATGTGAAAACAATCCTTGTGTGAAAGGAAAATGCAGGAATACTCAGGGGTCGTATGAATGTGTTTGTGAAAAAGATTACACCGGTGCTAACTGTGATCAAGGTAAGGTTGTCCCACAACAAAAGTTTCCGTTTCCAAAATAATTCAGGTCTTAATTTTTTCTGAATTTCTTTTTTAGAAATTGATCGTTGTAAGGGGGTTATTTGGTACGTAGACAGTTAATGAAGGACATATACTCTCCTCGTTTACAAATGTTTGATTCAACGCACCCCGTCTTCGATCATTTTTCCTCGAAATCTCTTTAACGCTTGCTTTCTTTAATAACGTAGTCAGAACGACGGGCGATGCTTGGATGATATTCATAATTATACCTGTGACTGTGCGCAAGGTTTCACGGGAAGACATTGTGAAAAAGGTAGTTATAGTTCAGTGATATAAGTTTGTGGAGATTCGTGACTATATCTACACTAAGATTAGAATGACCAGGTGTACTGGTTGTGGAGGATTGAGATTCATGACTACAACTTAATAGAGGGGATTTGTTTAAAAATTGTACCTGCTACATATTGAAAAGATATTAATTTTTATCCTATGTTAAGACATAGATGAATGTGCTACCGAGTGTACTGGTTCTCGTGCCATTTGTTTTAACACTCCTGGCAGTTATCGTTGCAAATGTCACAAAGGATTTCAAGGCCCACCAAAATGCGAAGAAGGTTTGTCGTCGTTTTTTTCTTTTGTTTATAACAGTTCAGCTCAGTTCATGTCAGTATAGTTCGGTTCCGTGTATATTTAACCATTTAATATTCAGTAGTATACACCTATATTTTGCATTGATTAATCTGTGTTGAACCTGTAAAAATTTTTAAATGTTTATTTATTCAGATATGACGTCCTGTACGTGTGGAAATGGAACTTGTGAAATGATAGGCGGACAGGAAATTTGTAAATGTTATTTGGGATTTCAATGTAAGGGATAATCCATTAATTACATTTATAGAATTTGCAACTATTGCCCTTGTCCTACATGGGGTTTTCAATAATGATAGCACAAGCCAAACCAAGAAAATCCTGAATGTGAGAAAATCCTGATCGTTCAATGGTTAATGCACAGCGCTATCATTACGAATACAGCATTGGTTTTCAGGCCAAAAACGGAGCTCTACTCGTCACCTCACATTCCCTCTCATGGTTGTTCATTCATTTTACATCTTTGTTTGTTAATTAAGGGGAAGATTTCAGATGTGTTGTTTCGATAAAGGCAGAAAATCAAGGTATTTTGCGTGTTTCTGTAAGTTCATTTATTCTTATATAAAACTATATAGTTCGTAAAACATGATTGTTCTTTTTACATTTTCTCTTCTGCAGCTTCTGGACGCAAGAAAGGTTAGTTAAGACCTACGTCCAGGAGCTCTATACTGTATATATAGCTCACTGGTTCATTCAAGTTAGAAAGCAGAAGCAAGTTTTTTGTCAGCTTAATTAGAAGTGATATTGTATTATATTCCCACTGCTTCTCCTTGGTGCACAGTGGCCAAGATGAGAGTACCTTAAATGGGGACAAAATAAATTTCAGCTTGCAACCTCAGAATGCAGAGAATAAACTTTATCGTCTAATAACACCGTTGTCTTTTTACATAGAATCTCGTAAATCGATTACACTTGGTGTATCGTTCTCAGTTCCTATCATTGTTTGCGTAGTTGTCATGGTTACTTTTCTTTACCTGAAAAGACGACGATATTTGCGACGACAGAAACCCGAAGGTGAATTAAAAAAGACGATATAGATAAGTTTGTTCTTTAAGAAAGACAGAATTGGCAAAAAGACAGAAAGATTAACAGATAGATTTGTCTTCTTTAAGAAAGATAAATTTTTTTCTCATTTCATAGAAACAATGATCTCAAAGGAAGCTATGTCGTGTTTCTCATGTTTTTAATCCTACTCTTGATGTTTTTAGGATCAGCAATCTTCAAGAATAGGGATTCAATATATTTGGAACCGAGTCCAGATCAACTCGACATGTTTTCAAATCCGTTATATCATATGAACAAAGGTTTTTCAGAAGATCCTGAATTGACTATTTCCGGTGACGATTGTAAAGCAGATTCTTCCGACTGCTAAGAAGTAGATTATACGAAATTACTTCGTATTTTAGGATTTCCTTTAGTCTTGTGACGAAATCATCCACTCAAGTCTCAGAACATGTGCGCATGGTGAGTGACTATTTCTTGGGTAAATTATTGAGAAATTTTATTGCATATTTTAATTTATGTACTTAACGAGGGTTTGAAACATACGGAACCTTATTAGAAAGATTAAATAATTTTGAATATAATAATTTAAATAATTACTTTCACGCGGTTATTACAGAAAGATCCAAAAATTACATTCCAAAATAAAGCATCGCGTCTTATATTTGAAGCTTACAAAAGTAGATAGTTGATCGTTTGATTATAAAAGAGGCTAAAACCCTTTTTAACTTTAGATTCCTTAAAGCTGTCCCCGACCACATGAAACTTTCTTGTCTTACTGCCCCTATATACATGATAATACATTTTTCTGAATGCATGTGGAAAACAGTCTTCGTTTAGAAAAAAGTCCTAGGTTACCTTGGCTCTCTTATATACAATTGGTTAACAACAAAGGCCTAGCTGCATGTGATTGGTAGACATATATAAGAATATATTTTTAAATTACTCTGGTAACCTGGCAATTTTCTGTTGCATGGGAAAAGCTGGCACGAAGACATCGATAATCTAATTTGTTGATAGCAAATAGTTTCGTGACAAACTGATCAATGCGGTTAGCCAACTTGTCTTGTTTATCTTACATGGATCATAATAACTTCGTTAAAACAAAACATGTTTAGAATGTAGGCTATATATTTTATATAGGTTATCCGAGCAGATATAAATCAAATATGAATAACTTATTGGATTTGCAATTATGCCCAATTGATTTTCCAGATACGTTTCTATGGAGACAATAATTTATTTCCATATAGTGGGAAATAGATTTTGCGGGGATACTGAATTACTAAAAGGATACCGCATATGACAAAAGGGAACAGAAGAATCCCAAACTATTCCTAATATTACATATAGTGATGCTAATATTAAACACACTAACTTGGATTAGTTTTCTGAATTAAGAGATGAAGTGTATAGTTAGTTTAGTCTATACTATATTTTGCAAAAGAAAAAGATAATCAAAAGATATGAATATATTGCTGGTTTTAATGGCTTTGTCATACAATCAAATTAGTTTTTTCGGCTTGCACATTTAATGACTTTTCGCCGCATTTTTATCCAGGTGTGTCGCCCAAAGCTTACCGCAGTTTTCAATATCCGAAAATATTGAATTGTTTTTAAGGCATTTGAATTATAGTTGACGATGTTAAACATTTAATTAACGACATGGCTATAATTGTTTTTAGCGTTAGTCTTCGCATATATCTAAATTTCGTAATGATTTATCTTCATCCGGTAGGCACCGTTTTCAAAAATAGACCACTGGTGGCAAAAAAATGTTACACATTTCAGTGATAATTTATTCGTATAGTTTTAAGTTCTCAATAATTAATGCTTACCAATATGATAGCTTTTTAATCCGTACAGGTACTCAGGCTTTGCGGAAGATGTGTCTGAAAGTTCCGACACTGTGACCTTCGACAGCTACGATTATTTTTTTTAAAGCTGATTATAAAAGATATTTTGATTATAAAGGATATCTTCGTCTGCAAGTCATTTCTAATTGTCTATATTGCATAATTCGCTATATCCACTTTATAGCTTTGTAAACGAAAAGTAATCTATCTGGTTTTGTATGCATTTGTGTATTATTTCAAAATATCTTTGTATAAATTAACTGTTAGTGATCTAAGAAAGCAATCTTGTCTGTAAGAATAGCCTAAGATAACTATCACGTCTGATATTCAAATTTTTCCAATGTGCGCAAATGAAAAAAAAGTTTCTTCCCTGATGCGACAATTTCTATGACGTAATAATCGCGATAATATCTCGACCAATCAGATGGATCGTACTATCCGCAAGTGTCTCTTGTTTCCGTGTGTGTACAGAAAGAAAACATTTCTGTGTTTGGAAATCGGTACGCGATTTTATAGATTCAACTAAAATACAAAAGCATGTTTACCAATGTTTTTTTGACGTCTAGTAAATGCTTCAAGATGCTTCCATATGGCTCGTAGGAGTGAAAGTGCCTAAAAGTCTCGAGCGAGCGAATCCAGCATGAACATATTTGCGTCGGGTGCTTGATGGCGAGTGTTGCTAGGTACAAATTTGTGCCATCTATGATCCACGAGAAGGACGATGTGTTTTTACAAGTTTTGGACGAAGACTCCATTCTCACTGGGCTCCGAAATGAGATGAGTCCGACAAAAAGAATTTCAATTTTAGAAAGCCTACGTATGTCAGTCCGTCGTAGTGGTGGACAACTTCACATTCAAGAAAGATTCAGTTTGTTCAACGCTATTAATAACATTTTGTTGGACAATGACGTTAACACACGTTTAGCGTGTTTAAATCTTGTCTGTGAGGTTATACCAGACTTCGGAAGTGCTTTAGACGAATGTATGGCATTAATTTTGCCTCAATTGGTGGTTTTTATTGCTCACAATCAAGTCTCTTTGAAGAAGTTGGCAGTACAGACCCTACATGTCTACATGAAACATTCAGAACATTTAGAGAACGTACTTAATGCTATAATCCAACATGGTCTCGAAAGCGATAATATGGACACTCAAATGGAAAGCTTGATAGCTTTACCGATACTTATTACGCCTAATTTTGCCGATGAAGACTTGTTTTCACTGACCGAGGCATTAGTTGGACGAATTGCTGGCAATTCATCCACTCATGCGAACTCGGGAACAGATACCACTTCCTTGGCAATGATATCACTAGAGCGAATAAGGAATGTGGTAGGCAAGAGGAATTTTGACATATATGTTCAAAGACTTCAACCCAGACTACAAACAGTTTTAAATAAAACCATGAAGTCAGTAGGAAGTGACAATGATAAGAGTAAATCTAGGAAAAGCAAGAGCGCTGGAGTCTCAACAGAAGATGCCAGTCATGGTGTTAATATAGACAAGACTAAGCTGAATCGAGGGCTCACCATAGCAGGCATAAGTCATGAAGCTGTTGTACATCACAAGTCTGATGCAAGATACATACCACCTGGCATTATGGGGAAATTTAAAGATACTGATTGGAGGTTAAAAGTGATTGGAATCGAGGAACTTCAAGCTTGGCTGGACAATGGTACAAATTTGGAGATACTCCTACCACACTTACAACATTTTATTTCTGTTTTAAAGGAATTAGTAAATGATTCTAACTTCAAAGTGAATCTAAGTTGTCTTCAATTATTTGGAGCAATTATAGACAAACTTGGGGCAAAAGTTGAACCAGTTCTAGAGATTTTAGTAAATGTCCTTTGCAGTAAACTTGGTGATAATAAAAATGTGATGAAACAAACAAATATGCAAGTTTTTAAGAAATTGATGCAAAATGTGTCACCAAAAAGAGTTCTTGAAGTCCTAAAAGGGAACATTAAACATAGGAACTCACGAGTACGAGAAGAAACATTGAATGTGATAATTGCATCCCTCTTGACATTTCCAAGCAACACATTTGACCTACCTCAGCTAACAAATGATATTGCACCTGCATTGTTGGACCCAAAGAGTCGTGTAAGGCATGCTGCATTAGAAGCATTTGCAGTGATTTCTCAATTGATGGGACGAAGTAATTTGCAACCATTAGTTTCCTCTGTTGATAACATTGAGTTAAACATGGGAGGTGATGGTGTCATGGCTGCTGTGCAGGCAAGATTTGCCAGACGTCAACTTCCAAAACTAAACATGGATGGATTGGTTGAATATGCAGTTCCATTACCCTCATCTGGGTCTGCCAAAGTAAATGCAAATATGTCTCCTAGGGGAGCAGATGTTGAATGGATTTTAGCAGCTGGTGTTTCATCAGATGGTCCATTGTCTGCAAGGTCTACTCCAGGTTTAAGCGATTCAGCTTCATCAAGTCCACATAGACATCTGAGTGCTGGAAAGAGTAGATTGCCTTGGGAAAATGGCAAGTCAACCAGTGACACAAATGAGGTATGCAAATAAATTATGAGTATGTATGTGTAGCTGTTTCTTTTTCCTTTTTAATGATAAATTTAATTTGTCTTTACTTGTGTGTTTAAAAAAATGATTTTGAATATGAACCTCGTATTTTGTTCATTTTTCCAACTTTATTGCGGGGTAAATGAGTTTTTATCAACATTGATCTGTGGTGTTTACAGGCATAGTCTAGTATGTACTGTTTTCCCTATGCACTGTCAATAACTACAAAAAAGAATATTGTGCCTGCAGCAAACAGAGATCACATTCAGAATATTTTATATTTTTGACAGGATCATCCTCAAAAATTAAAAAACTCCTGGGCTCTTGATGATCATCATGATATTGACTTGGGAGCAACTAAAACCAACAAAGGACCACCTCCTCATTCATCATATGCTGTAAAATACAGTAATAGGAAAGCCTCAACAAGCAGCAATCCACCAGAATCATCTAATCCAGTCACTTCCTATGCCCAGCTTCACAAGAGTAAGTCAGCCAAAAGCCAATCCTTTTCAACCAAAACTGTAAAGGGCAACAACTTGGGCCCTATTATGAATGGAACAAATGGTTACTCCTTGATATACAAGAAGGGAGGTTTGGGTAATAAAGCAATTCAAGATCATCCCAACAGTTTTGATCCTAATAATCATCCAAGGAAGCCTCTTGTGAGGAATAATTCTGTTGGAGGTAAATCACTCAGCCCTTTAAATCCTTCATCACCAAAATCACCAGCAGCCAGACGAAAAACAAACACCATGATGGGTGTGAAGAACAATGTTAGCCTCTCAGCCTCCCTTCCTGATTGGTCAGAATTATCTAATAGACAGCGAAAACTTTTGTCCTCTGTCTCATCATCAGGTATGTTAGTCATAACAATTGTGATGTGGAAATGAATTGACAATTTATGCAGTAATGTTTGTATTAAAAATATTTTTTATTTTTCAGGTATGAGTCGTGATGAAGAGCACCCCAGTTTGTCTAATCGTAAGTAACACATGTACAGTGTATAAATTGCAACATAATTTATGCACCTGTTCTATGAATTTGCTTTGTAGTAAATTGTTATTTGTTTATAACTCTAGCATATGTTGAAAGTCCAATTCAAACTAAACCAACTTTGGTGAAATCAGCTTCAAGGAAAGGTCGGGGGTTGAAGTCAATTGACCCTGTCTCCAATATGAGACTTCCAAATGCTGCCAGTCCAACCATGCATTCACCTGTTCCACTCAGAGAGGTAAGTGATATGACTTTGATTTTGAGCATTTGGGCCACATTCTCTAGATGCTATGTAGCAACTATTACCATCAAGCATGTCTTGATTATAATATGCTCTAAGGTTTGCTCTAATAGAATATTTTTTTTCCAAATTTTAGCAACAATTTGATGGTTATCAACATATGACATCAGGAGGGAGAAATCTTTCTCCTCTATCATCAGATACTGAAGATAGTCCACGAAAATATAAATCAATGATTGGCAACAAAACCTGGTCATCAGGGTATGTTTATTATGTTTAACATATCAATTATCAGTGATAAATTTCAATAAATCTCTAACTACGCCATATATTCTGCCTTCAATTTAGTTCAAGGAATAATGAAGATGATATATTACCATTTGACACTAAGCCACGTATAGCTCGGACTCCATTACACATAAAACATCAGACGTCTTCAGATGGTACAAATGTTGCTGACCAACCACATATGAGTGGTTATGCAGTCAAACAACATAATGAAATAGAAATTAAGAAGAACAATGACATGGAAATTGTTGGACATGCTTTTGATTCACCAGAAAAGAAAACTAACCAAACTATGAAATCAACCCTTGGTAGCACATCTGGCATTGGTAGTAGTTTAGAGGAGTCAGGTGAATTGAGGGCTGGATTTGAATGTCTATTGCGAGACAGAGGAGAGGATGAGGTTGAAGACTATGAGTTAGATTATGAAGATGACACAGACTCTCAAGATGATCTAGATAATTCTGATGATCAAAATTTGAAGAATGGTCAATTATTAAGAGATTATAAAAAACAAATTGTGGATACGTTGGATGATGATGATACATACAGTGATACAATGGAGGATGATGGTAGTGATGGAGAGAGCTTGGAGGACAGCGAGGGATATGAAGAATCTGATGAAGATGATGGTAAGCATCTTCAATATTGTTTTTTACATTTTCTACGTGAAAAATTACTTATGGTACAGCGTGAGATTTCTTATGTTTTTTTCCCATTATTTAGAAGACAAATCCCCCAAACGATCTTCGTCGTCCGACGAATACGATAACTCCCGAAGTGAGCGACAAAGTTTATCGAAGTCAACGCGAGAGCGCATGGAACGTAAGAGAATTGAAGAGGAACAACGAATATTGCGCGAGAGACAGAGAATTGAAGAAATACAAAATCAGTCGAAGATCGAAGCTAAAGAACAAAACTTAAGAGCAAAATTAGCGAAAGAACAACAAGAAATTGAGGATTTGATCAAACGAAAAGAGAAAGAAAAAAAATATGAACGAATGAAGCAAGAAAAATTGTTGCAGGTGAGAAGACGATCTAGTCGACAATCATTTCCCCCTAAACTCTTTTTCAACCTTTTTTAAACTGACTCTTTTATTCAACAGCAGTTTAAAAAGAAAACAGAAAATGAAGAATTTTTGAAAAGCAAAAATCAGCTGGAAGATTTGGAAGCAGCTAAGGAAGTTCACAGACAAAAGGAAAGAGCTGAGACATTAAAGAAAATACAACAGAAGAAAAATGATTTTAGAGTGAGCAATGAAGTCACAAATGAACATTTAGAAGGTATACTTTGTCTGTTTGTCATGATCGTTTCACTCTTAATCCAGAGGAAGCTAGAGTTATATCTAGTCCACATAAAGCCAGGTGAGTTCAACCTAGCTTTAAGGATCTCTTCCCCTTGTTTCGTTTTAGATTTGACGGTGCAAGGTTATCACACACCCACTGTATCCACTGGCATGACCAATAAACAGCCACCTGCAGTATCTACTAGTACAGCTGTTAATCGAACCCTGCCAGTAGTATCCAGTACATTAGTTGACAAACAAGCCCATGCAGTATCCAAAACATCAGTTGAGAAACCTGCGCCTGCTGTATCCAAAACATCAGTTGACAAACCTGCGCCTGTAGTAGCCAGTGCAGCAGTTCACAAACCGGTGGTGACCAGACCTCCCTTGTCATCACCTAAAAAGAAATCTGAGAACGCCAGTCAGTAAGTATTCCATATTCTTGATGAACCACTATATGAGGCATCTTGCGCTTGCTGACTGATAACATTATTATCGATCGTCTCTCTCTCTAGTAACCATCATGTGTCATCTCAAGCAGAAAGTGTTAGTGAATCTTCTAAACAATCTCATTCTCTTCCTGTATCATCCTCTGTGCCAATTTGGGAAGTTGCTGTTTCTGAACTCCACCCATTCTCCAACGGCGATGCTGCCATTAAAACAACGTTAAAGCTTCTGGACGACACTGAATGGTTAGTTACCATCGTAATAAACATCCATTTCTTATCATATTCATAAGAATTTTTCTTTCTCTTGCCAGGGAGGTGAAATGCGATGGATTACTGTGTGTTCGACGTTTGATACGTCATCATGTTGACGACGTCGTTCAACAACTTCACGTTCTTATATTAGCTGTTGTCGCTGAGGTAATGCCGGGATGTGTGATGAATGTGAAAGTCGACAAGGGACATATTAGAATTTGTCAGTGAATGAGAGATTATCTCTTAAAAAATTACTCTTTTCTAGGTGAAGAATCTGCGTTCTCAAGTCTCTCGAGCCGGCATTTACGTATTGGGTGATATGTTCACTTGCCTTGAGAGAAACATGGATTTGGTGAGAACCATGATTTCTTTTTTTTGGATACTTTCCAATACAAATTCACCTCAAAGGATATCATACAAGCGTGTGACTTCTCTCAGCGGTATTTTTTTATGAAAGAAACCTAAGTACCTACTTACAATTCCTAGGATCTTGAGTTGACGACAAATGCTCTGCTGAAAAAGGCAGGTGAATCAAGTAGTTTCATCCGTGGTGATGTAGAGCGTTCTCTAGGATGTATGATCTCATCCGTTTCGCCAAGTAAAGCAATATCTACCCTGGTAGCAGGCGGATCAAGGTTTGTAACTCTCACAGACTAATGTCAAGTTTTACTAAGTTCACGAGATCGTCTTATTTACACTGAGAATTTCCACAATATTCTGAAATATGAAAGTACTAAAATTATTATTCCCATTATTTTAGCCATCGCAATGTGAACGTGCGAAAAACTGCAGCAAGATTTTTGTGCTTGTTAGCTGAACGCATGGGTCCTGCGCGATGCTTGAGTGGGTCAAAGGATATCACGGAAAGAATCTTAGTGGCTGCTGCAACGTTTGCTTCCGACGGCGGAGCTGACACTAGGTAAGACTTTGGAGTGGGGGAGGCGCTAGGTAAGACTTTGAAGTGGGGGAGGCGCTAGGTACATATTGGAGGGGGGAGGCACTAGGTAAGATTTGAAGTGGGGGCAGGTCCTGGTAAGATTTGGAGTAGGGGTGGCAATAGATAAGATTTGGCACGGAATGGGGGGGAGGCACATATAAATCCGTCCGTTTGCTCGTACTTCACCTTACTTAACGTGATATGTTTAGGTATTATGGCAGATATATCTTGCACATGCTTGATGGTCATGCAGATTTTGACAAAATGTTGAAAAAGTATCTTCCATCAAAATCTCTCGAGCCTACTTTAAGCATCATAAATAATTTGAGAAGCAAAGTAAGTCTAAACAGTTAAGATAGCTCTTTCTCTTGTTCACAAAATTCTTTATGTAAATCACCTATTAACAAGCTGTTCTGCTTCTCAGGGTTTGGGCGATCCACCGAGCGATATAAGCTCGGCGCGTGCTCGTAAAGCACCGGTGACAAGCGGAGTTGGTTCGCGTGGTTCAAGTATCGTATCCACAGATGGTGGTGGAATTTCCACCAGCAATGTTGCTTCACCTGTTAGTAATACCTCAAGGTTAGTATTTTTTAGTTTTTTCTTGCATTAACGGGAAGCAATATTTCTTACCGTCGAGTCATCATAATTTTTATTATCGCACAATATATTATTTGCAAGGATATAACCCTTCCAGGGCTTCGTACCTACAATGTTAGTCGCTCTATAATTGCTTGGTATAACGGTTTACCATATATTGTAACTTATTAGAGAAAGTTCAAGGCGACGTGCAAGACGTGTTTCACATGATGCTCCGTCACCACAGGTCAGTGAGATATTAGAAAATACGAAATTCCGGGGAAAATCAACATTTCAAAGCTTTAGGTATATAGTGTTTGTACTCTCGATTTTTTTAGGATCAAGAGGATATAGGAAGGCTTGTTGAACAGCTTTCTAGTAAAGATTGGCAAGACAGAATACTGGCAATTGACTCGATGGAGGAGATTATAGAAACACGGTTATCATTGTTCACTTCAAATATTGTTAAGGTACACCATAAATTCTTTACTCATGAGAATTTTATGACATAGAAAATGAAGTTTACTTTCTTTCTAGATAATGGATGGTTTTTCCCCACGGCTTTTGGACAACAATAGCAAGGTTTGTGATCTTTAATCGTCGCTGATATATTGCCACATGTACAATAACAATAATGATTTATCAACAAATGATTACTTAAGTCTTAATGGATAACGTTTTTCGTAATTGTGAGGTTATGAAATCTGAAATGAACAAAAATTGCTTCTTAGGTGAACCTTCATGCATTACAATGCCTGGAACGTGTCATTCCAACATTACGAGATTCACTCAATAGTTGCGTCGCCTCCGTTGTACCGATTCTTGCAAAAAATCTTGCATCCAAGAACAATAATATTGGAAATATGGCGGAGAATGTTCTGAACAGTTTCATCAAACATCTTGGTAAGAATTGTGTATTTTACAGTAGGAATTCTCGCAGAAAAGAATTAGACTCCGCTACACTAAAATTAATAATTCTACTTACAACGTACGATATATGTTTTTACTTTTCATTCAATTTTATTGCTTTAGATAATGCGCGTCTTCTTCAGCCTCTTGGTCATTTCATTCTTGTTTCCCCTGGTGGAATACAAAACAGACCTTCGGCTGTAAAAAAGTTATTAAGTAAGTGTTTATATTTTCAAAGTTAAAAGATAAAATGAAAAAGATGAAATTTTTCTTATATTATTCTTATTGTTTCCAAAAGTTATTATCAAAGACGTTTATCCACGGAAACCGAACCTTGTTTTAAAACACGCTTTACCAGTGCTGTGGAAACTTCTGGAGTCCTCGAGCAGTGCTTCATATGGTAGTGGAAACATGAAGGAGAGCGTGAAGAGTCTGGCTAACTTACTGTATTCACTAATGGGGGAATCCCTGTTTGATCAGGCTCAAACGAAATCTCATAGACTACGTCAGAAGCTCAAAGAACTACTTGATCAATAAATCGTACTTTCAAAACAAGATAGCAACAGGCGACGATGTCGAAGGATGCAAGTTATGGTCTCAGCTCATCATTTTAGATTTCGTTGTTCTAGCCAGATAACTAATAGAGGGTTTATGACAAGATGACGTGATCGCCTATCGTGTTGAAAAAGTTGATTTCTTAAAGAGTTCTATATACATATATATAATATATAATTTATTAACTTATTACATAATATGTTTTTAACATTTGTACATACAAATATCTTAACAATGCGTGAACATTTTTAGACTAAAAATTCAATAAAGAATTTATGAGTGGCCACTCATTAGCTAGCTGTTTTGAACATCAATTGAATAACGTATGATGTATGGGCGTATGATGTTTAGCATAGAGAGAGACTTGGAAGTTAACAAGTCTAACGTATAAGCAACCCAATGATCCTAAACATCCACTTTGCAAGTCCCTGTGACTCGTAAACTAACTGATCATGATCGATGACTGGTATTCCCTAGAAGTTTTTGTTAATCGGGACTATAACACACATGGATTTAAGTATTTTAGGTAACGATGATTGCGTTAGTTTTTATCTACAGACATACCATTGGGTAATATTTCTGACGTAATGGTTTGTGACCAGTGTTTGGGGCAGGATAATTGGGCAGGATAACCAGTGCTCTGGACAGGGCACAGCCCCCAGGAGCTTGGGCGCTAATATGTAAAAACTAGGTGTGACGTCACGGCTAGGACGGAAGTTGAAAATATGGCGTTTTGAAATGAGACGATGCTTTCACTGTTATGACGAGTTTTCACATTAGATATTAGGATTATAACTCTTTCTACTGGTCTGAAATTAGATGGAAACTTATGGCAATATCTAGCAGCTATTACTAATGGGTTCTCAAACGCTGGAGGTCGTACGACTTGGACTGTGGGCCTCCTTAACTGGAGGATGGTTCTACGATCCTCATCAGGGTCTATTCACAAATACTGTACATTTTTATCTATGGATGTTTCTGGTATTGCTACCATTCTCTCTTTATCTGGTAAGTAATATAGCTTGCCACTTTTTACTACAGATGAATATTTGTAGATGAAAGTATATTTTTTAATATTCTTAAGTTGTGTGCTTCTAGCTGTCAAGAACAATTTAAAACAGATGGTATGACAAACAAATTATGGCTATGCTCTAACAGGAAAACTGATCAGCTTCAAATTATTGGTTGCCGTTGTCCTTTCACCTATTTTAGTTCAATGCTTAAGGATGATTTCAATGTTCCTGTGACAGATCATCACTGTCTGGCTGTATTTTCTGCTCACCCTAACAATAGCACCTCTCATTACTATTACTTGGGTAGTGATTGTACAAAAACATGAAATTGTACTTTTCCAAACCCAGAACAATTTAAATTGCTATGTGGAATGTGTACTTTTTGCTACTTATACACTCTATTTAATAAATTGTATGCCATTTATTTGCCAAGGGTACACCATCCATCTCATCAACATGGATTTGGCTTTTGTATTCTATCATTATTGGCATCCTTTTTATCTTTATCAAATTGATAAATCATCGATTACATAACATGTTTGATGGTGAGGAAATACCACAAAGAAAGATAGAAGACAAACAAAGTGAAGAACAAACAGATGAAGTTGATCAGAATGAGCACACCTTTCCAAATCAAGATGGTGTGGAAACAATTGCACTTCAAGTTTTGGCTACAACATCTGAGACAGAGAATGCAAGAACTTCTGTCAGTGAGAATAATGAGGTACTTGGAACTAGTATAGAAACAACTGAAGTTTTGCAGGTATTTCAAAGTCTGATCTGGTGGGAATTCCACTGAATTCCATGATAAATCTGTTTATGCTAATTTTTTCATCTTTAGGAAGATAAACATGATGAAAATGTCATTGATCCAGACCAGGATACAAGTAAAAGTCTCATTATTGTAGTTTTTTTCCCCTGAAATTGCATCAAGTAGTTCTCTTTTATTTCTCTAACAGAATGTAATATATTGATATGCTACACTTCACTTCTATTCAGTCATTATGTTTTCACTTTGTAGGTAATGCTGATGCTTCAGTAATAACAGAGAGTATGGTAGGTTTTAGCTAGGTTGCTGTAAATTATCCCTACAGTAACTCACATCAGACCATCAATGTTGGTTGTCATATATTCAACACATTTTTAGCAATGGTAGTTGGGAAATGAAGATTTGACAAAGTATAGAATGCCTTTCACACCAATACTCTGCCATATTAGTGGATTTTTAAAAATTATTTCTCAAGCAGCATTTCCTCATTCTTTTGTAACTTGCATTTAGTTGGAAAAGTTGAAAGTTCACAATCCAGCAGAAATACCAACAAACAGTGAAGTATATATTGTCAATATCCTAATATTCTTAATACTTATATTACAAAAATATTAAGAAAATGAATAAATATCAATGAAGCTTGCATATTTCAAGAGAGGTCTTTGTGTTAAAGTTAATAACTTTTGCTGCCATACTGTAAGTTTAAACATTTTGAAGAAGTTATTTCTTTTGCAGGCTAAAAATATTAATTTACTGAATGACAATATGAATAGTGTCAAACCAGAAATGAACGTGATTCAAAGTGAGGTCAATAATGAGGAAAATATTGATAAAGTAATTACAGCAGAGCTTTCCACAACTGGTTAGTAAGAGAAGTAATAAATGCTTTTCAAAGTTAAACTGAATATTTTATCTATTTCTGATTTCATCACAAGCTGAAAAACTGATTATAATATTGTTGACTTTGCTGGTGTTACAGATGTTAATGAAGAATCATGTGATCTCAAAAAACTAGAACTTCTGTCTGCAACAAATGATGAATCGAAAAATAACGATGATGTATCACAATCACGTGAAAGCAGTGGTGATATAGTTGAACCTGTTATGGGTGCAGGCTGTGTGGAGCTTTATGCAGAAGTTGATACAGCTTCAAACCTTCGCCTGGAAGAATCAACAAATATTGCATCTAGCAATAGTTCAGGCCTTAAAGATATCACTCGTCCTGGCACCCCTATGCCAGGACGAATATCCCGAAAGAGTTCCTTACATGACCACCAATCAGATGACATTGATGAAATCCTGAAACATGCACTAGCCTCTGGGGAACATCATCTTAGTGATACAGAATTACCAGCTGAAGAGTCAAGTTCTCGTCGAAACCGTCGTTCTCTTCCTCGTCGAACTCCTGGTATTCGACGGCGTCGCCCTCTGGAAACAAATGATATGGAAAGTTTTAGTTTGTTGATAAGTGAACCTCCAAATGAGACAAGTGTTTCACAATGTCGTGAACATCATATGGCAGAATCACATGATGATACCACTGCTGGCGCAATTCACCATTACCAAGACGAACATGGTAATCACATGCAGTCACGTTCATCTAGTTTTAACAAAGCGATTCATGATTTTATTTTGATGTTTGTTTTATGCAGGCAACATTTGTCAATACATGTTTCAAAGTTCAGGACCAACATTGGATCCCTTTCTTGATTTTGGTCAACTTGAAAGGCCTCATGTGAGAATAATGAAAGACGATTGGTAAGTGTCGCAGTTGTAACAAAGCACTTCATCTTTTCTATTTTTCATTCCTATTTTCTATCGCCAATGCAGGGAAACAAGCAGTGGATCTTCAGCAAATCCAGAATTGTTTTCTGACTTGCACACGACGTTGGAGACATGCTCAGACGTTTCAAATCCTAGTAACAAGGTCAACACAGAAAGAAAATCTCGATCAAGGCGGAAAGCCACTAGTATATTCAAGTTTCAACTTATGCCTGGGAAATATATAAAGATTGCCTTCGATCGCTTGGCATTACTTGCTCTTTTTGATAGGTACAGTACGTTGGTCAAAAGTGTTCTGTCTTTAAATGATATTGTTATCAATGACATGATCGTCTTGTAATTCAGAAACAAATACGTTTATGAAACAATACTGGCGGTTGTTCTCGCTGTGTTATCGTCAGTCCTGGGATACCGGCTACTCTTGGAAGATTTCTACACCGATTTCTGGATTTTTGTTTTCTGTTTTGTGTTGGCTGGATGTCAGTTTTCATTATTAAAGGTCCGAGAGTTTATTGTAGTCTAGCTATTTTATATCCGTCCTTCTCAATGTCAACCTAAACCTCGCTCAAATAAAATATGCATTCCTGAAATGACGTTTTAAATTAATTTCGTTTTAGAGTGTTCAACCGGATGCCTCTTCGCCAACGCACGTAAGATCTTCATTACACTCACTCACTTTTACACTCATGTTTTTTCATTCAACAGCTCCTGATGGATTTTTTGGTTTTTAGGGCTTCAATCATGTGGTACTTTTCAGCAGGCCTGTGTACTTCTGTGTATTAGCAACTGGCGTGTTAATCCTTGATAAAATATCAGACTATGATTTCCAGTGTGTATCTGTCTATACAATACCACTGTGTAGTCCACGATCCGTGGCTTATGTCAAAGATATTATGCTAGGTAATGTTTTTCTTCAAATGATTTACAGAATTATTGCAGCGTATGATAGATTTCTTGCCTTGTTTGTTGAAAATTCTTTATCCAGGAACTTATCGCAATGTATTGCAATGCTAAAATACACAATTTTTCTCTCTTATAGGTTTCATACTTTCTTTTCCAATCATCTTCCTGTTTGGTTTGCTTCCTCAAATCAATACATTCTCTATGTTCATCTTAGAGCAACTAGAGGTTCATGTTTTCGGTGGAAATGGTATGTCATAACAAAAATGTGTAGATTTCAATAATCTACTGTTAGATAATATTTCATATTTTTAATTCTTTCTGCTTTTTATCTTACAGCTAGCACAAATCTCAAAGGAGCGATTTACGCGTTTTTTAGAAGTGTCTTTGCAGTAGGATTTCTTTTTGGTTTCTGCTATGGTGCGCTAGACGAAACTGCGGTATGATATTCTGACTATTACTAAGTTTTATTACACTAAAAAATGACAGCCATTAAAGTCAACTTTTTTTCAGGATGATGTTGCTGGGCAACATATCTTATTCAGTGTTTTCAGTGGATTGTTAGTGGCGTTATCCTACCATCTTAGTCGCTCTGTCAGCGATCCTATGCCTTTTTGGTGAGTCTAAAAAATAAATAAATATACGTTTTCTTCTTTGAATAGTAACCATTTGGGCCAAAGAATGGGGGTTAGTCTTCTCTTATTTTGCCTTAATTTTCTAATAATAAAACGTTTCTTTTAATAAAGCATACAAAATTTCGTTGTAGGAAATTGGTCAAATCTTTGATGGGACCAGAGAGAGAAAGTGATGGCAATCCCGAGGAAATCTACGATCCTTTGCCATTGAAACTTCAACAGACTTTTGTAAGTTGCAAGGATGAGGCTATGTGTATTTTATTCAACTCATGGCGCTCTGCAGAAAGCCTCTGGACTGTTCTCAACCCTGTGTTAATGTTACCTGCCTTTTTTTCAGATCACCCGAGCTCACAATGATGTTATTATATGTTCCATATCTGCCGTGTTTGTCTTTGGGGTTCACGTGAGCAAAATTTTCACAGAGTTAAACGTGTGTAGATATTTTGCCATTCCTAATCATTGCTATATTTGCAGTCGCTCACTGTTTCACTCATTTCATTTTGACAATTATTTTGTTTTTAGCCATACGTCAGTTACATGTTCTACTGCATTGCTGGCGTTCTTGGGTTCATTGTTCACTATCTTATACCACAACTAAGAAAATCTTTACCATGGCTCTACTGTGCTCGACCAATACTTAGAAGCCGCGAATATCATTTGTATGAAGTGAAAGGTAAATCTAGGGTTGAGGGTTTTTCAAAATTGGTTTCCTTTATTCATCATAAATACTAAATTGCGTGCTTTTTCCGAACAACACTTCCTTTTATTTTATATAGGAGCACCTAAACTTGTTTGGTTTGAGAAATTGTACGTCTGGCTTTGTTTTATCGAAAGAAACATTGTTTATCCGTGTTTATTTCTCAGCACATTGAGTAATTACGCTGGAGATATGAGGTTAAAGTTTGGCACAGTGTAAGTCGCTTTTTCAAACGTTCACAATCCTGTCCATTTTAGTAACAAAATTTATGAGTTACGATTCTCGTATTTCTTTAGAGGTGGTTCATTATTGATCAGTATAATTGGTCTGAAGATGATTCGGAGTTCGTTTTCAGATTGCTCAAAGCAATCAATTTCGTGATCTGGACAGTTTTATTTTTGAATATGATTACAAGAAACATTCCGAGGGATTCCCTGTCGATTATTTCATCATGTCCGTACTTCTGTCAAAGGTTTGTTATTTTATACATCTATAGTGTTTGTTAATATCAACGCGATTCTTCCACAGTCACACATTATACTCAGTAAGTCAAACTCAAAATGTCTAAGTAAAAAAAAAAAGAGAAATTAGTGAATAGAAAGGAGAAATTACCGCTGTACATTTGAATAAATATTCAGTGAGACAGTTTAGTTCCTATTTTAAAGCTTTCTCACATTGAATTTATTTGTCTAGGTTTACGAACTTATGTTGAAATTAAGATTTGTGTTCAGTTATATTGCTCCCTGGCAGATTCCGTGGGGTTCTGCTTTCCATGCTTTTGCTCAGCCTTTTAGCATTCCACGTATCCTTTAAATCACGTGCCTTAATAATAATACCCTATTATCGATCTTACAATCTATAAATTGTCAACATAAATCTTGGACTGAAGTAGTTGATGAAATAATATCACAATATACAAACAACAATAGGTTAGGAATATGTTCATCATTGTGAATATTTTTCCTTCACAACCCTTTATTAGATTCAACAATGATGTTTTTTCAGTCTGTTATATCTTCTTTGATATCGGCGCCGCTGAATCCCTTTTTAGGAAGTGCTATATTTCTATGCTCTTACGTCAGGCCTGTTAAGTTCTGGGAGAAGAATTACAAGTAAGATCTTCCAAGGAGTTTGCGTCATATAAAATGCTCTGTGTTGATGACCACTTCACATTGTTTTGTTTTATATGCTGAAAAAAGAATAAATGCGTAACTTCATAGTCCTATTTTTTTTGTAGTACCAATCGAGTAGACCACACGAATACTCGTTTATCTTCGCAACTCGATCGTAATCCGGGCGCCGATGACAACAATCTAAACTCGATCTTCTACGAGCATTTGACCCGCTCTCTACAACACAGTCTGTGTGGAGATTTACTGCTGGGTCGCTGGGGGCCTGTGTCCAGTGGCGATTGTTTTGTCCTCGCCTCAGACTATCTTAATGCCCTGGTTCATATAATTGAAGTTGGAAATGGCCTGGTTACATTTCAACTTCGAGGTCTAGAGTTTAGAGGTGAGATATTTAAAATGACTTGTTTTCATGGCATTGTAGTGAACAACACATGTTTGGAAGAAATTTATGCCCTTGTTAACTTTTTTTCACAGGAACCTATTGCCAACAAAGAGAGGTTGAGGCTATAACAGAAGATGTTGAAAGTGACAAAGGTACACAGGCACAGGATATGATCCGATAAAGGATGATATTAGCATCCAATTTCAATTATGTCAGCTACCTGTATTGTTTGTCTATCATGATAGAAACGTGCTCACAAACAGTTAATAACGTTAGTGCAGCTATATCTTTAAATTTTTTGAAAGGAAGGAAATCTTCAAATTTATTCGGGTAATGTATATAAGGTTATGTCAACGTAATTAGTCGTAATAATCTTATCATAAAACAGGTTGTTGCTGTTGTGAGCCTGGACACCTGCCTGGAGTATTGTCAGTCAATGCAGCATTTGGCCAACGTTGGTTAGCTTGGCAAGTAACGTCTGTTAAATACGTGATCGAAGGTTATAGCATCAGTGACAACAGCGCTACCTCTATGCTACAAGTTTTTGATCTACGAAAGATCTTGATTACATATTATGTTAAGGTAAGATTCGCCTACCTGATGGCTATAAAGAATTAGAGAGAAATCTCCCCTTGTCTAGTAACTATATCTTGCATATTTTTAGGCAATCATATTTTACGCAGTCCGTTCAAAAAAACTGGTTCAATGGCTTACAAGTGAAGACATCTTCGCTGGGCTGACTGAATACCAGAAGAAAAATTTCGTTGAAAAAGAATCGACATTCAATCAAAATATTGATGAGGATTATGACGTACTTGCGAAAGGAATATCCAGGAATAGTTTTTACAACACGTATTCTGATTGGATAATATTCTGCGTTGGACGAAGGGATGATGTACGTCTGCATGTAGAAGATAGTTTACGCACCACAATCTATCATTGTTCCTATCCTTTGATTTAAATCAACATCTAGATCTCTTATGGTATGCGTCATCTTTTTTTTACATAGGAAATTCCTTGCGATAAAAGTTCCAATTTGATGACGTTATGTTTCGCTTTGAGTTTGCTAGGACGGCGAGCTCTTGGGACTGCGGCTCATCAACAATTATCCAGGTAAATAAAACTGAAGTTTTCAGCTAACTAAAATATTTTTCAGTCCAAAATCGCGCAGTAAATTTCATATGTTTTACAATCGTTTTCATTTAGCTTAGAATTTCTGTACGGTCTCCACGCTCTGTTCAAGGGTGACTTTCGTATCGCTGCTCAGAAAGATGAGTGGGTACTTTGTGATATGGATCTGTTGAAGAAGGTCGTAGCACCTGGAGTGCGAATGTCCCTCAAGCTTCATCAAGATCACTTTACATCTCCAGATGAATACGATGAACCTTCCATACTTTACGCTGCAATTGCGTCACACGAGGAAAACCTCGTGATCGCCCACGAAGGGGATCCAGCATGGAGGCAGGCTGTTTTGGCAAACAAAAGTTCTCTTCTTGCCCTAAGGTATCAACTAAATATGGTATAAAACGTCTTTGCTGCTGTCTACTGTAATCTGTGCTACTGTAAGGTGCTTGATTGCTGGTACCCTCGTACAGATGGACTGGTCGCTATATCCATGAAAGGCGCCTAAAGTTGAATATTTCCTTTATAGACACGTGTCGGATGATGGCATTGATGATTATAAAATTATCATGTTAAACAAGAGGTTCTTGAGTTTTCGCGTCATTAAGGTAGGCTGTTGCCTCATAAATTTGTAATGGCTTAAAAATGAGTTACGTGATGTATTTAGATATCCAAGTTCTTCTAAAAAGTACTATTCAATATTTTTATTCAAGGTAAATCGTGAATGTGTGCGTGGCTTTTGGTCAAGTCAATTACAGGAACTGATATTTCTAAGAAATCGTAATCCTGAACGAGGCTCAATACAGAATGCCAAGCAGGTCCTACGTAATATAATCAATTCATCGTGCGACCAGCCAATTGGATACCCTATTTACGTCTCACCACTGACCACATCGTATGCAGACACTAACGCTCAACTCCACTCGTTTAGTTACGGTTCGATTCAGGTGACTCGATTCGCGGCTGGGCTAAGAAAGGCATGGCATCAGCTTCGACTGCGTTGTGGCACGCTTTGCCACGCAAGTTCAGAACCTGTTGAGGAAATTGTTCAAGGGAATGTAGTCTGTGTGTCCGGGAACTTAGGATCTACACGCGGGAGAATAGACTCTAGTTTAAGCTCCCCACGCCCAGGAGTACGGCATTTAAGTACATCGACGAACAGGTCTTTAAGCGGAAGTGCGCCACAAACGGGAAGTAAGCTTTCAAGCTCGTTATCAGTAAATGCGCCAACAACTACCCAACCATCTCCGACAGGTGGTTCCCAAGAGGTCAGTCAGCAGCGATCTCGCCATAAACGATAGTTAGTTTCCAAATTCCAAATAATGTAGATAGATAGGATTAAAAACATTGTAAAATACTACGAAATTATTTTGGCTGAATCTAAGATAACTGGGTTTTAACCGAATTGTATAAAATCCCATTATCCACGTGTCAAAAAGTGTTAAATAGAAATTTATAAGTTTCAATGAAAGTTTTGTCGAACAAGAATATTTGCGTGAATACGTTACATCTCGTACAAGATAAAGTATTGAGAGCACCAAAGGTACACTGAGGTACACTCGAAGTCTCCAACATGGCGGCGGAAGAAGTTAGAAAATTATTTGTTGCCCGATTGCCCTGGACAGCTTGTAGAGGTAACGTTTCATGTCGAAATGAACATTTGTAAATTGTTAAGCATTATACTAAAGTAGTGTTACGTCTGATTTCAGTCGCATTACGCGAATACTTTAGTCGGTTTGGTGCCGTTGAACGCTCGCAAGTGTTGTTTGTAAGTATTTCATTTTATTATTGTCCTCAAATTTTTAGTAGCTTCATCAAATGATATAGCTTGTGTTCCTATATTTAAATTTGGCAGGATCAGAATACTGGAAGATCAAAACGTTTTGGTTTTGTTGTCTTCAAAGATGAAGAAAGTATTGCGAAAACAATGAAAGCTTCTATACATGAAATTCACGATACTGAGGTCAGTGAGATTTTAAATTTTGATTTAGAATTTTTTTTTGAGTTGCTATACCAAACAACATTTGAAATCTTGGGTGTACAATTTGAGTGAATAAAAGAGAATGTTCAATTACAACCTTCTTTGATCTTTAAAGTATGAAGAACTTTCAACTTTTAATTAATTAGGTCATAGGCAGCCCAAAATTACGCAGTGTGTAAGCAAAACTATTGGAAAACATCTCCTATAAAATTTTGCATGATAAACACTGATGGCGCACATGCATTCAAAGGGGAATGAAGCAAGTTTTGTAGGCGATTTTATGTTTCCAATAGTTTTGCTTACACACCGACACCGCGTAGTTTTGAGCCGCCTATGATTAGGTATGAAGGCATTTTGTATTCCTTCATTATTACTTTTTGAGAGGACAGGTGACCAGCCGAAATATTTCTCTTGCCTGAAGATCCTTCCTTCATAACTATATGATACTACAATACTATACAACACTATACCCTACTATATCACATTATTATTTGCATTACCATATCATACACTATTGTATCACATTATACCCTACTATACCACATTATTATGCATTACCATATCATACACTATTATATCACATTATACCCTACTATACCACATTATACCCTACTATACCACATTACACTCTTGTGAATTACCATAACCTTTGCCTTCATAGCAGCATTTAATTTAGTCTCTATTGTTAGAGTTCACACTTGCTCGTTTAAGATCAATGCTTGCTTATGTCTTGTCAAAAAGTGTTAGGCAGCTCAGATTTTGAGGCTTATATAAGTTTTCCTACCTGGGTGATATGTTGGGCGTAAAATTTAAATTAATTTTATATCAATCATAAAATTATTTGTATATCATTGATATTATTCCTATTTCTTCATTATGCGTGACAACTGTGCTGTGAAACATATTTCTTTTCTTTAGATATTTGTTCAGCCACACAAACCTCCAAAAAGAAAGGATCATACAATCACAAACAGACCCATTGGACATGATGATTGATAGGGAACAAAAATAAAGTCAGTTATAAAATACTCAATTTTCATCTAAACAATTAGAATCAGGACCAAAGGATTAGAATCAAGCCTTGTGGTTGCCCTATCAGTTTAATGGACCTTTTACATAATAGACCAACTTACGATCGAGGTAACAAGAAGGTAATAGATCACCACAGGTAAAAAGAGCATACTGAAATGAGTATAATTGCCAAGTTTGGCCACAAATTGTTAAGTATTACGGAAAATATAGCCAGGCAAAGTAGCCAATTTTGTATACTTTTTTACTATGGCCGGAAGGGTTTAACTAATTTAGTTACACACTTCTGGCCGTAGTAAAAAAGTATACAAAATTGCCAAATACGCATTGCTATATTTTCTGTAGTTTACAATGTTTTGCCGCCAAACTTGGTAATTTTACTAAATTTAGTATGCACTTTTTGGAAAATTCCTTTTTGTTGCCGAAATCAAAAGTTGGTCTATTATGCCTTTTGCATTTTCCATCACATGTGTACATGTCAAAATACTTTATTTTCATTAATAACGAATGCTTTAGCGCATTTCGAAATTTTTGTTTATAAGTAAGGGAGTGGAAGTGGAAGGTATTGGAAGGTATTTGCTTACCCGTTTCTGTTCTCGTCTTTTTAAAAAATCCTTGCAAATACTTGCAGTAGAGCGGGGGGGATTGTCCTTGACAATATTCAATAACCTATATCGCGTGTCCTAATCGTCGGACACATTTTGGTGTTGAATGAAAAAGCGATGAAATCGTTGTGCTCACATGATGATGGATTATGTCTAAGAAACTAAAACGTGGCGCATTGTTTAAGGATATCATACAGATCGTGACGGCGTAGGGACTGCTTGACGGGAGACAAGTTTTGTGATTTAATTCTGTTTCATCATGACAAACTCGAGCGATGTGTTAGACCATGAATCAAGCGCTGATAGAATTGTCGTCGGGCTTCTCTGTGTCATTGGAATATTTCTAAACACAGCAACATTAATAGTTATGGTAAAAAATTTTACAAGAATATTCGGCAGGGCGGAATCTTGCTTCGTGACGAATCTTTGTGTTGCTGATTTAGCGACATGTGTCAGTGGATTGCTTTGGACGATCTTTCCAATTTCAAAGTATCCTAGTTCCCTAGTTATTGTATTACATTGCTTACAATGGGCTACAGTATCTGCATCTTTTCTCACGCTATCGTGTATGGCTATAGAAAGGTTGTTGGTTGTTGTGAATCCTATTAAAGCGCGGCGTATGCTAAAGAGGCCGTTCGTGTCGGTTTGCTGCGCAGTTGTATGGGTTATCTCAATTGTACCAGCGTCAATGATTGCGGTGAATGCACAGATAGCGCAATGCATCATGGTAGTAATGTTCGAATCATGTTTGATCATAACCATAGGATGTTATATTCGGGTTTACTTCATCGTTAAAAAACTCAACCGTGAGGGTTTCCACACTACCGCGCGTTATAATGTAAAGGATTCGAAGCTAAAAGTCGAAGAAAGTGAACCGGCGCTTCATCACCGAGTAGCTGTACGCCAAGAATCACGCATTACAAATTTGGTTTTTCTGCTGGTCGTTATTTTGGCTGTCACGGTTCTACCTTATATGGTACTGTTACAAGTTGTGATCGCTCATAGCTTATCTTGCCATTTGAGTAAATGCCCTTGGAGTTCGAGCATGGAAATTGCCCTTGATATTCTGTTCCCGATCGAGATGTTGAATTTCGTCATAAATCCCGTCATCTATGCCTGGCGTTTGGCCAAATTTCGACAAGCATCGAAAAGGTCATTCAAACAGTTTATTTGTTGCAAAAAGCTGAGTGTGGATTCCGACGGTATGAGAAGAGATGACTGTTCTTACTCTAATTCATCTGACTCAATGGCCAATAGCCCAGCGACTATTTTTACAGGCGGAAACCCGAGAAGTGAGATGCTCAATAATAACAGACACTCGTGAATTCTCCTATTTGTTACAGGAAGAGAAAAAAATGACCAAGTCTGCCCAAATATTTTACGACTAATTTAATTTAGCATAAAATGTAGATTTGACCATGGACAATGAAGAAGGTCTTCTGGATTGTCTATGATTTGACTTACTAGTAAATTATGATGTCCTGTCCTGTTACTCAATTACATAATTTGTCAATTGCCTAAACACTTTTCTCCTCTCGTGCGTATCCCAACGAATAGGTATTTGGAAAAAATAAGAACAAACTGACAATAGCATTTTTTATAACACAAGTACCATGTTTCAGTGATGTTCCTTGCAAATATCTTACAAGGGCAGCATTCACTTGCATATTTTTTTTCCACTCTTGGTTTTCCACTCTCACAATTCCACTCTTGGTTTCTGTTTCAAAAGAAGTCCTGACAATTCAAGAAGCTTCGCACATTCTTTTTACTATTTCCAACGGATTCATTCCTTTTAAGACGTCACTGAACTCGTTCTCATTTTCTTGGTCCAGATTCGGTTCCTCTCCTAATATAAATGATGAAATTATCGGACGACGACACATTGGGCACTTGTTCATTTTATTAAAACAGAGAGAACATAAACATGCATGGCCACATGGTATGAAAGCCCGCGATATGGGCAACATCTGACAAACAATGCATAAACTGTTGTTCTGTGTACTTTGCTCATGATTGCTTGAACCTTCCAGAAATAATTTCTGCAAAAAAAAAACAATGCAAGAGAAATGATGTATCATACATTTTAGGTTAACTTTCAGAACGATCCTTATCAACTACTCATTATTCATTGTCTGACTAATAGACTCACTAAGTAATCGCCACAACATTCTCTTTGATATATGATACCTGTAATTTGAATATCTTGCCATTGTAAGTTTGAATGTACTGTTGAATGATAGATGTTTTAAAGTTTCCATTTTGTCTTTCCAATTGAATACCAGCCAGCATAGCTGTCTACAGGGATGAAATTATTGTGATTATTGCCCAATACTATGAAATTTTTATTTGCACCATGAATATGTGAGATCACTTAGTCAAATCACATACAATGCAAGATTCTGATTCTATCATTGCCTTGTGTTCATCAGTCAACTCCATGGCAACTACCAGATCATACACTTGTATCTCATTGTTTGTCAGGTCAGGCTCAATTGAGTCTAGATCTGTGACATTGTAAGATACTTTTTTCCCAGAACATATGTCAGTACTAATGTATTTCATCAAGGAAAATGACGAATGAATCTCCATAAATTCATTTTCATGCTAACTTTGATGTGAACTAAGTGTTAAAAGATACAAATCTTTGCCAATCACTGCTTTGCAATTTTTCTCCAGTTTCAACTTCCAATTGGTAAATTTATCAGTTTCTTCACTTTTTCCATCACTAGAATCCCTATAATTCAGTGGGAAAATATTCACTAATAGGTTAGTTATATGCAAACCTTTATTTTACATTAAACCAACCTTACTGAGTGAGGTGGATTTTAAAGAAATTGTTAGTGAAGTGAATAATTTGAATGAGCTAGATTTTTAAAAACACAGATGCTGAATAACTTTTCTTTCCATTATCATGCATCTTTTAACTATACCTTCAAAAAATCTGGAAATGAACAATGTCATCATAAATACCTAAAACAAACTATTTGGTCCAAACATTGCTTTTCTACCTTCCAGAAGCACCAGACATAGCATGGATGTGTGCAGCTAAGCAACATATCAACACAACCTTATAAAAGTTGAAGAGAACATTTATCGTAATTATTAGCCAGAAGTTTAACACATTCGCGGATCTAGGGGTGTGCAGAATAAATTACTACAGCTTATAATCGAAATCGCATTGGCAGATTTTAATGTAAAAATATTCTTTTCAAATCTATAACCAATAGCGTTGTTATTAAGCTGTCTTGAATTTAAAACTGTGTAATTTATTCTGCATGCACACCCCTAGATCCGCCACTGGTTTAACAGTAACATTAATTTGTGTGGAGAGGTCTTGTTTTTGGTAAGTTTGGTAAGGGCAGTTTAAGGTCTTCCAATTACTGCAATGCCATGCATCAATGCTTTCCCTTAGCTTTCAAGCATGCAATGCATGATGGTAGTTGAAAATACAAAATTGCTTCAAAGCAGGCGATATCACAACTCAAATTGACCTTGATAATTAACTACCGTCACGCATTGCGAGCTTGAAAGCTAAAAGGGGAAAGGTCTATTATGCAATTTGCCAATTGTCATTACAGTGAAGATTTTGAGTGAAAAGCAGAAGCAAAAAGTCAGAGATTGGTAAAAGATCTGCCTGATTTATAAGCCATTTTGTAGTTGATCACTTTTTTGATACACATTTGTTTGTAGAGGTAACTTTTTTTAGAGAAGTCCCTAGAAGTATATTTTAAAAAATATATAAATTTTACCTATTAAGGGGAGTGAAGATGCAGTTATTTTAAATGGATTACAAACTTCGACCATTGGTTGTGGTTTCGGCCTTTTATGTGTTACAGCCGTTTGGGTTTCTATAATTCCAAGTCGTCTTATAAACCAAAAGAGAAATGTAAAACCGATAGAAACCAGTAAGGCAGCACATATTGTTAAACAATCCGCCATCTTGAAATTTTCGTTTTCGTGGCGCTCGCGCGCGTCTGAATTTTCTGCGCGAACACACGCAAGCATTGTGGCGATTACGCAATCCTGGTGTGTGCAGGAACTTTTTCATGGGGGTACAAAGCTCCTGCACACACCAGGATTGCGTAGAATCATAGTCACTCTAGGGGTCCCCCTAGAGTGACTATGGTAGAATTAGAGTTCACTGAGAATGACGCGTGCGCTTCTGAAAAATTTCAGACGCGAAAACATTAGCAAAATCCAAAGAGTGAGACTTCTGGTATAATGTCTATTCTGTGTATTAAACCAATCTCTCAGCACTATGTCTTAATCTCTATGTCTCAACCATCAGTGGTCTCAACCAACGTAAAATCCAGCTGTCCAGTGTATATCGAGGTCATTGGGCTTCACTGACCTATAAATGAGGGGTGGCCAGTGGTGAGAGGCAGTCATGGGGAAAGGGAGGCTATTTCAGATCCGCCTGAGCACCAATTATTGCAAGGTTTATCAAGGTTTTGCTTAAATTTGTTCTGTTTTAGGTTGCATGCAAACACTACCAAACAGTGAAATAAAGATATGAAACATTATCCCACTCAAAAATAGGTTATAGTCCAGATGAAGAATCGAATTCACTGGTCCATAATAAATACAGGTCAGTGGTCTATTGCATTGTCGGCAATGTGGTGTGACCAAATTAGCCAATCACCTGCAAGTTTTTTGGCAGATTGAGTGATTGACAGTCAGTTTTCAAGACCGTGTGGACGATCCGGTGGCCAGGAAATTCGCTCTTCGTTGCAAAAGAAACAGGTGTGTGTATATCTCTGAATACTCTGCATAAAAAGAACGCAGATATTATTCAACAATGTTTCAAAAATTTAAATAGTTATTAAACACTTTTTTGTCTTTTACTGTTTCATTTTAGGCCGAAATCCGTGACGAAAGCTAGATTCAATGGTCGTGAATTGTACAGTATGTGTTAAATAGTCTCTTATCTGTTAGTTATTGAAGTAAAACGTTTATCAGCCAAGCTAGAATGGTTCTGTCTTCAGTATTCGTATCAATAAGTGTCAATTAGTGCAGAAAATTAAGTCCAATTTTCAGCGTGTTTAAGCCGCTGCTAGGCGCTGCCGCGTTTAGAGCATATTGCTTTGATTTTTTAGGTTTCCTTTGTTGTAAGCAAAGCTAGAATAGCTTCAGCATAGTATTCGTAACGATTTCTACTAATTTGAAGAATTAGGTTCAAATTTTCAGCGTTTCTAGCGAGTTTCCGTGCGGTTTGCAACGCCGGTGTTTTCAACTTTGTAGTCGCCGCCGCCGTTCAACTTTTAGATCATATTGTTTAGTTTTTAAAGCTTTCATATATTGTAAGCAAAGATAAAGTAGTTCTGTCTGAGGATTCGTATAAATTTGCAGAAGAATTACGTCCAAATTTTCAGCGTTTCTAGCGAGTTTCCATGCATGCATGTGCGTGTTTGCAACGCCGGTGTCTTTTTTAACTGTTGTAGTTGCCGCCGTTTAACTTTTAGTTTTAGAGCATATTGTTTAGTTTTTCAAGCTTTCTTAAAGTGTAAGCAAAGATAAAGTAGTTCTGCCTGAGTATTCGTACCAATTTGCAGAAGAATTAGGTCCAAATTTTCAGCGTTTCTAGCGAATTTATACTTGTGCGTGTTTTTGCGACGCCGGTGCTGGTGTTCTTTTTTAAACTGTTGTAGACTTAGAGCATATTGTTTAGTTTTTCAAGCTTTCTTATATTGTAAGCAAAGATAAAGTTGTTCTGTCTGAGTATTCGTATAAATTCGTAGAAGAATTAGGTCGACATTTTCAGCGTTTTTAGCGAGTTGGCCATGCGTGTTTGCAACGCCGGTGTTTTTCAACTTTGTGGTCGCTGCCGTTCAACTTTTAGGACATTTTGTTTAGTTTTTAAAGCTTTCTTATATTGTAAGCAAAGATAAATTAGTTCTGTCTGAGTATTCGTATAAATTTGCAGAAGAATTATAGGTCCAAATTTTCAGCGTTTCTAGCGAGTTTCCGTGCGTGTTTGCAACGCTGGTGTTTTTCAACTTTGTAGTCGCTGCCGTTCAACTTTTAGATCATATTGTTTAGTTTTTAAAGCTTTCATATATTGTAAGCAAAGATAAAGTAGTTCTGTCTGAGAATTCGTATAAATTTGCAGAAAAATTACGTCCAAATTTTCAGTGTTTCTAGCGAGTTTTCAATTTTTGGATTGCATGCAGCTCAGATCCCAACCCTTGGTTATATCTTGCATGTTTTGTCAGGAGTAATGAGTAAGTATAAGTGATCAGGGGCCCGGGTCATTTATACTTTCTGTATGCTCGACTGACCTAGTCAGGCATAGGCAAAATATTGCTCTTGGAGCACACAAAAAAAGAGATGCATGTTGAGATATGGTCTTAAAAAGGGGTTATAATGGTCGAGTGTTAAATGTCTGTCCCATTTTTGAATGAATGCATGTGTTAAATCTTGCTAAATTTGCATGTAATTTCGAAAATGCATGAAAATTTTGTATTTGCATGTACAATGAGCATCCTGGTGAAGATGATGTTGGTGGAGCTCATGCAGGTAACATACCATAGGTGAGCTTGTTTCATATCATTTCAGATGTTAAGAAATGAATCATTTCAGATGATGATGGACCAGCCGACGATGACAGATGATGATGGACCACCCGATGACGATGACCAGCAGACGATGACAGATGACCAGCAGATGATGATGGACTGCCCAAAGACAGAAGATTATGGACTGAAGACTAGCTTGATGGGTGGTATTCAGTTTTCTTGCATTCTATCCTATGCATGCTTGTTTTCCTGGTGGTCTGCACTGAATGTGTAATACATTAAGTGAAATTCCTATTTCCCATTTTGACATTGATGATAAATAAAAATTCCGGATTGCATGCAGAACAATTAAATTAATGTATACAGCATGTTTGATTCTTTGAAAATGCATGTTCCTGTTTTATCACTTAATGTGTAATGCAATTGGTGAAATTAATGCATGACATTACTGAAGTATCCAACGGTGCGGATAAAAATGATGAAGCATGAACTCAACTTGAAGAATGGAATTCTTACAAAGGTAACTGTGAACAAGAACCAGGTATGCATATGATTGTATTTGTTTGTTGGCACATAAGGCATTGGCATAAAAAATTTGCAACAAAATATTACAGTAATGCGCCACAAGATTGATTTCTGTAAGTGCATGTGCGAATGAAAATAGCCAAAATAATAGCATGAATTATAGGTGGTTGATGTATTTTAACAGGTATGAGATCCAAAATTAGCTGTGAAATATTCCAGTTATGCATGCCACAATTTAACATAAAGTACATTGTTCTAATTAGGGAAATTGACTTTCCAAGTGCATGTGACAGTAAAAATAATTCCCAGAATAATAGCATGATTATAGACGACCGTATTTAATTCTTACATGTATAAGATGAAAAATTAGGTGTAAAAATATTTTGTTTATGCATGAGAACAAATGCTGCACCCGATCAAGACGTCCTTGTATCTCAAGAACAAATCTTTTCAGTCAACTAATCCTTGATGGGAATGTTTTGGAGATCTTAATGCGATACAGAGAAGATGTTTTGGTGTTGAACAATGTCAGGAACAATGAAAACTTTCGCCATGCTGCATATAGACAGTATGTTCTATGGCAACATGGTAGATTAGGAAGAGGAAATAGGAGAGTAGTACCAAGCTGTTGTGTGGTTGCTATTCGTAACCGTTATCCTTCACCTAATGGACAGTACAGGGGATATTTGCCTGCACGTGTTTAGATAATTTAGCACTTAAAGTATAAATGGTGCCCCCAAAAAGTAGACCAAAATAAACCACAATCTGATGTGATCCTCTTTATAAAAACCTTCTCAATCAGTTCAGGAATGTAACTAAATTCTTTTGGTACAAGAACACGAACACGGCACCACTGTTGTGTACGCTTACTGAACTTCCGACCGTACCTAATAAAAAAAACAACTTTACAATTCCATACAATATGAGTACCATTACACTATAAGAATGCACAGGACCTGAAAAGTTGTTCACACTTAGGATGGGAACACTAAGGCAAAAATTTCAATACCAGTACCTTTCTTTCCCATCAGCTGTAGTTGCTGGTGCCGGCCTCTGTGGTGGTTAAAGTCCAAGGCAGCAAGCTGGTTTCTAGCTTGGTATACTGAGTATCTGAAGATACAACAAACATCAACATTCTTTTATTAACAATGCTTCCTTGCATGGAAATCAACCATGATAGGAGTTTCATTAGCTGTTACCTTTGTAATAATATGTCATATACTTACGGATAGGCATGGCGCTTTGGAGCATACATCAAAATTACATTATGAAAGGACTCTAAAAATCCTGTGTGCCTAAAAAATATTTCAAACTTTGAGATGATATAACTTATCTGAAATTTTCAAATATCCAATCTCATTTGTTACCTGAAGTTAACATAATACACCAAAGTGTTTAAAAAGCGAGTGTCCAGAATGATCTTTGCCCGTGCTTTTGGCAGAGCTCTTTCTTAAGCCATGGCTTCTTTCTCTCACTTTCATTAAGAGGATCATGTTCACATTTTCCACCATTTACACCTTCCTCCAACACCCACTCATGCTCATCAACAACATGGTGTAAAATACCAATCCACTTATCCTATTAAAAAAATATAAAAAATACAACATAAAGTGACTACATATTAACACATGTATGTACAGTTTGCACAAACTAGATAAGTATTGCTGCAAAAACCAGTAGTACTTCAATGTGAATCTTACTTTGAGATTTTTTGAGTCATTAGCACATGTTTTTGAACAATACCAAAAATGGTTCCTTATTGATGGTGCCCACAAGGTCAAATCTGCATTGTCTTTAGATTTAGCAGCCTAAAGAATAAAATCAATTCTAAATAAAGAAAGTTTTTTAACTAATTGCTGGTTGATATCTTCAACACTTACAGTAGTGATTTTCCTTGCAATGTTCTTTGCTCCATGCCACACATCATTCTGATGTGTGACCTCCTTATATTTCTCTTCCCTTTCTAAAAAATGCAATAATGCTTAATTAATAAACAAATGCATGTTGTAAATATTCCCTCACTGTCTTTTAAAGGGTAAACACAATTAATTATATAACATTGTAATCAATCTGCAAATGAAGTTGTTAAATTATTGAAAGTCTGACAATATTGATTATAACAGGTTGAACTATTAGAGTTTCAGGAATTGCCATATTGTTATAATGTAGACTTACTCATCAATGCAGCAATTTCAATATGACCATCAGTTACCACCTCCTTCATAACTATTGGTGGTGCAAGCAGTGTGTCCATCTTTTTTTCAAACCCAATCCTCTCCATATTATTGCTCTTACCAGCAGCTTCTCTCACATCAACCACATTCATTTGCAGTATGGCACGATCATTGGTATCAGCCAAGCTGTAAGTACAATATTGTGCACTATGGCCAGGCGAGTCATTCCTTCCATCACCACTCAATATAACCTGGTCCTCTTTGTTCTCTCTTTCTTTCCAACATTTCTGTTTGTGTTCTTTCCAGTAGTCATTAATGGCAGGGATGATGTACAACTTCTGATACTGATTGAATAATATTGATGAGAAATACTGAGAATATACAACACAAAGCAGAAGCAAGCACAAGGTTGCCTGCTCTAATCTTGTTGCAAGAGGGTTGAGCTGCCCATCTGCCTCCAACATGACCAGACCTACACCCCAGGATACGACCAGGCATGTTCCAACATATGTTTTCTTATAGCTCAACACACGGCCACATCCTTGTCGTTTACAAACACTCCCATGTAATGATGTTATCAAAGCTATAAGAGTGTCTGTAAACACAATACACTTTTCCTTCTTGATTGCATCTTCAGGACTGACTTCTTCCACAGTAGAGATGTATTCTGGTTGAGTCGTCTTATGTTGCTGCTGTTGTTGTTGTTGGGTTCCAACATCTTCTGTGGGCTCATCTCCATCATGTCCACGGATTGTCACATTGAGCAAGTCATCCAGTAATGGCACGTCAAAACCCGGGGGACATACACTACAGTAAAATGGCAGTAAGAGATATTATTGGACGAAATATTTTATGCCATATTCAGTGATATTAATGTGTATATTTATGTTTTAAATCAATAAGCATTACAGTAGGAATGTCACAAAGATTATTATTGAGGTTTTGCATCATCACTTACTCAAGAGAATAGTCCGACAAAACCTGGTCTGCCTGGATAGTGTGTTCACCAAAATTGCATTATCATCATCACTTTTATCATCAGAACTATCATCTTTGGCTGTCAATGTTCGACTGTCAGAAATCACACTCTGACCCGACCTGAGATATAAACACATATTGCGTATTTAAAAAGTAATACTCTCTGCGCGAAACTTTGCATGTATGGGTTTCAAATTATAAACTCAGTAATCACAATAAGTTTCAAATTACCTGATAGAATATGATGTTCTAACATCCGACAAAGCAGACAATCGACGCGGATTGAGTGCGCTTGGCGTTGAGGTTTTAACTATAAAATTTCATACAAATGTTTTATGCGAATATTTTAAAAAATAATAAATGTTTACGTTTTGGAGCAGCACTTTAAAACATATGTTCTTACTGGGAGAAGAAAATATTTGGAAGGTGTACCTGGCGGCATATCCGTTGATTCCATTACCGTTTCGGTTTGCGTCTCTGCATTGCTAAAGTGAGTTCAACACATACATAAAAAGCAAATCAAGTAAACAAATAACACACAAAAAAGATCAGAGGTTTTATCATTTTATACTTACCAAACTATACGATTCATCGCAAGATAGCTGTCAAGAAGCATATCCGCCACATCCTTGTCTGTTCTCAATTTATGCTGCTCCTTAAACGCTCTCCATCGAGGGAAAGAACCCAACAAATACTTTAGGGCATCTCTACTAGCATATTCTTTTCTACTCGACGACATGACTCAGTGCTCTTGAAAGATTGAGAATTTCTTTCTTAAATTGTCGGCTGGTCATGGTTTTTAGACTGAACAATCCGGGGGATTATCAACTTCGGGTGGAGTCCCCAGGCTGGCGCACGCGCAGAAGCCGTGTCTTTAAAACAGGCAAAAAAAATAAGAAATTTCAACCGCTCTTCACCGCAATTTCGGGTAGTTACTTTATGTGACCCCTATTATAATGTATCACATATTATAGTGTATCACATACCTTAGTCCTCCTCAGTCTCCCTCAGCCATCCTTAGCCCTCCTTAGACATCCTTAGCCCTCCTTTGGCCTCCTTACACCACCTTAGCCCTCCTTAGGCCTCCTTAGCCCTCCTTAGCCCACCTTAGACCTCCTTAGCCATCCTTAGCCCTCCTTAGACATCCTTAGCCATCCTTAGCCCTCCTTTGGCCTCCTTACACCACCTTAACACTCCTTAGCACTCCTTAGCCCTCCTTAGCCCTCCTTAGCCTCCTTAGCCCTCTTACTCCACCTCCTAGCCCCTTAGCCATCCTTAGCCCTCCTTAGCCCTCCTTAGGCCTCCTTACACCACCTTAGCACACCTTAGCACCCTTAGCCCTCCTTAGCCCTCCTTAGGCCTCCTTAGCCCTCCTTAGCCCACCTTAGACCTCCTTAGCCCTCCTTAGCCCTCCTTAGACATCCTTAGCCCTCCTTAGCCCTCCTTTGGCCTCCTTACACCACCTTAGCACTCCTTAGCCCTCCTTAGGCCTCCTTAGCCCTCCTTAGACCTCCTTAGGCCTCCTTAGCCCTCCTTAGCCCTTCTTAGGCCTCCTTAGCCCTCCTTAGCCCACCTTAGACCTCCTTAGCCCTCCTTAGCCCTCCTTAGACATCCTTAGCCCTCCTTAGCCCTCCTTAGGCCTCCTTAGCCTCCTTAGCCCTCCTTAGCCTCCTTAGCCCACCTTAGCCCTCCTTAGACATCCTTAGCCCTCCTTTGGCCTCCTTACACCACCTTAGCCCTCCTTAGCCCCCTTAGCCTCCTTAGCCCTCCTTAGCCCTCCTTAGCCCACCTTAGACCTCCTTAGCCATCCTTAGCCCTCCTTAGACATCCTTAGCCCTCCTTAGCCTCCTTAGCCCTCCTTAGCCCACCTTAGACCTCCTTAGCCTCCTTAGCCCTCCTTAGACTCCTTAGCCCTCCTTAGCCCTCCTTAGGCCTCCTTAGCCCTCCTTAGCCCACCTTAGACCCTCCTTAGCCATCCTTAGCCCCTTAGCCCTCCTTAGACATCCTTAGCCCTCCTTAGCCCTCTTAGCCTCCTTAGACCACCTTAGCCTCCTTAGCCCTCCTTAGCCCTCCTTAGCCCTCCTTAGACCTCCTTAGGCCTCCTTAGCCCTCCTTAGCCTCTTAGCCTCCTTAGCCCTCCTTAGCCCACCTTAGGCCTCCTTAGCCCTCCTTAGCCCTCCTTAGACATCCTTAGCTCTCCTTAGCCCTCCTTAGGCCTCCTTAGGCCTCCTTAGCCCTTCTTTGGCCTCCTTAGCCCACCTTAGCCCTCCTTAGACCACCTTAGCCTTCCTTAGGCCTCCTTAGCCATCCTTAGCCATCCTTAGCCCTCCTTAGCCCTCCTTAGCCCTCCTTAGACCACCTTAGCCCTCCTTAGACCACCTTAGCCCTCCTTAGCCCTCCTTAGCCCTCCTTAGACATCCTTAGCTCTCCTTAGCCCTCCTTAGGCCTCCTTAGGCCTCCTTAGCCCTTCTTTGGCCTCCTTAGCCCACCTTAGCCCTCCTTAGACCACCTTAGCCCTCCTTAGGCCTCCTTAGCCATCCTTAGCCATCCTTAGCCCTCCTTAGGCCTCCTTAGCCCTCCTTAGACCACCTTAGCCCTCCTTAGACCACCTTAGCCCTCCTTAGCCCTCCTTAGCCCTCCTTAGACATCCTTAGCCCTCCTTAGGCCTCCTTACCCCTCCTTAGCTTACCTTAGACTTCCTCAGCCCACCTTAGACCTCCTTAGCCCTCCTTAGCCCTCCTTAGACCTCCTTAAACCTCCTTAGACCGCCTTAGCCCTCCTTAGCCCACCTTAGACTTCCTTAGCCCTCCTTAGCTTTCCTTTGACCGCCTTAGCCTACCTTAGACCTCCTTAGCCGTCTATACATCTTCTTATTTCTTTCCAAAAATATATCACATTACACGGAAAATACATAACATACCTTTTAAAGTGCTACCGCAACGAAATTTTTGACCCCATTTTTATTGGCTCAATTTAAAGTTCTCACTTTCCTGATTTCATTTTTGAAAACATAATCAAAATTGGCTTTCTCAAAAGATTTTTATAGCTTTCCAAAGTCGCGATTTTTGCCACTTAGACATGCGAACTTTTGCTCCGCCATAATGTAGTTTGTGACGTAGAAAAGAGTACCGATTCTTAGCATGGCGTAAAAATACTAGTGTTAAGTAGCCTCATCGACGAAGAAGCTGCGTTTCTTACAGTCCCTACTAAGCCAGTATTCATCAAAATTATTAAATATCTATACATATGTTCCTAACGAAAAAATGGATCGCCAAAGTCGAAGAAAATATTGAATTTTGTTCCGACTTTCTGTTTCATGGTGCGGTTCTTTGCGCGGCTAAGTCGATTTCAAAGATTCGTATATGACTCTTGTTTAGCAAGATCCCTTAAATAAAAGAGCATCGAAAGAAGATTCTGTGCATACATTTGATGTCTGAACTGATCGTAGCACAAGTTGAAAGCTAACTGATATATAGGCAAAGGCTGATTTTACCATCAATGCGGAGATACTTTGCGCGCACATGCATTCATGCTGAATAAAGCTGATGTTGGCCTTGGTGTCTTAATGTGCACGGCGAGTGCCGTTTCATAAGACATTGAAGTTCAATTTAAATCAGCAAGGATGGTGTTTCTTGAGTATTTATGCATGTAGATAAAAGGACCTGTGTTAGTGTGTGTTTCAGTTTGATATATTTCGATACGCGCTATTGCAAAACAGTGGCAATGTGGCATTTACAATAGCCAGTATATTACTGTTTATGGTTTGCGGGAATATATCGCATAGCATACACCAATATTATCAGTAACAAGGACATCATATCATTGCCTTCGTCTTGTTTTACTGAAAGGCTAAGCAGTTTTTTAAGTTCTTCAAGATCGTCTTACGTAGGACTTTGTGGCATAAAGGACTATGCGGCACAAGATATACATGCTTATATATGGCATATATTACTACATTATATCTCTGTCACACGGGCTAAGACTAGTTTGAATTTTCTAACAAATCGGCGTATATTTTCAGACCCTTTACCAGGCATTTCTTCAATATATGTTAGTTAACAGAATTAACTTCCATTTCAAAATAAAATGATTTGGTTCTCCGCGTCAAGCTCGAAAATTTGAAGCGGACAACACACAAGCTATATATATTACCATAAGCTTCGAAATATCGGTACTCGTTATGACGTCACATCAGCAAACATGGCGGCTATAAAAGTTCGCATTTGATACCGAGGTTTGAGGGTAAAATTAGTCAACTTCTACTTAACACACAAAAGTCATATATACATCAAATTGTTTCTAAAAGGCTGAATATTTGTTTAGGCTAATAAAAATCGGGTCGAAAATTTCGTTGCAGTAGCACTTTAAGGAGGTCTAAGGTAGGCTAAGGAAGGCTAAGGAGAGCTAAGGATGTCTAAGGATGTCTAAGGAGGGCTAAGGTGGGCTAAGGAGGGCTAAGGAGGCCTAAGGAGAGCTAAGGATGTCTAAGGAGGGCTAAGGTAGTCTAAGGAGGGCTAAGGAGGGCTAAGGAGGGCTAAGGAGGGCTAAGGATGTCTAAGGAGGGCTAAGGTGGTCTAAGGAGGCCAAAGGAGGGCTAAGGAGGGCTAAGGAGGCCTAAGGAGGGCTAAGGAGAGCTAAGGAGGGCTAAGGAAGCCTAAGGAGGGCTAAGGAGAGCTAAGGATGTCTAAGGAGGCCTAAGGAGGCCTAAGGAGGGCTAAGGAGAGCTAAGGATGTCTAAGGAGGGCTAAGGAGGGCTAAGGAGGCCTAAGGAGGGCTAAGGAGGCCCAAGGAGGGCTAAGGTGGGCTAAGGAGGCCAAAGTGCTAAGGAGGGCTAAGGAGGCCTAAGGAGGGCTAAGGGAGCTAAGGAGTCTAAGGAGGGCTAAGGAGGGCTAAGGAGGGCTAAGGAGGCCTAAGGAGGGCTAAGGTGGGCTAAGGAGGCCAAAGGAGGGCTAAGGAGGGCTAAGGAGGCCTAAGGAGGGCTAAGGGGGGCTAAGGAGGCCTAAGGAGGGCTAAGGAGGGCTAAGGTGGTCTAAGGAGGGCTAAGGTGGTCCAAGGAGGGCTAAGGAGTGGTAAGGAGGCCTAAGGAGGGCTAAGGAGAGCTAAGGATGTCTAAGGAGGGCTAAGGAGGGCTAAGGAGGCCTAAGGAGGGCTAAGGAGGCCCAAGGAGGGCTAAGGTGGGCTAAGGAGGCCAAAGGAGTGCTAAGGAGGGCTAAGGAGTGCTAAGGTGGTGTAAGGAGGCCAAAGGAGGGCTAAGGAGGGCTAAGGATGTCTAAGGAGGGCTAAGGATGGCTAAGGAGGTCTAAGGTGGGCTAAGGAGGGCTAAGCAGGCCTAAGGAGGGCTAAGGAGTGCTAAGGTGGTGTAAGGAGGCCAAAGAAGGGCTAAGGAGGGCTAAGGATGTCTAAGGAGGGCTAAGGATGGCTAAGGAGGTCTAAGGTGGGCTAAGGAGGGCTAAGGAGGGCTAAGGAGGGCTAAGGAGGCCTAAGGAGGGCTAAGGAGGGCTAAGGAGGGCTAAGGTGGTGTAAGGAGGCCAAAGGAGGGCTAAGGAGGGCTAAGGATGTCTAAGGAGGGCTAAGGATGGCTAAGGAGGTCTAAGGTGGGCTAAGGAGGCTAAGAGGCCTAAGGAGGGCTAAGGAGTGCTAAGGAGTGCTAAGGTGGTGTAAGGAGGCCAAAGGAGAGCTAAGGAGGGCT